CGCGGGGATCATGTCGGCGAAGGCGTTGACGGAGCAGCAGGCATGGCGGCAGCATGTGCCCGTTACGTTCGACTCGGCATTCGAAGCACCGCCCCAGGCAGTGCAGGAGTTGGATTGGCTTGGTGGTTCGGTGCATCCGACATTGGGCATATCGGCGAGCGGTGGCATGGATCTTTCAGACAGTTCAGTGCCTGGTGCGAAGGGAGGGGGGATTGGGGCCATGGAGATGGGTCAGGAGGACATGTCCTTTGAGGTTCTACCGGTTTGGGAAGATGATCCCTCCTTCGACTGGACGACGTGGGATGAGGCGATGGGGAATGTCTCCCCCGATGGAGCGGGGCTAAATGCGGTTGGGACGGCGGGGACGATGAGTACTGGTTCCTCTGGGATGGGGAACTGGTACTGATAGATCGCTGGCCTTTCTGGTATATGAGTGAAATGAGATATGACATACGCGACTGAAGATGGACAGTTCCAATAGCGGTATCAATGCAGCACTCCCACTCTTAACGAGCGTTCCGTTTCCGTCTCTCACTTCGCACCATGCACCTCCTTCAAGAACCCCAAGATCCCCTCCGTCACCTTCTCCGGCTGCTCCTGCGCCGGCCAATGCCCCGCCCCCTCAATCAACCGCACCCCCCTGAAATCCGTACAAAACCCTCCCATCCCCTCCAACGCCCCCGGCTCCTGATAATTTCCCCAATCTCTCCGCCCTGATAAAAACACCGCCGGCACCTCGATCTTCCTCCCCGCAAAAAGCGCCATATCATCCGCGATCGCTAGACTCCGATCCGTCCCCGCCCGATACCAATTCAATCCCCCCTGAAATCCCGTCCGCGTCCACTCCGCCACATATACCGCCAACTCTTCCTCCGCCAACCACCGCCGCGTCGCGCCTTCGTCCTCTCCTGCCATGTTCCGCGCCACCGTCTCCGCCATCGTCAGATCCAGCGGCATCACGTAGTACTCCGGCATCTTCGCCAGCTCCCCCGCCGTCCACCCCGCCAGCGGCCCAGGCTTGTTCCCCGCCCAGTCCGCGCTCTTCAAATGAAAATACCCCCGCAGAAATGCTGCCATCCCCTGCGCCGGCCGCGCCCACTCCTCGCCCGCCTGCGCGGTGGAATTCGCCCATGTATAATGCTTCCTCGGCCTCTCCAACCTTGCCAACTCCTCCAACACCGCCTCTTTTTTCGTCGCCTCCCCCGCCGTCCGCACTACTGGGCCCCATCCCTTCGCCGGATGGCTCATCAGCACCACACTCCGCACTACATCCCCTCGGATCCCCGCGAACGCCGCCGCCGCTACCGCGCCGAAATCGTGCCCGACCACGCACGCCACCTCCTCGTACCCCAGCGCGCCGACCAGACACACCAGATCGCGCACCAAGTTCGTCAGCGCGAATCCCGAGAGGTCGGCGACGTCCCAGCCGGTGGTACGGCCGTAGCCGCGCAGGTCAGGGGCGACGACGTGGTAGCCGGCGGCGGAGAGGCGGGGGAGGATGTGGCGCCAGGAGAAGGAGAGTTCGGGGTAACCGTGGAGGAGGAGGATGAGGGGGTGTTTGGTGGTGGTGGTGGGGGTGGAGGAAGGGGTGGAGGAGAGGAGGTGGATGGTGAGAGGGGTGGGGGGGATGGGGAGGGAGAGGGAGGTGATGGTGGGGGGGAGAGGCCAGGGAGGGAGAGGGGTAGAGGAGGTAGTCATTATGAGTGAGTGGTGGTAGTTACTGTGGTTGGGGTTGTGATGGGTTGGTTTAAAGTGGTTAGTTTATTGTGGTGAGAATGCGGTTTGAGGAGGGAGGCTCCAATGAATTCAATGGTATAATGATGTATCAGTCGCCGATGCCGTGATCGAAGGTAGCCGAGGTCGCTGATAGGCATGTCATCGATAACTACAAGCATGGTAGACAATTACCATTTACCAGATACAGCAAGATTCGAAAACTACCGTGGTAACCATGTTGATTCTGCAGGTTGCTTCGCCTCGCTCTATTAAGATGTACGGAGCTAGCTTTTGGTTACCCGAATATCCGTCCTGAATCCCTCATGCAATCTTTCCCATGACCGATCAGCATAAATGATCCGCCCGCTCCTAGAGATTCTCATCGACGCGTGAACCGTATGCGTTGTGTATGCAACCTCGAGGCATCTTCATCCGCCTCAATCCTCTGTGATATCGCCATACTGCCAACACCCCCACCTCTCCGCCTTCGCCTCCTCTTCCAGCTTCCGCAACACCCTCAACACCTCCCCCTGCCCCCTCTCCCACGCCTTCAACTTCCTCGGCACCATCGCCAACCCCTCCCCCACCATATCCGCGTTCACGCTCCGCTCCAACTGCCCCCGATCCTTCTCATCAAACAGCGTGACATCCACCGCCGCCGCCCCTTGTGGCCCCCCAGCGCCCTCCTCATGCTCCACGCGCGCCACGAACTGTCGGCCTTCCACCTCCTTCTGTAACCACCCGGCCGCCTCCGCCGCGTACTCCCCGCCCGGCACCTGCACAAACGCCAGCGCCGCCTCCACCGCCTGCGCGCCCAGCCGCCGCAGCCCGAACTCCTCTGGCAACACCCTCAGTTCGCTCCATGGCACGCGCTCTGCATTCCCATAATCAACATAGTACACCTCCGCGCGCTTCGCCTCGCGGTCGACGCGCCGCACGCGCCCCCGGTACCAGGTCGCGTCCTCGCTGAACTTCGCGGAGACGAGCTCGCCGGCTTTCGGGGGGTTGGCGAGCGGCTTGGCGGCGGGGGAGGCGTGGTGCGTGCGGAAGGAGGACATAAGCGTGGTGAGTGCCGCGGTGCCGGGGCCGATGAATTGGAGTTTGAGGTGTTGGGTGGTGGGGTCGACGAAGGTGACGAGGGCGGGGCGGTAATCGGTGCTGCGGGGCGTGGAGGTGGCGCCGTTCGTATGCCCGTTGGTACTAGTGACGGAGGCGCCGGTCGTGGTGGGGGCGGCGTCGTCGACGGCTTCGGATTCGGGCGTCCAGTCTTTCCAGAGGCCTTTGTGTGCTTCTTTGGCGCGACGCTCGGCGGCGTTCAATTCGTTGAACAGGCCAGCTTTCTCAGCGGAGTAGGCGTGCACTTCGGCTAGACCTTCCTCCAGGAGGAGCTTTGTGAAGTTCTCGCGGTTCACGTAGATGGTACCGATGAAGCCGCCGTTCTTGTCGCAGTCGTCCACGTCGATCTCCACGTCTCGCTGTAGGCAGCGACGGTTGGCGAACTCATGGGCCTCCGCACCAAAGGGATCGCCCTCCTCGTTAGCATTGCGAGCGGAACGCGGTGCACGAATGCCGGAGAGGACGACGGTGATTTTGGCGCTTTCTTTGGGAATAAGGACGGTGAATCGAGAGCCTGATTTGACGAAATCCACGACACCGGCGACTCGTCGCAATCGGCTGAGATACGTCAACTGGCGCCTTGCCTTCTCTAAGCTTTCGCTGTAGTCGGTATATCTGATCGGTGACGACGCTTTGTCGTTCCACATGCCCTTCTTTTCAGCCTGAGCCGCCGCCTCGGCCTGAAGGAGGTCGTCGTAGATGGGTGAACGGTCCGGGTCGTCTGCTCGATGACGGATGACCGACGCATAACCGTTTTCGACGAGTAGCAGCGCAACGTTCTTGTTGTTCTGAGACACCGTTCCCATCTCCCGTTCCTCGTACCCTTCGGTGGCGGCACGCTTTCCGTCGACCGTGACCTTGACGTGCTTTCCGATGAGTTTCTTTCGTAGGAACTCCTTGGCCTCCGCGCCCCAGGGTGCTTGTTTCGGGTCCGATGGCTTCGGCTGTCGAACGCTGCTCAAGCTGATCCGCTTCTCAGTGTTGTCGCGGTATCGAAGGATGACGGTGTCGGCAGAGATGATTCGTTGGACTGCCGCTTCGGTTTCTTTGGACGCCCCTCGGATGGGTAATTTCTGTCCGGCGAACAGTCCCAATCCTTGATCGCGAGCCTTCTTCTCGGCTTGTCGCAACTTTGCCATCTCCGGTCCTAGCATAGTCGAGTGGTGGTCGGTACATCGGGCTAACCCGGCTTCCAGGACGAAGGGTGCGAGGTTACCCCGGACTTTATGAGCGACAGTGGCGACCAGTTGATTCTGGGGAGTGAGGCCTAATATCGTGATGTTACAATTTCTCTGCAACACCCTCTCCTCCATGAACCGTTGTGCTGCCTCACCGTGTGGCTCGGCAGGCTGCTCGGTGCCATCGGAGGTGTTCACGCGTTTCGTGGCAGGGGCTCGGATCCCGGCTACCAGCAGCATGGTTTGCGAATGTTTGAGGGGTTGGACGATGAGGCGGACGATGAGGCGGTCGCCGCTCAAGACCTTTTCCACAACCCCTAGGCATAGTCAGCAACTGCAGAGTTCACCACGAGCGGGGCATCTTACCATCCAGTGTCTTCCCTTTCCAAGCCTGTAGGAAAACCTTGGGGTCTGGTATCTCATACGACGTCTCGACCCTGGAGACCTTCTCCTGCCAGATCCCTTTGCTATTTGCCTTGGCGTGGGCTTCGTCGACGATGAGCTTGTCGAGGATGGCTTTGTTCTCCTCGTTCTCCTCTCTTCGGCTGGCGTCGTCACGAACCTTGACCCAGCCCTCCGCTACAGAGACTTCGGGGAAAGAAGCACTGCCGTCGGAGAGCCTGACCAGGCCATATTCACGGTGAGCTCCTGTAGGGATGGTATAAAGGACTCGACAGGAGACGATCTTCCCGACGAAGACGCGGAGGAAGTCGCGGGATTCAAAGGCAAAGGGCTTGCAGTGAAGTTAGCGAATGGTTGACAGAATAATCAGCAATCATGGGAATATAATCGAGGAATTTCAGAAATGAATAGTATATACCTCGTCACCCTCCCGCTTTAATCGAGGGGCGGTCACATAGGCCAGGCTCAATGTGCGCTCTTGGGCGAGGTTCTTCGGGTTGCAGAGGACGAGGGTGTCGCCGGAGAGGATGGATTTGACGCGGGCTTCGAAGGAGGATGACATGGTGGCAGTAGGATTCCGAGACTGCTGGTAAAGGTGGTGTGGTCGGTGAGGATACTCGCAGATAGCGGTTTGACAGGTGTCACAAACAGATGGTGGATTTGGTAGTGTGATGTATGTGCCCCACTCAATTGGGAGAATCCGAAATCAATTTCTTGCAGAATTGGGGATGGGAGAGATATGGATGCAGAGAAGATATGTGGGAAGGTAATATGCAAAAGAAGATGAATTGGGGGGGCTGTGAGAGTGAAACTGATAGTGAAACTGATGGTGAGTTGGTGGTGGTGGTGAAGCTGGAACTTGTGGTGGTGAATTCATGGGACGCGGTTCCATTGTGTGCCATTCCGGAAAATGCAGGAGTGTGGGGTAGCCCTTGCCACTTTCAGTTCTCACGTGTTGCTGGTCCCATGTGCATTCAGATTATTATAAGGAGATATGTAAGTATATATCACTCGCTGGTCATATCATGGAGGTTATATATAACAAATTGACAAGAACATATAGAGCAGGAGGGTGTGGCGGGGCCCTTGGATTTATCAATTAATATCGGCAATCACTTATCACACAATCAGAGAGCTCAACTAATATGCCATGTTTGACATGGACTAATTGGTATTTGCAACTACCTAACGATAGGCTTCTCGTTCTGCTATCCACATGCACATGCTGATTCCAAGCTGTGCATCAACCTTCCATGTCACCATTGCCTCGGATGGACAGTTCTGTCCTGCATTGACGGGTGAGGCAAGCAACCATTTAGGTCGCAATGCCGATGACACCTACAACAAATTAGCCACCATTGACCTACTAACCTCTCCACAAGATACTTACCACAAGCCGGACGCGGGCCAGCATTCCCCGTCTTCTTCGACTCCTCCGAGCCGCCCTTTCCAAGATCATCAGTGCCAGCATGGACGACGACGGTACGCTGCGAATTCTCTAATCAGCACGTCCTCATGTCACGATGCAATGCCGGGAAAACATACGCCGATCACGCTCGTGGCGCCGATCAATTGCACCAGCGCATCGGTGATGGAGCCCTTCGCGTTACCCTGGGCATCGGTCTGGACGTTCCCGAGATCGCCGACGTGGCGTTCCTCATCGACGGGGGCGCCGTGGGTCTTGTTGAAGGGGTTGACTGATTGACCAGTGGTTAGCTCTGCGTCATGGAACGCTTTCATGAGGGGAAAGGGTGGGGGGTTTGACATACAGTGAGGACCGGCGCTGGTGCAGCCGTTGGTGTTATCACCGAAGGTGTGGACGTGAAAGCCGCGTTGGGCGTTGGCATCGTTGCCAGTGATGTCGTAGGTGATGGTGGTGGCGGCACCCTCGGCGGCTTGCTCGAAGGTGACGGTGCCCTTGACGGTGGAATCACCACGGATGACGGCAACTGATGGAAGGGGGAGGTTAGCGGGTTTGTATCATGATGGTTGAGCGTTGGTGGCGATGGGGGGGCGTTGGTGGTTGAGTGAGCCTCCGATGCCGAAGACGCAGTTGATGACGTCGAGCTATCTCGGATCTTCCACTGGCGACGTTTGGGTCTTGAATCTGCTTTCTCCATCCCTCCGTCCGACAATCCCTCAAGGTGACCATCACGGTCTTCTAGAACGATGATGGAAGGCAGGCAGACCCAAGAAAACGTGCTCATTCCCACTCATCACCGGTCCCCAACACTCTAGCACCTGGCGGCTGAAAGGGACCGGAACACCACCATTCCAAAAACCGGGGTCACGGAAAGGACGTTCGCTTACCTGCTTTAACCATTGTGAATTGATTTCTCAAAGAATTGACGTTAAGCGGATCTGGTTATGGAAACTTGGGAAGAATTGGATGGATGTCGTCAGTTTGTTTGTTGAACGGTAGAGAAATTTGGAGGGAAAAGGAAACCAGAGATGGATGGGATGGCGGGGATGTCACACAACAAGCGGATCTACAAAGCACGACAGCACCTGGACTAGGTAAGCAAATGGGTCCAGCTCGGGAAGCTGGGAACCGGACGGAACACTGGACGGGGCAGGAGAGCATCGCAGGGTCAGGTCGTGACAACTATTCACTAGTCTAGACTACATACGGGCAGGCATTCGTTTTCCACGGCTTCACACCATCAACGCTACTTCTTGCGTATGAACAATCATGGAAATTCATTTCATATATCAGGATTCAGAGAAATGAGGGGAGGGGTTCAGGGTCAGTCAGCGTCATCAGGGCCTGTCGGTTCTAGAAGCCCCGCTTACATCACCGCTCGGCGATATCGGGCCATCTGATCGGATGGAATTTCGTGGGGAGTGCCAACACTCGACAGGGCCGCGATAGGAATTGTATTGGGAGTAATCGGAGGGGATTTCCGTGGAGAAATGGACAGCTACCTACTTGTTTGGATATGAGGAAGGAATTCTTCTTGTCGATGAGAGGCGGTGATTGTTTTGTCAACAGCAAGTGGGGGACCATAATACTCCACCGGGAAAACTCTGCCACGGAAGTAGCTCCCCTGATAGGGCCGGTGATAGCACCGAAGACCACCAAAGGGCTCACATCGATAGAATTATCGTCTACAGACAATGAGAATGGAATGGGATATAACATTTTTTGGGTCTAGTCACATTAAACCATATGATTCCTCATCAACAATTCATCCATTCGCAATGTCCATTTTCACATCCATCCATTCGCGCCCAAACAATCATATTCTTTATCTCTCCAGCTCTCCACCCCCTCCACCATACACTCCATCATCTACTGCAGCTTCGCCTTCAGGATATCCTTCAGCGTGACTGCATCGGCCGCGAACTTAGAGATACCTTCCCGCAACTTCTCCACCGCCATCTGCTCATCGTTGAAGTCGAATCGGAAGGTGGGCTCGTCGTTGATGTAGGTCCGCCTTGCGATGTCGAGCGACGTGGCCGCCGACCCATCGAGCTTCTTGGGGACGTCGTCGGTGCCGTTGTAGAGGTCCTCGAGGAGGTTGGGCTATTGCAGCAATGTCAGTTGGTCACATGTAAATTTTGGGGGTTGGGTTTGGAGCGTGGAGGGGACGTACGGAGATGGTCAGGTAGTCACAGCCAGCCAGCTCGGTGATCTCCCCCGTATTCCGGAACGACGCGCCCATGACGATGGTCTTATACCCGAACTTCTTGTAGTAGTTGAAGATCGAGTGCACGCTCTTGACGCCCGGGTCCTCCTCCGGGGTGTAGTCCTTCTTCGTCGACGCCTTGAACCAGTCTAGAATGCGGCCAACGAACGGCGAGATGAGGGTGGCGCCCGCTTCCGCGCCCGCGATGGCTTGCACCAGCGAGAACATGAGGGTCAGGTTGACATTGATGTTGTGCTTCGATTCGAGGATCTCCGCGGCCTTGATGCCCTCCCAGGTGGAGGCGATCTTGATGAGGACGCGGCTTCGATCGATGCCCATCTCCTCGTACATCTACACGGTCACCAGTCAGTGCCAATCCCCACACCGAAAATCCCTCTCCTTTTCTAATAAAAAAATGGGTGGGGGGAAACGTACCTTGATGATATGCAGCGCCTTCTTCACTGACACCTCCGTGTCGAACGAGTACCGTGCATCCACCTCCGTCGACACCCGCCCGGGGATGATCTTCAAGATCTCGCTGCCGAACTGCACCAGCAGGTTGTCGAGGGCGACGTCGACCTGCTCGTCGACCGAGCCCGGGTGCTTCTTGCCGTAGGCGACCGCCGCGTCGATGAGCTTGGCATACTCGGGCTTCTTGGACGCCGCGAGGATCAGCGACGGGTTGGTGGTGGCGTCTTGTGGCTTATATTTGGCGATGGTGTTGAAGTCGCCAGAGTCACACACGACGGTCTGGGTGGGTTAGTATGAGACGAGATGGGCGGGGCGGAGCGGATGGGGATGGATGTAAACTTACAGTGCCGGTGGCCTTCAATTGATCTAGAGAGTTCGTCATGATGGCTGGCTGCTGTGACTGATCTCAAACTTCAGTTGCAAATAACACTAGGAAGCAGGATGGAATTGGATTGGGAGCAAGTTCAGGAAGATTTGGTATGTTGAGAAGGGGAAATTGTTGGGAGCAGGTTGGGGGGAGAAATGGGATATAGGCGGGGGATGCGGGACCCTGGAAGCTTGACGTTCCCACTGCGTGGTGTGTTGTCGTCACTTGAGGCGAAAAAGGGTCGACCGTGGTGGTGGGGTGGGAGCCAATTCAATCATGGCTCTGGCTCTGGCGGGGGATAAAGCAATCCTAACCGCCACGACCTGATAACCATGATCTCGCAGCGCGGAAATGTGAAATCATTCGGCCACTCTTCCTTGCTTTTCCGCCTGTTCAGTCAGCATCACCAATCGTTCTGGGCGACACCTCGAACAAACTTCCTTGATATCTTCGACATGACTGAAAGGATAAGTTTGAGCACTGCAGCTCTTCGCTGAAGCCATCACCATCTCATCATCAATTCATTTTCACCGTAATCAATAATCATCCAAGTCCCGCTATCCTCAGTAGTCCGACCCAAATATCCCGCTTGGCATTTAATAAGTTCGCTGCTGTTTTGCCGGCGGGCTATTTTAACCCCAAGGGAATTTCCTATCCCCTTGTTTATTTTGTTAACGTGACCCTCTAACAGTCCAAATATCCCGCATCAAATCTCATCTTCGCCGACCCCCACCATAAAGAAGCCTAAAAAGCCGCCCTCTTCACCAAATGGTCCCGCGTCTGCATTGAGGCCATCGGCACGGTGTAGTTTGTAAGGATGGAGAGGTGATGAGGGGGATTCATCCTTAAAAGTAGCCGTCGTATAGCGTAGACTGAGGATTTCTGAGCATTGGTTTAGTTTCAAAGAGGAGTAAAGGGATGGCTATGAGCTGTATGGCGAAATGTAGTATTAATGAAAATCAAGAAATGACGACAATCACAAAATCGTCTGACGGTCTGGCTCCGAGGTTGCATAGCGTTTCTGCCTCCAATTACAAAGACAAATCCAAGCTTGATACTTCCACCATCTCCATGGCCATTACACGCATAAATAGCATCAATGGAAAATTTCCTGATGAGAGATATTCAGTTTCTGTCCCATCCCGGTCACACCTTCCTTAAATTTCCAAAAATGAAATCCCTTCCATCAATCAGCACGGTTGTGTAGTGTAGCGGTTATCACTTCGGATTCTGACCTTTCAGAATTGCTCCTTCCGGAAACCCAGGTTCGATTCCTGGCACGACCTCTCTTTTTTGTCTTTTTTGCTCACATCTATGAGATGGAGATTCGAGAGTGGATTAGATTTCACTTGGTTTGGGTGTGATCTGAGCTGGTTTCGTGGCGTTGTGGTGGACGTTGTTGTGGTGGTGGTTGCTCTTTTTGTGCTTATCACGTGCCTGCAATACACCATGATCTTGAACTTTTTGGCAATTCACATTTTTGTCTTGTCTCAATACGTCCGATTTTACATAGGCAGTTCTGCCGTCTACGAGAGCAAATGCTCCAGACTAAAGCTTATTGCAAAACAACCGAGTCATCAATAATGCCTGCAAAAGTAGGTCACTTTTGCAGTGAATGGTTCCCAGATCGAAGATTCAAGTCCCGAAGAGAGATGTTTTGCATGTCTGACATTGCTACTACCGAATAAGATGGACGGGTATGGGGTATCTAGCCACGCCTAAGATATAGCATATCTCAATCTGCAAACGGCAGTTCGCGTCCTTCATGCTCCATGATACTTCCTCGCATACCAGTAATGGATAAGATATGGGAAGAAAAACGGTACCGTAGGAAAATCACTCCCTCGGAACCCCTTCTCACTGCATCCTAACAGGATGGGCATTATCACTTCCTAGTACTGAATATCAGCAGTGGAACGAATTCGGATGAAGCTGAAAGATGACTTACAAACACTTCCGGTCTCGTGTCCCCCGTAAGATGCGCTTCAAAGGCCGTTGCATGTGCCTTCAATTGCTTTTCATCCGTGTTCCTCATGTCCGCGCCCTGTAGCGCCTGCACCTCGTCACTCAGATGGACCACCAACACGTCCGCCAGCTCCTCACAAAGCCTTTTCAAATCCCGCCCTTTCCTCCCCTTATACTCCTCCACCCCCACCTCCCTCGTATCCAAAATCCGCCGCGCATACTCCCTTACCGTCTCCAACCGCGCGTGCATCGTGCGGTGCTGCCCCATCTCGTCCGCAAACGCATCGGGGTTCCCGACGATCGTCTGCAGGCCGGGGAATAGGAACGTCTCTTCGCCGTCGTGGTGGTATATGACGGCTATGACCCAGGAGCGGACGAAGTGCATGAAGTCCCTCACGTCTGTGCTGGTGCCGCGGGTCGCGACAGGGGCGGCTTGGGTGACGATGACGTTGAGGCCGCGGAGGAGCATGCAGTGCACCTGGGTCATTTGGGTGGCGTACGGTATACCATGGACTCATGTTTCTAGAGATGATCAATTATGGACGACGGCGGTTCAGCATGGACTGGGGGCTCACGATGGATTGATCGGGGTTCTCGAGCAACGGGTAGGGCTCGTCTGCCCATGCTTTCGTAGTCATGGTAATTGGTACCGTTTAACTACAGTGGCAAATATTTAGATATAAGGTTATCGATAGACGGCTTGGCTTCCTATGTTGGCGCTGTGCAGCTGGTTTCATACTAGATGGCACAGGACAATATAAGAATGCATCTTGGCGTCGCCTGCTCGTGGGATTCAGCCTTTCGCTCGCCCTGTTCGGAATTTCGGATACAGCCGCATGCTGATTACTTTCGGCGTTAAGAAAACCGTGCGCGAAGCCCATAGGCCATACGTTTTAAGTCATGAACGCCCATTCAGCTACCCCGAACTCCAGCAGGGTTGTCAGTTGCATGTCAGCTGGAGTACATGGCTTGAGTGGTATATATTTGGCCCCCAAAGACCAGATATGAGCGATCTACGATGTCACGATGTAGCTATAGCATGGTCTGACCAAAACCATACGCAGAGGTCGTATCGTGTTTACATACTACCAACCTCAGCTGAATACCGTTCGTAAATCGTAATCCATCACCAAACAGCAAAAGCGCGATTAATATCGTTTAGGTCGAGACCCTACGCGTCATTTAACATCGCCATTTAACATCGGTAGCGATGTTCTATCAAGGCAAGAAGTATAAGTGTCTCAGCGGCTACTTGTTTAACAGTACTGTTGAGATTGGAATATCTGCAAAGGCTCAATCTTCCACGATTGGAATTTCTTCAGAGGCTCAACATCTAGCACAATGGGAAGGAACTCCATAAAATTTAAAGGGGGAAAGATAAGACTAAGAACAATGCAAGCTGTAATTAGCTGTTGTTCTCAGAATGACAGTCCAATATCTGTAGAATAGTTGCGTAAAGAAAGAGGAAATAAGTTAACTACAACAAAGTCCTGCTTTATATATCCGCCTTCCCTAGATAAGCACCTCACGTAAGATAAGCACCTCACGTAAGATAAACATCTCATGTATGATATTTATCCGCGCCCCTGGTTCGTTAGCTGAAGCTTACCCATCCTCGGTTTTGAAGACGCTCCCTATAAGGATCAACCTGAACAGGATTTTGAGACATCAAAGTCTACATAGGATGGAAACAAGACAATGGCTCTACAGCCGTATGTCTAACGGTACTGTTCTTGCATCTCATCAATCTTTCCTCAAGTCTGAAACCTCAAAGGCATCAAGTCTAAAAATTCTATGTTCTTCCCCTTTATAATGGCTTAAAATCTTGTATCATTGCTCCTGTATCCCTGATTTGTCGCTTTGTCGCGCAGCGACACTTCGGCACTAGCATATTGACGCCTAATTATCTCAGATGTCCAGATGTAACCTCCCTGATCCTTCGTTACAGGGGATGCGGTCAGCTCACCTGCATTGAGCTTGACCTCACAGGTTATTTATTTCACGACGGAAGTATATATTGCATGATTTAATCCTGATAATACATGTGTGACTCCCGTTCTCCATCTTTCCTTACTACATCATATTATAGGCGGAATACTTCACAGTGCTTCCAATTGACATTTTGACTCGAATCGATCGAAGTCTCCTTCTTACCTTGGTATCATGGCGACTAAAGAGGCAGAACCCTTCCAACCCGTCGCCCTGGATTCCCGGTTCGAAATCCGTCGACTCGAGTCATCACAGCATAGAGACTGGGCAAAAGCAATCTTGCTTCACACCAACATCTTCCACTCCCCAGTCTGGTCAATCATCTACCCCGACAAACAGTTTGACAAAATATCTCAAGGTTGGGAGGCCATGAAGTATCTCGTAGATCTTCAAATCGACTCCGGCTGGTCGTTCGGCGTGTTCGACAGGGAATACAAGTTCAAACGCCCCGAGTCGGCCGCCACGGGAGGCAAACTCTACTGGGATCTCACGAACGCGGGTGCCTCCGCGGCGGACCTCCTGGAGCAGATGGACTTCCCGCTGGTCTCCATTGCCCTAAGCTACGACGGAATCAATCCGCCCGAGCCAGCGAAATTGGGGCCCCTGATCGGGCTCATCCCGGCCTTCGGAACGCTGTACATGGAGCTAGCCGCGCGCGATTCGCGGGACCCAACCTCGTGGAAGGCGAGGAAGGCGGGGGAGGTGCTCATGCGGAATGGGACTAGTACGCGGGCGGATTATGAGGGAAATGGAGTGATGAAGAAGGCGGCTTGGTGGCTGATGAGGGAGGCGGCGAGGAAGGGGTTTACGGCGATCCAGATTGAATGTGTCCATGATGCGGTTACTCATGTGTGGTCGCATCCTCCGGAGCCTTTCAAGGCGGACGTCGTGGCGAGTTTCGATTCGAAAACTCTGGAATATGAAGATGCCGATGGGAATAAGACGAAACCATTTTACCCGGCAAAACAGGTTGTTTCAGCAATCTATGTTAGATTATAAACGGAGATCAATCATTGGAAAGTCTATATTGGAGTATGGCGCCGGAGCACACTGATATGACTGGACTATGTAGTTTTCCTAGTATCATTAGCGCTAAATGGCAAGGGGATGGGCCGTTTTCATCTCGGAACCGTCCTTTCGTTCTTCTCGACTTTCGTTCTTTTCGACTTGCTTCCGTTTCGGAAGAAATGGAAATCGCCGTTTCTTCTTCGTCAATTCCAGCCATCGTTCAACTGCTCGAGCTCTTTCTTCTTCAGGCGCCCGTTCCAACTCGTCCGCCCCTTGAGCCATCCGGGCCAGCGCAACCTGCTCTTTCGCTCGCAAGCCCCCCATGGATTGCATGTCTTTGACCATTCCTCGGTAGGGCAAACTAACGGTATTGATCATGGCTGGACAGATTAGTATGCTAAAAAATTAAACACGCGGAGGGAAAGTCGGCTCACCAGCTGTGGGCTTGAACGCTAGCCCTCCCACCCCATGAGCAAAACCTTTCACGAAACCCACGCCCCCTTCCTCCATCGCGCCTTTGACGGGGAGCGCAACGAGACCATACATACTGTCAAATACTGCCAGCCCCAAGCCCTACTCAACATCAGCGGAATTCTTTGTTAGATGTCAACTACCTACCTTCCCCGCTGCACCGATTCCACTGAAGGTACCTGTAACCCGCTCGTGAGGCCGCGCCGATTTATCTCCGTACAGCAACGGCAAGTTATGAAACCCACGGCCGGTTTGTAGGAGGATCTCGAAACTGGTGGCTACTCCACTTACCAAAACCCTTCCCACGCCTTTGGCCATCCCGGCACTGGCCCCGTTCAGCACGGCTCCTGCGTAGGCTGCCCCGGTGGAAAGGGACGCCTTGGATGATGACGTCGCACTGGTAGCGGACGTCTGCACCGATGAGATTTGTTGGGCTTCCCCACCCCAAAGGCTGCCGGATTGCTCCGTGGCTGGTGTCGAGCTCGCGCTCGCGCTCGCGCTCGCGGTTTCGGTGGTCTCCACCATGGATTGAAGGGCCTTGAAATCCTCTTCCGTGATTTCTCGAAACACCGATGATGATGATGAATTGCTCGAGGCTGGCCGAATCTCCGACCCTTGCAGTTCAGATGGCTGAGCGTACGACCCTTCCAATTCGAATGGCCCTTGAAAGTCGTGTGGTGACTCTAATTCGGAATATCCGGGTGGTGGCAAGCTCCCCAACGAGCTGGTATCTCCAAATGTTGAATTCCGGCTCAGCGGAGGCCCTGTTATGCTAATATGTGGTAGGGGTGCAGTGTAAGACCTGGGTGGCCCTTGGGCGGCCTTTTCGTCCGACCCAGGCCCTGTAAGTGCGTGCCCAGCTGGGAGTGTCGCTGCGGCTTCGGCTTCGTTTTGACGTCGCTGGGTTTTCACCGCTTTGTATATCGACTTCGGGGTATCCATAAACACACCTTTACCCGTATCTGCGACTACGTCAAGTGATGCTGCTAATGCGCCTGATATCGGCTCCGTGGGGTACCATTCCGTGTCATAGATACGATGACGGAGACTACTGTAATTAGCTTAGCCCGGTTCGTGAGGAATTTCAACTTACAGCTTTAGGTCCGAGGCTTTGATCAATTGCTTCGAAAGGAGCAGTGATGCCGCGAAAGCACTCAATCTCCATCTCTTTCTCTTATGCTTCCACGCTGCCGTTCTTTCTGGAATCAGCACGCATCGCATCTCGTCGGCCCCAAGCATCTCGTGAAAGCTCGCTGCGCCCATTTTGGTCCCGTCTTCTCGATCAATTGACTCCTTGAGTTCACGGGCTCGCTCTTGTACGCTGGGTTGGAGCGCGAATAGAATCGCCTCGGAGAGATTCTCCGCCGTCAATTGGGATTTGGGAATCGGCTTCGGTCCCGCACCCGCTTTCGCAATCCGATTGCCCCAGAATGGTTGATCTCCGAAGAATGGAACGATCACCGTCGGCGTCCCGCACGCGATTCCTGCTGCCGTGGTCCCAGCGCCGCCATGATGCACAACGCATGATACTCGAGGGAATAGCCAGTCGTGGGGCACATTATCAATTAGCATGACACCATCTGGAAGAGAATCGGCTCCGATACCACCCCAGCCTTTGTTGACTAACGCCCGCTGGCCGGACATGATCGCTGCTCGAAATATCAACTTCGTTAGTGCATCTGGGTCATCGACAACAATGGATCCAAAACCAATATACACCGGACGTGGCCCCGCGGCGAGGAAGAGTTCCAGTTCCCGATTTGGGGTGAACGACGAGGCTTGCGGCAAGAAATAGAAACCTGCTACTTGTAGATGGCTTTTCCAATCGTTAGGTTTCGGAATGAGGGATGGAGACCTGTAACTATTAGCGAGATTCCATGATAGGCGTCGAGTTAACGTTCCAGCAATACGTATGCGGTACGCGCAGGGCACCCAAAATTCGAGGGCCGAATGCCAGATGGATGGGCGAGAGGTTCAACAACTTCCGCCGAAACTTGTTGATGACATCCCCCAAGCCCTGCCAGACGAGGGTCTCAACTAGGGGGTAGGATAAAAGATTGACAATCCCAAGCTCGGTACTGTTCGTGGATTGGATGTTGGCCAACGGATGAGGAAATGCCGTTGTCGAGGACCACGGCATCCTATCACTGTCAGCACTTCATCTTTTACGTCTTGGGATGCCTTACGTGAACATGATATGGAGGGGGATATTGAGTTTTTCGGCGCAGTGGATATGGCCAAAGCTGGGAGGGTTTGCAATGATGCAATCCGCCACAAATGGTCGGTTTGAAGTGCACAGGTCGTCATCTGCGACAAAACAGGACTTCCAACACCCTTCAAGCATCTCGTAGGTGTCACGGCGGCGTTCTCTGACTTCAGCACTGAATAGAGCATCAATGTTAGGGAGCAGTCCGGGATGCTTGACCATGAATGCCATTAGCTTAGCAGGATCCCCGCCGATGCTGAAGAATTCGAGGCCATTCTCTTCCACGAACTTTTTGAAGACCGCGTGCGTCGCAATTCGTACCCGGTGATTCCATTGCTCTTTCAACACCTTCCCAAGTGCCACGAAGGGCTGCACATCTCCCCTCGAACCGACCACCTGTATGACCACATTCAGAGACGGCGGCCTCTTGTGCGGGTGATCGGGAATCAGGCTTGGCGGAATCCACGCTCTCTCTGGAGCTGGTGTCTGAATGCGATATTGGTCCTGGACATCGCTTTGCAAGTCGGCCAAGAGGATACTTGAACGCGAGAAACGCCGTTTCAGGTTGACGTTGATGTTGATTCGTCCATCCTCTTCAGGACAGTATTAGCACTTCGACGAAGATACGATGTTGTTCCGGACTAACCGTTCACGCTTGCGCGTGTGTCGATACCTCCACCTTCGGCGTGAACCTCGCCAGTGGGAAGAGACTCGTCCGCGAGGGTGTCCTGATCCGGATCCTTCGAATTCTCCATTGCACGTCGTCCGTGTCAGCTCCTATCCAGTTTTATTCCAGAGGAGACAAAGACGCGATTCCCCAGAGAGTTGCGTAGTCAACAAATATTTCAGAACCATAAACGTGATGTAATGCACCTATGCAATCAATCAATACGCGCAGTATTTAGACTTGGGGGAGTTAGTACGTGGAGAGCATGGCTTTGGAGCCATTTGCTATCTTCAAGGTAGCAACTTTAATGGATTGACATGGCGATCAACGTTACCAGTTTGGATATCATGAACTTGCTATTCAATAGGAAATCTATGAAATCTTCAGCTCCCTCCTGCTGTCCTGCATTAGAATCAATGTGGCGTGCAGATGGGGGCCGAATATCTGAACAGGCATGTAAGCCAAGCTCTCAAGGTATTCCCTTTTAAGCTGGCGCGGTTATATACGATTGGTTAGTTAATAGGATATCAGTATTGACCCTTGTTAAACCGTCCAAGGCTACATAGTAAGTGAGAGGCGAGAACGTGAAGCACGATTCGACTTTGGTGAAGACCGGACGAAATTTCAAGGCCGTAATATGGGACATTGGTTAACCTGAACCCTGGGACCCAGCGTACGCGTAAATGGAGTTATATTGTCAATCGTCCTACCTAATTCAAAGGCAGGATAAAAAGTAATGCATTGTCTTCATTGAGACAAATTTGAGTGAAGAAAAGATAGAATTAAGAGGTCTGAGAACTATATCCCCTGGAGATCGAACTCATAATTTACCTTCCCCTTACATTCCCTCTAGAACTAGACCTTCAAGTCCACCTCTAAAACATCATAAGCGAACTTTCCCTCCATCGACGAACTCATCCACCACATAAACCCGGCCGTGAACCAATCCCGAATCACGGTGAAGAACCAGCCTAGGTCTTTGTTCGTCTCCCACCGCATGTCCGCTTCCTTGAACGCAGCATCGATCCTTGGTCGCCGGAGCTTTTCGAAGACGTCAAAGACATGCTCGAGGTTCTTTGGTCCATGATGTCGTAAAATCCTCGAGAAGAGAACCGCATCCTCGAGGCAGAGACCGACACTTTCTCCCATTGGAGGCATCTGGATTTGTTAGTTTGGTATGGGTTAGAAAAGGGAGTTGACTTACTGCATGTGCTGCATCTCCCATCAATAGGATCCTTCCCGACACCCACTTCCCACCAGCCGGCAACTTATACACGGGATACAAAAAGAAGGATTCAACCTGCTCTATCACCTCGCCAATGCATGGGACGGAACCATCTCGAAACAGCGACTGCACCCTATTCCGCACTGCTTCCTGATCTTCCGACGCGAGCTTCCACCCTTCTTTGCTCACCACATCATCGGTCTCCATGACCGCAGCCGCGTACATCCTGCCCCTGTCTCTCGTGCAATAAGAGGTGAGCAGCGACCCTCGTCGACCTTGGAACATGCCTGTAGATTCGAACGGGATTTCACTCTTGAGACACGACGCGTCGGAGAACCCGTAGGCGGTGGCGATCCCGGAGTATACGGGTTTCCGATCCGGGTCCACGAATTTCATCCGCACCGCCGAATGAATCCCGTCGCACCCGACGACCAGATCGCCGAACACCTCCTCGCCACCGGAGAAGACTGCCCTGATCGACGAACCCTCCTCGCCCGGCTGCTCGATCGACTCGAGCTCCATCCCCCACCGCACGCGTCCCCCCTCCTCCAAAAACTTCTTCCGCATCACGTCCACCAACGTGGACCGCATCACGCGCAGCGCTCGATATTTAAACTTCTCCGGCTTATCGAAGTCCATTTCCCCGAGTTTCGCCCCGGTGCGGTGGGAGAAGATCTCCAGCCGGGGGACATCGCATGCTTCATTGACCACCGTGTCGAGGATGCCGAGATACTCTAAGAGGCGTAGGGCATTGGGCATTAGGTGAATGGCACCGCCGAGGGTGGATATAGAGGGGGTGAGGGTAGGGTCGGAGCGGAGCTCGTAGATCGTGACGGTGATGGTGAAGGTGGGGTCGGTTTGATTGAGGCGCATGAGGGAGAGGGCTAACCCCAATCCCGTGATACCACCACCGATGATAATGACGTTCAGCGGCATCGTCGGTCCGTGAAATCTTGACTTAGAGCTCCAGGAATAGGAGAGGTCAAAAACTGCCGCTGGAATGGAAATCCCAAGACTCGGGAAATAGCAAGGACAGACAAGATAGGAACGGAATTAGAGAAGCGAGGGCTTTCAGCTGCTATTTATACCGGCAATACACCACCCCCCCGAAATATCGCATTGCTCGGATTCGAGGTCAACCAATCAAACGCCAAGACATTCGTGATAACGCATTTCTGAACGCCATGATCGTGCGCACCACGCAACTCATCTTATCCGGCCGCGTAGTTTGAGATGACGTTTCGGTCAACTTGGATTCGTGCCTCTGGAGATTTGGATTCTCCATCGCGGATGTATGAACCCGGCTAGTGGAGGTGAAGGTCCAATATTGGCCTCTCCCTCTCGACCAACGGGTATTACCTACACTCCAATGTCGGAGATATGGAGATATCCAGATCCATCCTGCTTGGCTAGCCCTGAAGCTTTGCAACTTTCTCTTCGCGTTCCTAGCGATGATGCGACACTCTTTGATACGCGTCGCGTCGTCAAAACCGCGACCTCCGTGCCGTGCATCGCCCATCGATATTCCATCTTAATTGTGCATCGCGCACAGTAGAGCGCTCAATCCCTCTCACAATCTCACCCCGTTCCCCTCCTCCTCTTTGCCTCATCCCGAATCCTCTGCTCCAACCGCACCTCCATCTCCCTCTGCGCCACCAACGTCTCCAACTCTCTCCTTACCCTCGCATTCTGCTCCACCGCATGCTGCCTTTCCTTACTCCGATTCCACAACCCCATCACCTGCGCCGCCCGATCCTCCTCCAGCGCCCGCCGTAGCCCGTCCTCGTTGCGCACCCGCCGCCGGCTCACCAGCGCGGTGGCGAACGCGATCTGCGTTTCGGGGGAGGGGCCCGCGCCGCCGGTCGCCCAGCCGGTGGGGTGGGTGAGTTTGATTTGGGGAAAGGCGGTGAGGGGGTGGGTGCGGCGGGGGTCGGAGAGAGGGAGGGGGAGTTCGGGGCGGGTGAGAGGGGGTGGTGTGGCGGTGGGAGGAGGGGCGTCGGAGGGGGTGGATTGTTCGAGGACGGCGGTCATGAGGGAGTTTTCGAAGGATTCGCTGTAGGGAATGTCGTGGGGTGTCCATGGGAGTTGTTGGTCCATGGAGACGTCCTCGTCTTGAGGTGTCAATGGGCGGGTGAGGACTTCGGGGGTGTCGATGTCCATTTTGATGGCGGGAATTCTCGTTATTTCTAGGGATGGTAAGATTGGAGATTGAGGGGTTTCCCAAATATAGCAAACGTGCTTGATGATCTTATTGTTATGGTGAAGTTGAAGATGCAAGTTCCAGCTCGAAATGCAGCGTTGAAGTTGCCTCCACATGCTTGGCGTGTCTGAATAAACCAACCTTCGCGATTTGATCCTATACGGTACTCTCTCCTCCATACCGACATCACATTTACCAACCGATTCAACACAAATTCGGTTACATACCGTCCTCCCTACTCTTCATATCATTTACCGTAATATCGCGATCTAAGCCGTCGCCGCCGAAGAACCTATCAAGCGCATCATGGTACTTCCTCTTCCCTCCAAAAGCCATACCCACCACTAACCTCTCCTCCAGGCCGACAAACTCCGCGCCCAGCAACAACTCGAGCAACTCCAAGCCCGCTACGTCGGCACCGGCCATGCCGACACAACGAAATTCGAATGGACCTCCAACATCGCGCGCGACACCTACGCAAGCTACGTCGGGCATCCGCCGCTGCTTCAGTACCTCTCCATTGGCATGGGAGAGCCGCGGGAGAAGGTTAGGGCGATGATGATCGAGGTACGTTGGCAGTTTAGATGGGGAAAGATTGCTGGGGCTAACGATGGGTAGAAAATGATCCAGCCGGTGGGGAAGCCGCCGGAGGTGCAGGATTGAGAGAGTTGGGTGCCGTTGGAAACGAACTTGGTTGAAGAGACTATCACGCGAAGAATGAGGGTAGAGAGACGGTTTTCTGCCTTGCAGGAACGGATGGGGAGGAATGGTGATGGGGAGGAAGAGGAACTGCCGGACATCAAGGCGAATGCGAACGAGTCTCCAACTACACTCACGGCGCGCTACTTAATCGGCTCGGTGTGCGGAGACTACCCAGGACATGACAGCATATGCGCATGACTTCTAAGGTCACCTCGTGGACTTAACAGTCAACTCATATACCACGACCAGATTAGGTCCGCCTGCGTATACCATATACTGATCTATGACATTGAAACTACGCCGAAAACCTGCAGCATCATATCATGACCCAGTCGACTATGTACCCGTGAAGCCACCTACGTATGTTCAAATGCACTCCAACCCGCTCAGTCGCTCTCGCTCCCACTCCCCGTCGGCCCCTCATCATCATCCTCCTGCACCACATCATCCCCCGCCATCATCGCGAACTCCGCCTTCCGCAACATATCCCTCAACGCTACGTTTCGCGGATCCGCCAGCTCGACCGGCTTCAGCTTCGCCTTGTTTCGTATTCTTCACTCAGTTAGCATCGCCACTTATCCTGCGGTGGGGACGTCGATAGAAAGAAAAGATGGGTGGTGTGCGTACCTGGGATCACACCCGGCGTCCAGCAAAATATCCACGATCCGTAACCCCTCGTCCCAGCGTTCTTTCCCGAGCTCGTTGACGTGGCGCACCGCCTTATGCAGCGGCGTGTCTTTCTCCATGCGGTCGAAGTTGTCGATCTCCAGCCCTTCCTGATCGAGAAGCATGTCGAGCACCTCATCTACCCCCGAACCACTCCATTAGCTAGCCATCCTCTAGAGTATATTATCTCGAAGCCCAAGGCGGCTGAGAAGAGATACGTACAGCTCCCATACGTCGCAGCGATATGCAACGCCCCGTTCCCCACGCCGTCCACCGTCCGGTTCAGCAGGGCCGCGATCTGCGGGGGACTGCGTTGCTGGGCGAGCACTTCGTCGAGGAGGTCGGGGTTGTTGCGACGGCATGATTCGAGGATCAGCTCGCGAGGTGTGGCCCCCTGGGATGGGTCGGAATTAGTTTACGGGGTCCTGACAGTATATCGAGGAGTGATTATCGGGAAGTACACACCTCGTCAGCCATCTGAGACGATCGGGGGTGGTTACGGGAGGGCGGCGAGGAGCAGGTGGTCAGCGGGGACGGATGTGCCTCAGTCCTCGCGGTGTTGGTGTCGGACAACGCGGGTGGAAAGGAACTTTGTTAAATCGAACGGTTTGTTAGGTCTAGAGACAGGACAATCGAGGCCGGAGAAGGTGCGAACGAGAGAGAAAGTCTGGTCCTTGAAATAGGACAGGAAATAAGTATACGCATGCCGCTTTGCTGCGGTTCGTTCCAAATCCTAGTCGAGACAGGGGGGTGGAGGGTGGAGCTGGAGTTTTGATATCTCGACTGGATTCTGGAACAACAGAATCAGATCTTGCCCACTTCATCATTTTCCTTTGTATTTCTGGCTTCAACTAAGCTCTACTCCCTCTATACGACTTCCAGGGGCGAGTCGGAATTCGACCATAGACTGTTGCACTGGTCTATTCATTCTACTCCTCCCAACCCATATCCTAGCCTACCCCGAAAATGTTGCTTTGTACGTCTCTCCTTCCTCCCTTCCTCCCCCAAACCTCGCCTCAAGCCAATATTCCCTCGCCCTCTCCTAACCACTGCTCCCCAGTCTGCCCCCTCTGCTCCAACCTCCTCCGCGTCTCCCAAACCCCCACCAGCGCCCTCCCCAGCGGCGACCCCTCCCAGGACCGCAACCGCTTCGAATGCCGCACCTGCACCTACCAGCGGGTCATCGACCGCCGCTACTACGAGCGCACGCCTATGAAGCGGAAGGAAGTGGACGACGTGGTGGGCGGGGCGGATCGATGGGATAATGCGGATAAGACAGAAGGTAGGTTTTGGTGTTGGGTTGGGTTTTTTGGGGGTTTGGGGTAAAGGCTGATGGTGGTAGTGAAATGCGCGAACGATCGGTGTGAAAATATGGAGGCGTATTTCTATTCGGTGCAGATTCGGAGTGCGGATGAGCCGATGACGAATTTCTATCGGGTAAGTTGGTTGGGGGTTGGTTCGGCGGATTGGGATGGGAAGTTACTGACGCTTCTACGACTAGTGTACGACATGTGGCAAGCGGTGGAAGGACTAAGAGGTTGCTTTGGCTTTCTGGAGGTCGGAGATGGTGGAGAGACGTGGGGGGGCTGGGAGCACTGGGATATGCATTTGTTACATGCATTACATGGAGTTTGGACGGTTGATACGCATTGAGATACCCATTTCGATTTATCTAGGAGTCGGAATGCCAAAGGAGCTTACAACCTTATTTGCGAACCGACTGTTGCCAGGATATCATTGACTAGATCTGTATCGCGGGCATGGGTCGGAACCAGCGCCAGTGATTATAGTGACGCTCGAACTCATTCCATCGTCCGGCCAAGCTCGTGATATATGCAGTTCTTACCCTACCCCGAAAGAGCGAGTTTGCGTCGTCCCATGCTTGCTTCAATCGCAAGGCCATTAAATTTCTTGCCACCATCCAGGAATGGCTGGAGGTCCAAGGTCGTGGTGATGATGACCGCGAAGGTTGCGTATCGCCGACTCGAATCGCCGAAGCCTCAATTACACCCGTACACTTCTTTCCCACTCTATCTCCCAATCCACCGGCCCTCTCATTTCGATTCCAACCAAGGCTTCACCGCGATGCTGCCGCCAATTCTCGGTTGCTTGACTAGACATGGAGGTATGGAACGTAGGCTCCCTAGTATCCATCTTCTTCGGGCGACCTCGCCTCGTGGCCAGCGACGACGTCGGAGTCCCGGATTCAACTCGTCTTTAAAAAAGGGATGAGAAGAAGCCGTCGAGATTCTCCTGTACCATCCGGGATGGTCGGGTAGGCCTCGTGCTTGCTCGGGTCCTGAGGGTTCGAAGGGGCTTGGATGTCGATGTTCCGCGCGATGAAAGCGATGCGGAGGATGACTCTGGGGCCGACTTCCAAGGAACTGACTGTTCGGATGATCAATCCTGCGAAACAGAATTTGAGATGCCCGATTTGACGGATTCGGAGGATTTGGATTTCACACCGAGGGCTGTGGGAAAGATAATCCGGGGGTATCAGCGCCAAGCGATGAGGTATCAGCGCCCGAAGGACGTGATCGCACGAGAGCACGACCATCCGGATGGGATCGTAGCGGAGTGACTCTGGATCATCCGTAGTCGTGGTGCCCCTTGACGTCGAGGCGCCGCATTGTATCCACTTCGGTGGAATCCGCCTGTCGGGTAGGCGCTGTTTCGCTCAGGCTATGATTGCCTTGCGCTCGATCATCGGAATGCTCGAGTTGACTAGCACTGTGACTTGGTCGATGTCGTTGTCGCCCCCAGACTGCCAATCGTCGTAGTGGTAGCCTTTTCAATTTCGTCTCGCATCGATATCCTTCATGGCTCAGCGCCTAGTAAAACAACCTCTGATCGAGTATCCGTGGACGACCGTAGCAATCCACAAACAATCTTCCTCTCACCCCTCCATCCCCGCCTTCATACCCTCCTCAATCATCTTCAACACCGTATCTGGTGACAGTATATCCCTCCGAAACCTCTCCTCCTGCAACAGCTCGATCGCGCGCAACGTCGGCCCTGGATACGACAGGTAGCGCGCGTACGCCGGGTCCTTCCAATACTGCAGGTAGGCAAGGTAGCGCACGAAGGCCGGCTGGTCGAAGTATTTCTGCGCCGCGAGGTGGTTGAGGTACCAGGGGTTGGAGAGTGACTGCACGAACTCGAGTTCGATTTCGAAGCGGGTGTGGTTGTTGAATTTGGGGGAGGAGGGCGGTGGTGCGGTCATGGTGGGCGGTCGGGGAGCTGGTTTAGGGGGAGTTGTTTGAGAACGTGGGATTTGTGGGATGTTGGGTCGATCACCGTGGTGGTGGTGAAGCCGAAGTTGAGCGTTTCCAATTATCCCCAGCGATCTTGAAAGCTAACGACGTACCGCGTAGCTAAGAGCTATGAAGCGAGATGACAATCGCGTGCTGAATGTTGAATGCAGGGTCTGCGATGTTTTGCTCTGTGGGGACCGGGGGATGTGTCCGCCAAACTGAAACGGTGATGATGTCGCCGATGTCGTGAAACCAAAAGGTGCTCGGAGCAGTGTACAGCCCCTGAGTTTCGAAAGGGAGAGGAATGGCGTCAACCGACAAGCACGCAGCGCGATTTTGGTGCTACTGACGAGAAAACCAATCAGGTGAAAGTCGCTGAAAGCCGAGGGCTGGTTTAGTTCGGATTGGTCGCGTTGCTTGTGAGACGGATTAAAGGTTCTTGATCGCTAATGTCTGCATGGACTGATGGTGAGCGATGCGGATAGGAAAGTGGAAGCATGTGAAGGGTAAGATAATATCATCGGGTTGTGGCAGATTCACTTGGTTGTTTCAGTTGGTGTAGATGTACCAGAAACCTCCACCCAGCAGTTCAGTTATCACTCAGCGTCACCTTAGCCCTTGCTTTCTCTTTCCCCACGATGATGCGGTTATTGGGAATAATAGACCAAGCGTGCTTAATTTATTGGTTTCCTCTGTCATTCACTGGAGAAAATGATAATAATTCGAAATGCGCTAGGCTATCCAAGCGCGGTCGCTTCAGCACTAGTTCCATTAAATACGTGAAGTGAAGGCCGATCAGGGTCACACTGGTCTGCAGATCAGTTGTGAAAGTGCCGGAGATATCTCGAGTTTCGGGATAGAAGGAGAAAGTGATATTCTCCCCGGTCTCTAGATTTTGGAGGTCAATGTGGAAAAGAGGTTATATGTGCTGCGGATCAGGGGATTTGGATTCTGGGTCCAGAGTTTAGACCTGCGAAATCCTACTTAGTTGGAGCAGTAGCCAGTAAGGGATGGAATATGAATGCATCCTAGGACTAGATATTGATTAAATCCCTCTCAGGCTCATGGCAGATCAATGGAACATCCATCATCCCGGACTGTTTCCTGGAGGGACTGGGGAGAGACTGGAAATCAAAGACACCAGTTAATATTGATCCGGAAGAGAGGGCAACGAATTGCTTGGTATGCCTTTGTGACTTAATTACCCAGCATATGAAATATCAAATAGCTTCTCCATTCAGCTTTGCGATATCAAAGTGATCAAGTGAGCACATGCAGCATCGTGCGGGGTCTAGAATCTCTCCGGAGCAATATTCCGTAACTACAGGTAATTCAGTTGCACTTACCAATCCGATTTAAGGGCCACAGGTTACAGTAATCAAGGTCAGCAGCTGTTATTTGTATCATTTATTGCCTGCTTAGAGAGATTCCCAACTGTCCTTTCCACTACGCATTCACTATTGTCTTCACCCCTGATTGAAGTGTTGCCCATTTCAATTTGGTGGCGTTCGCTCCAATTCAGGGTCCCATAATCCCATTCCCCTGTAAAACTGCCGATAAAGCCCAAGCAGAGAACTGATGAACATGATTGAGCCGGCGCGGAAAGAGAGCCAGTCCCAGGCTATCCTAAGCTATCTCAAGCCCAGCCCTTAGCCCAGCGTGTCCAGTCCCCCACCTCCCGCTTCCACGCAACCCTTTCTCCAGCTTAAATCAACCTCTCCCTTTCTTCAGCTCTCCGCCTCGCCCTGCTGCGATGCTCCGTTCCTTAATAATCCATCTTTGGCTTCATTCAGAGGAATCTCCCATCCCCAATCTATTCCTCTTCCCTTACTTGCCCCCAGCTGTCCATTACCGCATTCCCAAGCTGACCGTGTGTGCTATATTATCACTTGGACCAGGAAGCTGGATTTAATAGTTCACCCTCCGTCCCACCAACCATCGCATTTTCACTTCAAACACCTTAGATTCACCTGTCCTCCCACCAGCTCTTATCTGTCCGTTAGCCGGTCACAGCATCGTATTAACCGTCTGGATCCCGTACCTGGACGTTTCCAATCCCGTCGCCGCTGCCGCTATCCGCCCGCTGGAGATACTAACCTCCTGGAGCGTGTCGCGCAAGGACTACACTATTCAACTGCTGTGCTCGTGAGCGAGATCACCGAAGTCGCCTGAGCACCTCGGAAATCATGTCGCTCGCACCACCCCCAAGTTCAGGGCCAGGTATGTTGGTTTGCACGCTACTTCACTACCGTATTCACCTTCACTTTCACTTCCGTCGAGCGCGCCAAGTCGGGAACATCACTTCACTGTGTGCATCCAACCAAGTCCAAGATCTGTCGCGGGTGAATCGGGTCGTCCATGTCCCTTGCCACAAAACATGCCCAGCTGGCAGTTTCCTTGTTGTCATTCCCTTCTGAAACAAACCATCCCCGATCGCCCAACTTCTTCCCTTTCAGAATTATGATCTGCACTTTTCTCTTGAAACCTGAACGTTGAATCCTGAACTCACTCTCCTCCTCTTAAATAGACAGGGCCGCGTCGACCCTGAGTCTCGAACTCCCCTCCAACAACCCATTCCGCAAATCCAGCATCCCTTCCCCCGCGATCCCGTCGCCTGATAGCCTCCCTCCAAACGGCCGTCCGGTGTCTCGCAATCCCTTCCTCGCCGACTTCGAGCAAGCAACCGAACCGACCCAGAAATCGGAGAACGCGCCGCTGATTCGTACCATGTCGCCGCCGGATCGGTCGTCGCCCGTGAAGACGAGTTTTGGGAAGGATGCAAAGGACTCGTTTGTATGTATTCGCCCGATTTCCCCTTTCTCGTTGATCCGGGTATCGTTTGAGCTGCCAAAAATCGTGGGCCCATGTTTCAATCAGACAGCTCCTAGCAGCTGTGCAACCGATGGTGTAAACTGTTCACTTCGCAGATTCACCTTCCAGCTTCACCTCTCAGTTTCATCTTCATCATTCCCGGAGTTCATTGATGAGTTCACATTCATCCAATGGCTTCCATACTCTCCACATCATCAGCCGTCATGGACGAGAAATTCCAGGAGTTCAGTCGTACTTTTGCTAACTATCCGCTTCTAAAGGAGAATTTGAGCATCAATGAGAAACCACCAATTAGGAGTGAGTTGCACGACACATCGTTTGTGACGTTTGCTCATATTCCATAGAACCAAGCCCTCAACCGCCGAGTCGCTCCGGCACGGGTCCACTGAACACCCATCGTTCAGCTCTTTCCAACGAAGCGGGTAAGCCCACTTCACGTGGTCCTCCGCGTCCTCGTCGAGGGCCCCGTGATCCATTCGACTCCCCCGAGAAGTCGGAGAATCGCCGACCTCGACGAAACTCGGACTCTTCCATCACTCCCGTGAAACCCTCGGGTGACGATGACCGACGACGACGAGAGAGGAAGCATCGGGAAAGTTCGCGGGCCAAAGATGGGAAAGATGGCAAAGGCACCAGAGACCCACGAACGGGTCGCATGAGGAAGCCGGGTGGTTTTGATACGATCGACAACCTGGATGTCACAGGAATCTACGGCTCCGGACGTATGTATCTGCAGCAACTCCCTCGAAACCCAACATGCTAATGTAACCAGTGTTCCATCATGACGGTCCCTTCGACGCCTGCAACCCGCACCGCAACCGCCGCCGCGACCACAAGGCCCCCATGGAAGCCTTCCCCGTCAACAGCGCCAATAACGTTCTCGGCCCCTCCGGCCCCGTCAACAAAACCTTCAACATGGACCAATTCCACGGCACCGTCCCCGAAGGCTTCACCGACTACAACAACACCCAGCGCCCTCACAAGGCCCAGCGCGGCGGCGTCTTCAACCCTGTCGAGCGCGCCGAGCAAGTCCACGGCGAAGAGACCTTCGGCCTCGGCACCTCCACCTTCCTCGAAGGCGCTCCGGCCTCCCGCGCCGCCATACAGCGCCGTGAGTCCGAAGCCGAGGAGAAAGCCCGCCTCGCCGCCCTCGACCCCGCCGGCGGCCTCGGCCGCAAGAAATCCTTGGCCCAGCGCATCCGCGGGATCAGCGCCCCGCGCCGCTCCGTGTACGATGCTAACGGCGTGAAGATCAGCAGCCCCGAGGCGCGGTTCTCGGCGGCGGTGACGTCGCCGATGGGGCAGACGCCTGGATCGGGGCCCGAGCGGTCGAAGACGACGGGCGGGATGAAGACATCGGAGAAGAATCCGTTCTTCAACGAGTACGACGATGCGTACGAGCGGAAGGGGGCGGCGATCGCGCTGGCGAGGGGGAGCGGCGAGGAGCCGCGACGGTCGTCGGTGCCGGCGGTACCGGCGGTGCCAAAACTGATCCCGGTGCAGGATGAGATTAGCGTGGTGAAGCCGGGGGGCGAGAAGGTGGCGAGCCCAACGAAGGTGACGGCGAATCCGCTGGAGCGGCGGACGACGACGGATGGGGTGGGAGCGGAGCCGGAGAAGGAGAAGGAGAGTGTGGAGGCGGTGCAGAAGGCTCGGGAGGGGTTGATGAGTCGGATGAAGAGTTTGAAGGGAGTGAGGAGGAAGCCGTGAGGTGGGACAAAGAGCGGATTGATTAATTGACGAGAGAAGATGGTGATGGGTGGGATGATGGACGACGATATTACACTACCCAGAAAGGAAACGAGGAACGCGAGTGGTGGCTGCGCATGGATGGATGGCATTGGTATGGCAACGAAGACTTGCTGACCACGCTTGGGCCGTACGTCTGGTTGGATCCGCATCCAAGATGGCGACTGTTTCCTTCTTCCGCATCCCCGCAGGAGATGGTTGGAAACGATGCTGCCCGACGAGATGTCTCTACTTTTACGTCGCCAGACGAGACATCGCCTGGTTCATCTCGAATAACCCCTGAGGATGCCAGGTGGACCTCTGGCGCTAGACTACACTGCACTGGGCATGGACTGGTTGTTTATTCTACCTTACCTGACAGAAGAGATATTCTTTCTTCGATGGCGTATTTGTATCAAGACTTTTCCATGGATACTAGAATGGTTCATGATGAATTCATCTTTTTCCCCTTTGTTCGGTTGTTGCGAGTGAGGAACGTGAAGTTTTGAGCGTTCACGATGCTATTGTTTATATGTCCAAGTTCAACGGTTGCCTTCATCTGATCTCTATTTGCCGTATCCGATGCCTTCATTTCCGTTGCTTCTATTGCACCTGCCTGATCTTCGCTAGACATTGAAACATCAAATGCTATTTCGTTCACTTTCCATGTCGTGCCTAACCGGAACAATAACCCCCAGACACCGAATTTCACTGGAAACCGATGCCCGACTGGATTCGCTCTCGCTGAATCTATTTGAATCCATTTCTAACTGAACATATTACCCGGACTAATTAAGATAGGTTGCTTAAAACAGCTTGGCTACGGTGGTTATAACCGATTGGACGCCTTCAGCCGTCGCCATTATGAACCTACTAGCCACCTGCACGTTTTCGTTCCCCGACAGTATCATCCTATCCACGCTTGCCTTCCTCGCCCGTCTCACTGCGGGCTGCCTCTCGAACAGTACCTTGTAACCGCATCTGACCACATCCAACTTATTCCACCACCTTTCGTTCCCACTTTCAGAACCACCAGTACAGTACTAACAGTCAAGCATCGCATCAATTAACGTCTTCAACTCTCATGCAATCCGTTGTGATAACTCAAACGCATATCCCACGCTCGCCAGCACGCTCGCCAAATTCACCAACGACGACACCCCATGCAACACCCCAAACCGGCGATTCAGCGCCCTCATCTCCCCACTCACCGGCGCATCCCGCCCCTCCCCCGCCCGCTTCCCCTCCCTCGTCTCCTGTGCCTTCCGCCGCCTCATCGCTGCGTTCGTCATCGGGCCCAACACCGCTTTATTCACCAACCCCCCCAGGAACATGATGGCGAGGAGAGTTTTCGTGGCGAGGGTGCCGTGGGCGAGGAGGGCGCGCGGACCGGAGCTGGAGGTGGAGGGGGAGGGGTAGGTGAGGGCCATGGCAAGGGGGAGGGCGGTTTGGATGGTGAAGTAGATGGGGAAGGAGGCGGATTGGAGAGCGGAGAAGTGCGGGCGGGGGAGGGTGCGGAAGGAAAGGATGCTGGCGACGAAGGTGTTGTAGAGGTTGGCGCCGAGGAGGGTGCCGTAGCTGGTCGGGTCAGTAAGATGGATGGATGGAGTGGGGATGGGGAGCGAACCTGAGGATGTGGTAGGGGGTTGGGGATAAGATAGCATCCATCTTGTCTATTCAGAGGCGTTTATTACTTCTATATGGGTATAGTTCTGTTCTTTGTTGTTAAAGAAACGACTGGAAGCTGGTGAGACTGACGACGTCCAACTGGTTTCCTGGTGACTAGTGATGGTATGAAAGCTGCCAATCAAAGGACATGGAGCTTTGGAAATCCGGGGTCCGAGACGTTGAAAGCCTGGGCACGTGATAACGCGTTGAATTAGTCGACGCTAAAGGGCCAAGACGCGTCTTCGTCATGATCGTAGTGTGATAGTCTGTGACCGCGTCTGCCTACGAACAGAATTACCTAGTATGATCATTGAATGGTCCCTCAATGTTATAAATAATACTTTATATGACTACAATGCATTGAACTAACTCCTTAAGACACAATCACCATGGCGGAAAAGGAGGCAACGGTCTACATCATTGATGTGGGGAGCTCGATGGGAGAGATTCATCATGACCGAACCCAATCCGACCTCGACTGGGCGATGCAATATGTCTGGGACAAGATCACTGCAGCTGTATGATACAGAATCGCTCTTGTATAGTATGGGTCTAATCACCAAGCCAGGTCGCAACAGACCGCAAAACCCTCTTCATGGGTGTCATTGGTTTACGCACCGATGGCACCGATCATCTGGACAATCTGTCTGCCGATGATGGATATCAAAACATCACGATCTTCCAACCCCTAACCCAGACAAAGATGCCGGAGATCCGCAAGTTGACCGAAGATCTGCACCCCTCGCGCACCAACGAAGGGGATGCGATATCCGCCATCGTCATTGCGATCGAGATGATCACCGCCCATTGCAAGCGGCTCAAGTACAAGCGAAACATCACCCTCGTCACGAACGGGACGTCGGGCGTCTATGCAGATGACCTGGATGAGATTGCGAACAAGTTAAAGGATGACGGGATCGAGCTCGTGGTGCTCGGAGTCGATTTCGACGACCCGGAGTATGGCTTCAAAGATGAGGGGAAGAAAGGGGAAAAGGCAAAGGTCGAACAGTCGCTCCGAAGTCTATGCGATGCCTGCGATGGAGTCTACGGAACCATGGCGCAGGCCATCTCGGAAATGGCGGTTCCACGCGTGAAATCGGTTCGGCCTGTCCCATCCTTCAAAGGCTGGCTCACGCTGGGCGACCCCGATAAATACGATTCGGCGATGGTCATAGACGTGGAACGCTATCCACGAGTGATGGTAGCTCCGGCGCCTCGCGCTAGTCAACACGTCATCAAGACCGGTATAGATCTAGATGCCACGCAGACGGGAGAGTCGGCCACGCTAGAGGGTGAGGGGACGGGTAGCCTAGGAGAGGGTATCTCGGCGATCAAGCAAGCGCGATCATACCAAGTTGAAGACAATGAGGCCCCTGGAGGTAAACGAGACGTTGACAAAGATGATCTGGCGAAGGGATACGAATATGGTAGGACCGCCGTTCACATTGACGAGTCCGATATGAACATTGTCAAGCTGGAAACGAAGGCACGGCTAGATGTCATCGGTTTCGTTGCCCAAGAACAGGTCAGTGATGGGAGCACAACAAAGATGCGGCTACTGATGGTTATGGCAGTTCGAGCGTCACCTAGGAATGTCCAGGTCCAATGTCATCATCGCCACGAGAATCTCGGAGAAAGCAGCCATGGCCATTTCTGCGTTCATTCATGCGCTATTCGAAACAAGCAGCTATGCTATCGCCCGTCTTGTTCCGAAAGACGGCAAAGATCCGCACCTCGTGGCTCTTGCGCCGTCGATTGAATCGGATTATGAATGTCTCCTCGAGGTGGAGCTTCCCTTCAATGAAGATATTCGGACATATCGGTTCCCTCCTCTCGATAAGATCGTCACGGTATCGGGGAAGAATGTCGTGCAGCATCGATATCTCCCTAATGACGAACTGATGAAGTCCATGAGTGATTACGTCGATGCCATGGATCTGTCGACACTTGCCTCAAAAACAGAAGAGTATGTGCTCCCTTACACTCTAGGGGCTTGGCTAACTCCATTCTCTCGTCGACAGTGGCGAACAAGAGTACGCGGCATTAGAGGATACGTACTCGCCAATGATCCACCGCATCAAACAATTGATCGCCTGGAGAGCCGTTCATGATTCAGAACCGGCGCCTCCGCTACCCGAGAATTTAATACGATACTCTGCCCCTCCAAAAGAGCTTGTGAAGGCTGTGGAACGGAAGCTTGAGGACCTCGTGGTGGCTGCAAGCGTCAAGAAAGGTAAGTTCATACGCAATCCCCCCTCGTGCAAATACCAACCTCTCAGTCCCCCCGAAATCCAAAGCCCGCAAACGCGCCAGGTCACCCGAAAAACCCCTCTCCGGCCTTGACGTCTCGTCCCTCCTCTCAACCACCCACCCACCCCGGAAGATCAGCCGCGAGAACGCGATCCCAGAATTCAAGCAACTCCTCCGAACCGCCGGCGGCGCGGCGGACATCCACTCCGCGTGCCAGCAGCTCGGGCTGGTCATCGCCAGCTACGTCAAGCACAGCCTCGGCAATGCGGGCTACGAGCGGGCGATCGAGGCGCTGCGCGTGTGCCGCGAGGAGGCGATCGAGTTGGAGGAGCCGGGCGCGTACAACGCGATGCTGCTGGAGCTGAAGCGGAAGTTGTTGGATGGCGAGTTGGGCGAGGAGCGGAGGGAGTGGTGGTGGAGAGTGCGTATGAATCCGGTGGGGGTGATTGATAAGAAAGTGAGCGAGTTTTCGGAGGTAGAGGTGGAGGAGGGGAGAAAGGTGAGTCGGGTTGCGTGGTTGAGGGTGATTATGCTGACATGTCGAAGTTGATGACACTTTCGGGGCCTTGATGCCTCTCGGCCCGATTACGATGATCTTAATCTTCTAGTGGAACGCCAGGCATGGTATCGCTGCAATGGAAGCACGCTGCAATGGAAGTATAAGGGCTCTCCTTGCCACACACATATCTGTGGATTGTTGGTTTAATGTTGGAGCTGCCCACTAATGCAGTGAAATTCGACTTAGGATAAATCCGCCCTGATCGGGTGATGTCCTCATTCAAGTAGCTGAGATCATTCCCATTCAATGGACTTGGTCAGTCAGGGCATAGGGTCAATCCTTCTAGGGACAGGGGGATATCCGCTCAGTATTGTCGAATGAAACCACAACATGTGCACCAGACTCAGCAATAGTAAGGACTGACTGGCATGCAACGCCTAATAAACTCCAAAGAACCACGCTTCCAAACAAATTACTCGCAATCCCTACCGCCCATCCGGCACACAAATCGCCTTCCCCACCCGCAACCGATCGCACTCCATCCCCGGATTCACCTCCATCAAATCCTGCAACCCCACCCCCGCTCTCTGCACGATCTCCCAGCACGTATCACCCCGCTGCACGACGTATGCATGACTCCCATCCGCGCAGCGCAGCGGCGGCTCCGGCGTCGACCCGGGCCCGGTGTTCACTAGTTTGAACAGCAGGAACAGCACTAGCACGACGAGGAGGAGGAAGGGGAGAAGGTAGCGCCAGGCTTCGCGGTTGCCTTCTTTCATTGCTTCGTCCTAGACTCGGGGTTAGTATCGCTTCAGGTGGGATGCATGGGACGTGGGAAGGGGAACCATACCTCTTCCATTGTCATAGGTCGCGGTTCCGACCCATATGGTGTTAATCGTCCATATCGAGCTCCCGCCGGACCCTGGAAGAGCGCGCCATTCGAGGACTGGAAGGTATGCCGTTGCGTGTCGGCGTCATATCCGACTCGTTGCATCCCGTCGGGGAGACGTTGATCGTCCTGGTTGGTGGTCAACAGGGAGCGGTGGAGCGACGATGCTGACTCCTAGATGGTACTTACGGATTCTCTGTCTGTCCAGCGGCCCATTTTGTCCGATTTGTGTGATACTTTTTGATTTCAAGAGATATGTGTGCTTGGGGTAGGTTGCTGTCTGTTGTTAACGGTGACAATGGTATCTGAGACACAGCCTACGTCAGCCAACAAGGGTCTGGTGGGCTGCCTCTTTATGGTATGGTAAGTCTTTACCTTCAAGGAGCCATAATTAACTACGGAGTTCTTCTACGGAATACAAGTAACCTCATCCGTTACATATCATCTACCGCTACATGTCTATCATGTCTTTCACGCTCATTACATCGTTATTGGATTAACGTATTCCACAAGCGAGCGGCCCATACAGGCGAGCGGCCCACCCCATTTTACTAGTAAATTCGATAAAATTTGATATCAATATCTCAGCAACCATTGGATAATATAGTCTGAAAACTTAGAATTAGGTTTTCCTATCCATTTCTAGCTTACTATTGAAATCTTAGAGCTTTATCTTTTATAGTTATAAAGATATAGAGATTTGGTCTCTAAATCTTGCCAAGAAGTAGGCATCTCTATACCTGTAAAAGCTAGGGTTTTAAGATTTCAATAGTAAGCTAGAAATGGCTAGGAAAACCTAATTCTAAGTTTTCAGACTATATTATCCAGTGGTTGTTGAGATATTGATATCGAATTTTATCGAATTTACTAGTAAAATGGGGTGGGCCGCTCGCCTGTATGGGCCGCTCGCTTGTGGAATACGTTACAAAGTTACCGTATAACTCGGACTGTCTATGCATTATTCATGCCTATCCCGTAGGGTTTGGGGTCGATGAACGAGGCCGACACATGAAAGAACGGCGACATTCTTCGGATTGACTTGCATGAATTCCAATGGTTTACATCGTTCTCATTGCATTGTTGACTAACTCAAGCCAATATCCTCTCGCTCTGGTCCGTTTTCGTCTGTACAGATGAACCTCTCACTCAACATTTTAAAGTTGTCGAAGCATTGTATTGGCCGACAATATGCTTGACTGCTTGCTGTACCCATTCCGTTCGGATATAGGCCAGATGGTTAAAGAAACAATCGCCGGGTCCGCACACCTATTTGTCGGTTAGCACAGTCCGCCTCCTTCGCGCGACATGAGTCTTACCGGGTCTCCTTCAGCGCAGAGATTCAGCTCCTTCTCAGCCAACCCGGCGGGAAACGTGCTCGTGGACGAGCTTTTATGGGCGGGATCGCCGGTCATGACGAGGGCGACGATCTTCGGATAGAGGTCGCGTGGGATGTCTTTCGCCGCCGCGTGCATGAGCGCCGCGCCTTGGGAGTAGCCGACCAGCGCGAACTTCTGGTCCGGGCAGGCTTTGCTTTGGGCCTTCAGTCGGTTGTTAACGTCGGTGGCACCGGTGCGGACACCTGTGAGGTCGTAACTGGCTGGATACTAGAAGGGTCAATGGACGCTACCCAGAAATAGGAGCAATGGAACCTACCTGAACGGGATATCCCCTCGCTCCTGGGAGGACCAGCGTGGTGTTGGTGACGATAGGGTCGCCAACCACGATGCCGAACTTCCCTCCTTCAGCGTTCGGTTCACTGGTTCCTCGCGCGACGAGGATTTCCAGGTCGGAGCATCCGGCGGGGATATCGGCCGGATTGATCGGGACGGGCGTGCCCATCTTGATGTCTCCTGGGAGCGAGGGACATGATGACTGGCAGGCCGCCGATGCGATCAGGAGCGCGACCGTTTCCAAAGTGAGGACTTTCATGTTGGATGCGGATGGGCGTCGGTTTCTGGAGGTGGATGGGTTTGTACGTGTTGAAACTCGACGCGTGGATCTTCCATGGGCGCTCTTATAGGTGAGTATAACCCTAAGGGGTTGAAACCACCGAAGAGGGCGGCCGGCTGCTGTCCTATAGTCGTATATCGTACCGATTACATTGCGGTGTCTACAGTACTCTACCCTCATCGCCTGTGCGCGGCCATTGACCAGTATGAAGTGTGGGCTTATTTCTGTCCTGCCTAGCCGTGTCGATCTAGGAATTGTCGTCCCAGATTTCGATTTACGGAGAACATTGGATTGTCTAATACATTGTACGTATTGCAGAGGCGTCATTAAAGTTCATTAAATACCTTGGCCATATCATCCCGGAGTGAGCCCGTACAGTGTGGACAGTGGATACACGTCTACCGAATCTGATTTTAATTGCCTATTCATGCCCTTAGCTTTAAGGAAGTCTACAATGGCGGAGTTAAATGGAGCAATTAATATTCGATAACAAAGCCAATTGGACGGTTGGGTCGACTCTGACGGCAAGTCATTCGAGGACAGTTGACTTCAACTTGGCTTAATATAACAGTGTTCTCGACCCCACAAAGTAGCTCAGGCCTCATACTTGTGCTGGCCTGTGAAATCCAGGTCCTGAACCAATTCGTGACTTGCCGAGGGCCCATGCAACCGGCAGTTGGGATCTTGGATACAGCGGACGTCATGACTTGTAGAGATGACAAGAAAGCCGCAATAGATGCATCCGCTCATGTCCGCCAGTAGAGGCAATTCGTTTCGTCGGCACTTGGTCCGACTCTTTCAAATGCGTCGATAATTCAAGAAAGTACTCTCAGTAGCTAGAAGATGTTAAATCCCGTTGAGCCCTATCAACTGTCAAGAGGGCAGCCAATCTGCAACTCCTGTTGGACTCCGGTGTATTTCGTATTCGGTGTCGTGCAACTTGGTGAGTGCGGGACGTGGGTCCGATTCCGAGGCGATTCTTTCGATCGACTTATGGTCATCATAAACCGGACGGTGGCACATGTAAGCTCTGTCTATTTTGAAACGTCTTACGGCAATCCTCTTCCCTCGCTTCTTCTCCAGTGTTGGTTGGAAGTGAGAGAGCAATCAGCGAGGTCATGTTTCAACGAAAGGGTTCCATCAAGGGTGGTTGGCATGGGTCCAGTCCAACCAAAATAAAATATAGCCCCAGGCCCCTAGCCACACCTTATGTACCGGGTTAAGGGGTTTTCCCGGGGTCGTGCACGGCCCCACTCAATGCACGATTCACTAGATATTTTGAATACGTTTTTGAGGCTACTCGCACCCATAAAAGAGTAACTTATATAGAAAAAGCTAGCGGTGAGGTCTATGTAAATAGAGCCTTATTTCCCACCTAATTCGTAGTCCTGTAGGCGTTTTGGGAGGCGTTTCTCACGCCGTGGGCGCCCAGACGAAGGACCCCCCTCTGTATCTTCTTGACCACTGAGGATAACGTGAGGCTGTAGACTTCGCCTTTAAACCACCTGTGTAGACTTTCTCTTGGTGGTTTTAAAGGATCTAGACTCCCTACAGATCTGGAAGTTGGCTAATCGAGCCTCCTTACTAGCCTGCCTCTCCTTCCCCAAAAGGGCCTTCTCCGTAGCCCTCCTTGTACGTGCCTCATCTCGTTGGAGACGGTTTTCTATCATCTTTTTTTCCTTCTCTATCTTGCGTTGTGCCCTTGCTACCTTATCCTGTTAACTTTGTGCCTCTTGATCGACCTTTTCCTGTTCTCTCTGTGTTTGAAGTTCGCGAGCTCTCTGGATCTTGGAGGGACTGAAAAACTGTGCCTTTATACCAGTTTTAGCACGTAACTCTTCAAATAGTGGCTTCGCCCTCTTACGTTTCTTTTTCTCGTTGATGATAGCCTTTCGCAGGCCCTGGTTTTCCGCTCGTAAGAGGGTAACATCGGTTGAAAGCTGGGCGACCGCGCTGAGAAGCTTTTTCGACTCCGAAGTAACCGCATCACCTACAGCATTACGGATAATCCATTTTACCTGTCTCCAGTCCGTTGACGAGAGGTAAGAATCTGCCGATGAGGCATTTGAGCCCGGTCGAGAGGTTGTTTCGCTAATCCCGATAGCCTGTAGGACTACGGACTGATCCAGTGGATCCAGTCCTGTTTTTTCCCAACCACTTCGAATATTGGTAGGAGTGCAAGATTTATGCCATGCCGCCCAAAATAAGCGAAAGAGGTCTCGTTTCGTGATAGAACAGAGTCCCTGGCACTCAGATATGAAGGTATTGAGTTCCTGCCCGTAATAGGTCGCAAGAGGTGAGAACAGGCTAATGTCGAGCGGTTGTAGGCGATGAGTGGTATGCGGTGGGTAGCAGCATACCAAAATACGGTTTTCGTGGCACCAATCCAGGAACCTCATATTGATATGGCTACCGTGCCCGTCAATAACCAAGAGACGATATCTCCGTCTCGCCTTCGGCTTCGTATACCGCTCAAAACATTAGTCAACCAATGGAATCCTAGCTCATCGTTCGTCCATCCTTATGGAGATGAGGCAAAAAAGGCCTGGTGGTTCTCCGTGTCGAAATCTTGGAGCCAAGAGTCCTGGAGATTACCGGAAACCGCCTGGTAAATTAGACCGGGCGGTAACCAGGAACCATCCGCACAGATACATGCAAGAATGGTAATCCACTCACGATTACCATCCGTCGTGGCCCCTAGGCTCTTATTTTGCGATAAAACGGCCTTTGAGACGATCCGTCTCATCTTGGTCGTGATCCCCATAAGGAATCCCTTTTCATCCATATTGTACATATTCTCCCGATCAATGTCGTATTCCGCAATCTTTTGGGCTAATAAGGCGTAGAAATCACGATAGTCTTACTCTTTATCCGCCCGGGTCCTAGAGGACTCGATAACGTTGAGATATCTCCCGTCGAGCATCGTCTCATGCCGCTCTACGAATCTAGAGACCCAGTTCTTGCCTATGTCTTGTTTCGCGATATCGCAGGCGAAGTTCCGTACCATTGTAGTAGTAGGCGGAAAACCACGCCTACAGAGGTCGTTGATATACGAAACAAGTTTCTTCTCCTGGAATCCATGGAGTTTTCCTCTGTTCAAGTCCGCATCTTGCTTAGAGGTGTTTTTTTGGCGATGTCTCCTAGATAACTTCGTACGGTCGATTCCATACTCTTTTGCAGTCTTAGTATAATTAGGTTTCTCTCCCAGCTCCAATGCAGCAAGAGCGAGCTCAATCTGATCCATTTTGGTAAAGATATATCTAATTACATATTGAATATCGCGATATCATTTCGTGCATTGTGTGGGGCCGTGCACGAGGTGGGGAAAACCTAATTAATTCATTTTGTAACTAGTTAGTTAGTCAACAATGGAAACTGAGGATCTCTGCTTCACCATTCTTCAATCATTTCATCCTCAAAATTATGCTATTCTCCAAACCATTTGTATATTTGGGTCTAAACCTCTAGCTAAATTCACTCAAATCTCCCACTCAAGCCCGATGAACGCCAAGGCTTCCGATCAAAACTCCTACATCGCAGCATCACTCATGGACCGCTCCAAGTCGCCGTTGAGGCTGTCCGTATAGGCCATCGATGCCTCGAGATTCCGGTTTACTGGACGATCGGTGAAGAAGCTCGCTGAACCGACTCGATTTGTGTTTTTGGGGCTTCGAATCTAGAGGCGGTGCTAGTTGAGCACGTTCGATCTCTGCTTGACTTGAATCGACGACGCGTGGATGGTCCGCGATCGTCTCCGGATCCGCCTGTCCGAACCGAGATCGATCGGCCGCCGAAGAAACAGGTTTACGACGGGTCGAGGCAGTGCCCTATAAGCTCGTTAATAACGGACACACATATCGTGGGTCGTCGAACCCACCTGAATTCCACGCACGGCAGCCTTGAGGTCTTGCATCGTTGATCGCGGGTGAGATGGCTCAGTTTGCTGGCCATACGAAGTGGGCTGCTGGTACGAGACAGGTCCGGATGGAGGGCTTCCTAGAACATTCTCCGCTGAGGGTCGAGGATACGAACTGTTCTGGACGGCTGTAGGAGGCGCCACGGGCGCCTGTTGATGCCCATACGACGAAGCGTCCACCTCTGGAGTGCTCCTCATGGTGCTCTTGGAAGGTATCGCTGGACTGTGGTCTCGAGACTTCTTCAGGCTCAAGAGCCGTTGTATCCGAGTTGGAGATGCCTTTCCGGCACTGGCTTTCTGGGGACTGGGGCTTGCACCGACGTTGCCGTTGCTAACGTTTTGACTACTGGCAACGGTGGCCGCAGTCCCGCCGCTAGGGCGTGTAATGGTCGATGTGGTGGTGGTCGTCGTCGTCGTGGTCGTCGTGACCATATTTCCTGTGTTGGGGTCTTTATGAACTTCTTTCCGCACGGTAGGTTCACCACGAGGAACCACTTGATTGGGCGGTGACCTTCTGTCGCTTCCCGTAATGCCCGAAGAAGTTGTCGGCGTGTCTGGGACGCTGCCGGAGGGTAAGTTGCTGGTAGATGGTGACGCTTGATCCAACCCGCCACCCGTATTCTTGTCTTTCTGGAACGGATGCGATAGTCGCTTAGACCAGTTGGACTTCTTGTCCTTCTCCACCATTCCGGCCGTTGGAGGCTGCATTGGGCCAGGATTAGGTAAGGTAGGTAGGGAAGTGGTCGAGGTCAATATTGGCTTTTCTTTCCTGAGTTGGGTCTGGGACTGGTCCACGCTTGATGGCTCTTTAGGTGGATTTCTAGGTTGAATCTCTGGATTCCTCGGGTATGACTAAATAAGTAGGAGATTTCAGATTTCTTTCGAGAAACAAACGAGTCTGGAATTGGGGTCAAGGATCTGTAAGTTGCGTACAGGTCAACCAGTGATGTCATCCATCAGGATGTCGTAAACGGATTTCCCAATCCGGCATGCAGCGCAGGGGTATCAAATGTGGCGGTGCAGGGGTCATCACTGCACTGGAGGCACTGGAGCAATTTGGAATTTCCTATGTCAGGAGCCCAGGACTGTCTGGTGACACACTGTGACATATCCGGTCCTTCCAGTCCTTTAAAGATGAATTCTTACAGAAGTCTCCTATCCTCTCACTTCTTATTATCAGGATGTCGAACCTGACTTTGTTCTGTGAAGTGTGGACTTGAACTGTTACTACAGTGGTACTACAACTGAACCTTTCTATCAGGGTCCCTCTTACTTTCCACTTCATACAGTCGACGAACTCGATCTCTAGTCATTCCAGTTCAGGGGATTGGTCCCGAACCTAAATCTGGCTCGTTATCTCATCTTTTATCATCCAGCAAATTCGAAGGACTTGGGGAAGACAAGGCCATTTACAATTCAGTGGACAAGCCGACGGAGGACGCGCAAGATGCCAAAGAATGCAGCACAATTACGGGGAAGGAATATTAGGCGATCTCTTGCAGAGATCAGTCCTGCCGACGCGCCGTCTCAATCACAGAGCCCTTTGTTCAGGCTTCCACCAGAGATTCGAAACTATATCTTCGAACTAGCCTGTAGCCAGTGTGAAGAGACGTCCAAGCTCGGCGACACCCCTTACCCTGGATGGCGCCCATTGTATGAGCAGCGGAAATCCTTGAAAACATCAACATCGCTGCTGGCAACATGCAAATTGGTCTATTCAGAAACGAGCTTGATCCCGATACGGAGTGCTACTCATATGGTTGACCTTGAGGAACCTCCCTACGATACCTACACCCTAGCTCTCCGTCCTTTCGCTACTATGACCCAACGTACCCTCGAGAATCTGAACCACGTTCATTTGCTTGCGGATTTCATTTACTTCTTTTTGTCCGACGTAATATTTCAGATGCCACGGTTCCGACCGAAACGCTTGACGGTAACCACCGACGCGTTGTCTAGCGCAAGGATTCGGACAGCTTATTTCTTCTCGAATGTCGACCAAAAGCTATACCATGGACTAAGTACAATGAAATTCCCGGGCTCCCTCAAACGTTTGGAGCTAAGGATAATCATTCCTTTGCACTTTCCTATCGGGATCGAGACGACCAAGGTGTTTTCAGAATCCGTAATCCAGACTCGAGGGCACAGCACGCTTTCATTTCATTCGTTCGAAATAGTGCTCACTCCTTGCCCGTTACTAGAAGAGCACTACCAGGGGAAAGCAGAGCAACTCCGCTTTAAGGACCACTTCCAGGCACAAACTATCCAGGGCATTTGGGTGGAATCGCCTTCATCAGATCACCGTGCGTCAATCAATACAGAAGTTGATTTCCGAGACATGTATGGGAATAGGCTACCCCTTCCACCTCTTTTGGATGTTGTGAAGTGTCCCCCTGGTACTCCTTGGAAAACGTGGTGGGAGGAGCAGCTGGCCACGGCATGGTGTGAAATCAGAAAACGGAGAGAAGTTGGCATGATAATCGTACGTGGCTTAAGGTTTCTTCAGTCATACGGTTAGCAGGTATGTGACAAAAGGGAATTCTCAGTATACAGAACTTTCTCGTTATTATGTTCCAGAGCCATATTGTCAGTATTGGGTGTTCAATATTTCCGGTATGGAATATATTATTGACCGGGGCTGGCAGCCGCCGATCTTCGACTCGCCTCGAATTTCATAGGCCCCCACAAGGTCGACTGTTGAACTGCAAAGCATTACTTATTAATTTTTTAAAGTCAATTGCCGTTATATAAGTACTGATGTAACGATGCCTCAATGCAATCTGTGCTGTATTGCGGCATAATTACGCATCGAGATCGGAGCAGAACAGGGCGATGGTATACAACTAGTATTTAACATCAAACTGCCAGTTCGAAAACTGCGATAGACGTCCTGACTTGTTTCAAGCTCCTTTCTCTTGCGGTTTCTGAGTCACAGCCAGTTCCATTGCAGGGCCTTAGTTAACCTATCAAAATGAAGCCAAGTCTGTTCCCGCTGATCACCACGATCTTCGCCCTAGCGCTGGCACAAGTTCCACCAGATGCACAGTGGTATACTCTACGAACAGAAGCGTTCGTTCCAACCTTCATTTACCTCTGGCGTAGCTAATGAACCCGTCCCAGAGAGGTCAACACCTTGTCGAAGCTCTTCCTCAGCGCCAAAGACGGAAGCGTAGCGGCTTTCGCCGGGACTCGGGAATCGGCGAACGTTGCCCAGAAGTTCTTCACGACGGCCTACACTGATGCTGGGACATTGTCCTTCCATGCCGGAAACGCGAGCCATCAGCTCGGTCTTTCAGGCAAGCTTGGCTCGGGGATGCTGGAGCTGGTCGACCTAGTCAATCCGACGGGCAAAACGATCAAACCGGACAATCCTACCATGTGGAGTGTCTTCACAGTCGGGCAAGGTGGTGTACTTGGTATCAAAGATGGTACCGAAAACACACTGAAGGATAGGACTTGGGTTGCTTGGTTGGAGACAGATGGAACGTATCATGTCGGACTCTGGGATGGGGTGACGAAGCAACCGAGGACAACTTCGAATGTCCAGGTGATCGCAGAGAGGGCGCAAGCTCCATTAGGCTCGTGATGTAATAAAGGAAATCAGAAGATGGAATTCTGGAGTTTCATGGTCCCGATGTTACCGAATCGTACCATATAGGTCGTGGTTCATCCACCTTGCTCTTTTCTGAAGGCTGGAAGTAGCGTGAAGGTCTGCATAAAGACAACAAAGAATATAATGAGCCCCAGAACCAAACATATCATTAAATTGGCAATTCATGGGGGATGATGAATAGGAAGTCGTCGGACAACATCTCACACGTGGACTGGACGGCAGAACAGTAAAGGTGTTAATGGCCGAGAATTTGCCGACCGAACGTCCCCAGAGCATCAAATGCTTGAAGAATTTCTGGATCAGCTCGACGACATACAATTGAATATCTCGGAGGTGAAACATTTACTCAATTCGAATTCTTATTGGAGGCCATTACGGATGTCTTTCCTCGCGTGATAGTGCCCTCTCCGAGCCCTCTATCCAAACCATCTATCCCCATCCACCATCCCGAACAATGGCGTCCATCCAAGCCGCCCCAGCTCGAAAAGCCCTCGTCGGAGTGGTGGTCTCCGCTGGCAAAATGGACAAATGCGTCAAAGTACGCATCCCGAAACAAGTCTGGAATAACAAGATCCGCAAAGTACGCTCCCTCCGTGCCTCCGTCCTGTCGTCTCGCCGCAACCCCCTCCCATGACCCGAACTAACATCATCCGCTTCCAGTACTTCACCGAACACTACGCCCTCCTCGTCTCTGACCCCGCCAACTCCACCCGCGCCGGCGACGTCGTACGCATCCGCGACGGCTACCGCCCCGCCACCCGCGCCGCGCGCGTCGCGCACATCGTCACTAACGTCATCTCGCCTTTCGGGCCGCCGCTCGGCGACCGGGCGCCGGTGCCGTCGGACGAAGAGCTACGAGGGGAGCGACACGAGAAGAAGGTGCATAAGGACGAGCGGCAGGCGTTGCGGGGGCGAAAGTTGGCGTTGGAGCGGGTGATGGCGCGGCGGATGGAGGGGGGGATGGAGGGGGAGGGGGAGGATCCGTTGGGGAAGGCGTTTGCGGAAAGGGAGGCGGTGTTGAAGGAGATGATGGAGAGGGTGACGGGGAGGTTGGAGGGGGAGGGGACTATGGTGGATGAGGAGGTGACAAATATGTTGAGGAAGCTGGTCATTGGGAGGAGCGAGGATATTTTGAAAGCGGGGACGGGGACAGCGGAGGCGCCGGATATTGAGGGGCAGATGGGGAGTATAGCGGCGAAGGCGAAGGGGATGTTGGAGCGGAGGAAACATCTGGAGGCGATTGAGGAGAGGCGGAAGGGGTTGGAAGACAAGCTGCAGACTATGCTGGATGGCATGCGTGAGCAGATATCGCGGGCTTGATTTGAAAGCATTGCTTGGTGTATTATGGGTTTAGCGACTTTGTTCGTATAGGTTGGATTCATGTACGAGTACGAGTACTAGTTGTGTATAGATGTACAGATATGGTACAAATGGGTATCACTCAGGGGATATTCAACTGCTCTCTAACAATTCCCGCGGCTTTCTGCGCGTCAACCCGCCCCTCTTCGGCACCACGGATCATCTGGCCGACAAGCCACATCACCTTCGATTTCCCGGCTTGGGGATCGCGTAGGATGACACGCACTGTGTCTTGATTGTTGTCCAGGACCGTCTTCACCATCGCGTGGTACTCCTCATCAGACATGGGCTTCACCGCTAGGTTATCCTGTTCAATGATTTCTTCCGCAGTCCTTGAATCGCCATGGAAGAGGTTCGCTAGCAGTTGCTTTGCTGTCTTTCCTGTTACTCTCTTCCGAAGCACGTTCAGAATTACCGATGCAAGGGTATCAGGGCGCACACGGCTCGCATCCCATGGCTCTTCCGATTGAGAGAAAAGTCCGCCGAGCTCATGAAGTAGCCAATTTCCAGCCGTCCGCCCATAAGGCATGGAGGCCCTCTCGGAGTCGGAGAGTTCAGACTCGAGGGTTTGGACAACTTCCATGTAATAATCCAACCGTTCACCCTCGTCCAAGTTGTGGACGGTCTTCGCATCTTTGATGGAGAGTCCATACGGAGTCTTCAGGGTCAGAAGACTAAAGGCGTCGTCCGGCAACAACGGCATCGTGGCGTGAATATGCTCGACGAGATCCTCTCCAATGATTACCGGCGCAATATCCGGATCCGGCATGTATCGGTAGTCGATCTCTCCTTCCTTTCCGCGTAGGGATCGGGTCTCTGTGCCGCCTATTGTCCATCCTCTCGTCTCGCCTTCAATGACCCCTCCAGACTCGAGAATTTGGATCTGGCGGTTCCGTTCAGCAATAATGGAGTCTTCCACAGCTTTGAAACTGCTCAGATTCTTGATTTCGGTCCTTTGCCCGAGTCCAGACACGCCGTGGTATTGGTGTCCAGTCCCACTGTCGACCTCTGTTCCTCGCTTCCGAATCGACACGTTAACATCAGCACGCATTCCCCCCAGTTCCATACCGGCATTCAGCGCATTGATGCTCTCAAGGATGCTCTGGATTTTGCGCACGCATGCTGCCGCCGTGGCCGGGGAATGAATCTGTGGAAGCGTGATAATCTCGATCAGAGGATGGGATACTCGGTTGAAGTCGAGGAGATAGGTGTCGTTGCCCTGGAGGATGGTCTTGGCCGTATCTTGCTCCATTTGAATCTGTTTGATCCCAACTGTAACCGAGTTCCCATCTTCTGGTGCGATGCCATCGTGTGGGTACAGGACGATGTGCCCATCCTTCGCGAACGGCTCTATTTGGCATTCGTTAGCCGTGAAACCGACTTGTAGCCTTTTCAGACTCCATACCATAATATTGCGTGATCTGATAGCCAGCTGGTTGATCCTGATAAAAGTAATGCTTCCGATCAAAAGTACTGGATCTCTGGATCTGGCAATTAAACGCAATGGCGGCACGAATCGCAGGTATCAACGTGGCCCCTTGGAAATGCGGTTGCGTCCCCGGGAACGCAAGATCGAAAAGGGCCACATGGCTGTTAGGAGGCTCATTGACGGAGGTTGCAGCTTCGGAGAAGAGTTTCTTCGCCGTATTGAGCTCGGCATGAACCTCTATGCCAGCGGTCAGCTCCCATTGGTCTAATGATGCTGCAATTCCATCAGGAGCCTTTTGCTTGCGACTTGTCTTCGAGCGTTTTGCTTCATCCTTCAGACGCTTTCGGAACGGTACAGATATCGGTGCCGACTCGGTGGAGTAGAAACGCCAGATCTGTGGCAGTCGTGTCGCGGTTCGGGGTGAACCGACCAGCAAGACTTGACTGAATGGCCTCCATCCTGACCGGATCATGGCCGTAGTGAGAAGGTCCGTCAGTCTCGATTCTTTAGGCCATTGAGCGCATCATCAATTGTTCTCTTCAGAGCCGTACCGATGATGCGTACCCACTTCTGTAGCGGACGTTGAAAGTTTACCAGACTGCGCATGTGGCGTGATCAGTCCGCCGAACATGGAGATGCCGATATCTTTATCCGCCGGAATTGTTCTCTGCCAGCTCAACATCAACCCATACCAAGCCACATCTACTACGGAGTATACTGTGGCAATATTAATGAGGTTCTGTTTTAGTCAATTGATGCATTGATACCATTCTCACAGCTTCGGATATTGGGCGAGAGCATGAGAGGACTAGCTTTTAAGCCGTTACTTTCCGACAGCTTGGATACCCTGAACACCGAGATCCCCAAACCCCCCAGATTTTGTCATGGAATGGTTCCGCGCTGTGGCGCTTAACCAGGGTTCATTCCCTTGAAAGTTGAAACGCGACCCTTCGTAGTTGCCGACCTTGCGGGCCGATGTGGGAGTTGTGGAGAGGCGCTGGTTCTATTCCGACAGCCGCCTATTCAGATTCAAGTTATTATTGTTCTCTCCGTTGTCATTATCTCTCCTCGTGTCTAACGGTCCTTCCGTTTCCTACCTTCTCATTAACTTTTGCGTACCAAGTCTGATTGTCCGTTGTATATTCGTAGCGCAGCAGAAGTCCGTTAGTTCGATATCACATTGAGTCCTTCTCCGTGATCCACGATGCCGTCGTCAATAGCGCTCTGTCTGAGGACAGCAGGGACATTCGCTCGATCCTCGCCTAAGGTAAGTCTGATCGTCGGCTGATCTCGAATGGCTCATCTCGAGATCGCGAGATCTGCACCTTTCACGCATCTAATGCATCCACAGACTCATGTCCTCCTTGCCCGAACATTCACAACCACCCTCCGCCGCAGCAAAATCAACAAAGTCTTCCCTTCCGCCTCCGAAGCCATCGCCGACTTGCCCTCAAACTCCACCGTGCTATGTGGAGGGTTTGGCCTATGCGGTGTCCCCGATACTCTCATCAACGCCGTGAAAAACAATCCCCAAATAACCGGCCTGACAGCCGTGTCAAACAATGCCGGTGTTGTTGGATCGGGACTGGGCCTTCTGCTTGCTAGCAAACAGATCAAGAAGATGATTGCTAGCTACGTTGGGGAGAACAAGCTCTTCGAGAAAATGTACTTGACAGGGGAGGTAGAACTCGAGTTGACGCCGCAAGGCACACTTGCAGAGCGGTGTAGATCTGGTGGTGCAGGCATCCCGGCTTTCTATACCCCCGCGGCATTTGGTACGGTTGTGCAGACCGGCGAATTGCCACTACGGCACACAGCGGATGGAAAGGTAGCAGAATATGGCCCGGCTCGGGACGTAAAGGTGTTCAATGGAAAGAGCTACGTCATGGAGGAATCCATCAAGGGGGACTACGCTTTTGTGAAGGCATGGAAAGCGGATCGGTTAGGAAACCTCATGTTTCGATACGCTGCCAATAACTTCAATGGAGCCATGGCCCGGAACGCCAGGGTTACCGTTGTAGAGGCCGAACACATTGTCGAAGTGGGCGAGATTGACCCCCTCTCCGTCCATGTGCCTGGTATCTACGTCGACCGCGTCATTCAAAGCACGGAGGAGAAGAAGATCGAGAAGGTGATCAACGCTAAAGACCCAGGTGAGACGCTCGGTGCCGGCGAGACCGCCAGCAAGCGAGAACGCATTGTCAGGAGAGCTGCGAAAGAGTTCAAGAACGGCATGTACGCTAATCTGGGCATCGGTATGCCTATGCTTGCTCCGAGCTTCGTCGATCCCGATGTCGAGGTGCAATTACAATCCGAAAACGGCATCCTAGGACTGGGACCATACCCCCAGAACGGAGCAGAGGATCCCGATGTTATCAATGCTGGCAAAGAGACTGTGACGCTACTCCCTGGTTCCGCTACGTTCGGCAGCGAGGAGTCATTCGGCATGATCCGGGCTGGCAAGATCAACCTGACCATCCTCGGGGCCATGCAGGTTAGCGCACGAGGAGACCTGGCCAACTGGATGTTGCCGGGTAAGATCAAGGGCTTTGGTGGCGCGATGGATCTCGTGTCCAACCCCCAGAAAACTAAAGTCGTTGTGACGATGGAACACACGGATAAGAAGGGACGACCGAAGATATTGAAGCAGTGCGAGTTCCCGCTGACCGGCAAGGCTTGTGTGTCGAGGATCATTACCGACTTGGTGAGTCCACCGTTGCGGATACTGTTTTGAATGTGTGCTGACATGCTTAGTGTGTGTTCGATGTTGACTTCGCGGAGGGATTGACTCTCATTGAGCTGGCTGATGGCGTAACGGTTGATGAAATCCAGGCAAAGACAGAGGCGCCGTTCCGGGTTGCCGGTGAAGTTAAGCCAATGTTGTAAGAGTTCCACGCTTTGGGATCATTGAGCATCTTTTCTTGGCCCGCTTCAGGCTCCCTAATGGGGCTTGATCGGACGGCCGATATTAGAGAAGCCACCGCTACCAAGCGGACTACATTGGTGATCATAAGTTCGTATAGAACTCGTGGTCCCAGCCCACCTGTCACGAATCGGACGAGACCGACTTCGGCCATATATTGGAGCCCTAGTTGTAAACCAAAATCATATGCGGAGTTATATTGCATAAAGAACGTTCATCACTTTTCATTCGATGGGCAATTTTGTTGTTTGATTTGCTTGCATGGTTATTTGTCGTTTAATGACTATCAATAATCTGTCCATGCTCCCAATCGACCTGGTATCTCCTTTTCAGTCGATGGCGAATATCTTCACCATTTCGTTACAAACACGCTTACTTTCCGATCCTCTGTCGCAGGAACTGGACAGCAGCATTGACGTCGCTACCATATGCCAAGTGGCCAGCCGTGACGGAGAGTCCCGCGCCACAAACACCATCATCCGATCTGCAGAAGATCTTCACCGCCTCTTTAGGGTAATTGGGAATCTGGCCTTTGTCCTCCTGGTTGCGGGTGTCGCCATAGAGCACACCACCCACGACCTTCTCCTTGAGGCCCGCCTCAAGAGACGACACCGCACCGTGCATGACGGCGGCGCCTTGGCTGGATGCCAGTTAGCATTCGCGAAACGTGTAGATTTCGAGGGGACTTACCTGTAGCCACCGAAGACGATCTTTGCGTCCGGGCATTTCTTCGCCGCGTTGCTGAACGTCTTCTTGGCCTCATTGATCGCCGCCTGCGTCGTTCCGAGGGTGGACACGTTGTCCATGATGCTGGCCGTATACGCGCCTCCGACACCCTGGCAGGCGACGCCACCTCCCTTCTTCAGAGCAGTGCACGTTTGAGGTCCAACGAGGTACCCCTGAGGACTCTGTTAGCGGAGTATATCATAGGAGCATTAAGGACCCTCACCATGTTCCCTGGCTCGGTCGAGCCACGAGCGAAGACGAAGATGACGGGCTGGCAGCCCTTGCTCAGGTCGTTCGACGTCTGTTGAGGTGCTGGGGCTGGAGCCGCCATGGCAAGGCCGGCGACGGCCAGGATAGAAGTCGACAGCTTCATGTTAGCGGCAGTGTCTTGAAAGGATCGGTAAGAATGGCCAATGGAAGAAGGGATGACTGTGTTCCGATGGAAAGAAACAGGAGTCGTTCACGGCTTTCGGCTCGACCTTATATTCTTTTCTCAGCGGGCCATCTAAACTAAGCAATATAATAGAGACGTATACGACTCTCGGTCGTTATCCTCTTCTGGATGATATGCGGGGATATTTGGGGAATATCCATAACAATGGTTGAACATTATCTCGTCAGTCATATCCCACGCCCCTCGGTGGTGAAACTTTGCACAAGCTTGAACAATATCCGTTTCCCGATTCGGCTGCGGAAAGTCTGGGGTTATGATCCCACCAACCAGGCACCAGCCTGGAATTGAACCCAGTCATAGCAGGATGCTCTTATTCGTGAATACTGGGCGAGAGTATGGAACACAAGCATAATGCAGGGCCATCCTCGGTCGGGGTCTGGGCTCCGGCCTAGCGTTTGAGAAATATAATATATCTCTAGAAATATGGAGAATTAGTGACCACCTGCTGACCACCAGAGTTCCTAGACAGATCACCGATGGCGGTCAATGTTTCTTCCGATTGTTTCGCTTAGTCTAGATCGGGATGGTTTGGATTGTACCAAGAGCGACAAGCTATGCGATTGGCCGCGTCATCATAGTTCATCCCCGGTTTCAGGATACTCCTCATGAAACAGAAAGCAGAGATCCCTGGAGATCTGGGGAATCCTCGTGCACGTGGGACATAATATGATACACTTCCGGAAAGTTTATCATCAAATTCATCATTAAGTTTACTTGAGGATGAATTCATCCTCTAGATCAGATGATACTCATCCTACTTACCGATGGGCGTCGAGTGGCGCTTCCGTTACCTTGAAGGAATATGGATAAAGAATTTACGACTTCAATTCTCTTGAAACGAAGCATCGAGGAAGATACCAATGGGCAGGTTAGGATCCACATCAGCGATCTGGTAGCTCCGTTCTCGACGGAAGAGGCCCGCAATTGACTGCCGACTGATCCCACTGGTTGAGCGATAGTACTTTACCTGGAAACAAGCTTTCTTGTCGCTCCGCTTGACTCGTTCCTAAAGAGAAAATCTTGAACGCCACCAGTACTCGCTCTCGTTTACTGATATATTATATGGAAAACCGTTCAGTATTGAGATCGGGCATGAACATGGCAATATGGGGAAGGAGCTTAGAAATGAGTTTAAGCATTAACTCTACGATGGACCATTGCATTGGCGGGGTTGGGGGCATGCTGTATTGTGTGATTGAGCATTAATGAGGCATCTTCCTCCGATATTGGTCGTAGGAAACGGGACTGAGAGGATATTTTTGGATCAATTCATACGCGTACGTAACGGTGAGGGGTCCCCGTGGCGGAATCATAGCACAATTTCAAGGTTGTTCGATTTGATACCCAGCCTTCGTTGTTCGTAGTTCGTTCCCACCTCCTAGATCGCTGATCCGCAGCGCTAACAACAAGAACAGTTCCATCCTAATTGAAAAATGGAACCAAACCCTCTTGGATCCTGGACAAGTTCTGGCAGTATCAACCCTAGGATCGTTCAGGAACGTCGAACGGAAAAGCAATGCACTTGGCAATCGAATTTCCTTTCCTCTAGATCACGTTGTGCACTTTCCGCTGGATACAGACTACAGTTACGGACTTATAGACACAGTATGTTCACTCACTGATACGATTGCCCCGAAGACGGGAGAAAAGGCAGATACATCAGAGCATGTGGCGTACAATGTTTTTGTTCTCTATATGCCGCTTCCTGCTATTCTACGATAGAATAGGAACTCGTGAAGCGCCTGCAGCACTTAAGACAGTTTTTTCTATGTCGACGTGGAGCGAATTTGGAGCGATATAGCCAGCAAAGAAACAGCAAGTATTTCCAGCCAGAGGCCATCGATGAACGGTATCTGTGGTCGTCAATCCACATCCGAGCAGCCTTTCTTTACTGAAGAAAGGGATATTTCATCGGTGTAAAGTCTAGAAAGTTGGTATTAACATTCCTCTAGAGAAAATCGTATAGGATCTCTCTATAAATCGTATTCTCAACGCTTCCAGATTGTTAACGTCTTCCTTTCTAGAGTCTCAATTTATGGAGTCCAACCGTGTCATGATCGATTCATCATGCCTCTACTAATTCTTCTTTAGCTCAGCGCAGCTCTTAGAAACGAAGTCTCTGCTACCGTGAGCGTGTCACCACTGATTCGAGCGGGGCAAACCAAGTTATCGGAACGTTTGGAGACTATTCTGTGGTATCCCCGGCGTAAGAATGAGGAATGAAACGATCGGGTTCATGACCAAAGGAGGAATACGGGTGGAAAGGAAAATCTTTGAGGATAACGAAGCGGTCATTCTCTACGGCGACACCGTCCAGGACATCTTCTAGTACCTTAAACAGCGGAACCCAAGCTTTTTCACCGTCACTGGGGTGTCTTCCATTCCGGTTGTCGATGAATAAATGAGCACCCAGGTATGTTCGGAGTTCGAAGCGATGAACCGCTCTTCAGTCGAAAAATTGGAATAGGCTAACGCCGAAGCGATGCAGGAAGATTGGGCGCCCAATTGCGGCAAGGGAACTCCACCCAGTGTACACAGTGAGGAAACAACTCTTCCTATGAGGAAGCCGTGGAATGCCTCAGAAGCAAGGGGACCGACGTCTGGATGTCCGAAGGCACAAAGGGATGTGCTATAAGATTAGCTGTTCCATATCCGCAGCGGTCTATATGTGCAACGATAAGCCCGAGGCGTAGCTCGTTCCGACGCGGATGCTGGGGAACATGCGTCAGCAGTTCCTTAATGCTTGCTGTTGTCTGTGGAGGTATGAAATGCAGAAATGGATGGCGGGAGCCATCTATGAAGACTCGTGGAAGCTCTTCCTTGCGGAATGTGGCGAGTGGGACGGGACGAAAGGGGGTTGCTGATGCATTGCTGAGGCAAATTCATCAACGGCGCATACGGCGATTAAGACTCCTCGGAGGGTTGCGATATGTGAGAGTTGAACCACCTGGGTCGTCTCTGGCTGCAGAGTCACTGATGTATGCAAGGAAAGGATCGTAAAATTCGGCGCCATCGCCCCAATAATATTCTGATACGGTGAGGGCATTACTCTCAATGCATAGACATAGCGATGCCATTCAATTCGGAAGTGTACTTTATCCTCCAAAGACGACATGTTCCTAAGAGGTCTTCCGTACTGTGCGCCGATGGCCTGTGACAATTGTTCTTCCGATTGTCGACAGAATTATACCGAGTAGGTTTTCTGCTCGATCAAATCCTCAACTGTTCGACAGCCGCCGGCATTCCGCGGCCTGCCTGGCTTATGTAGTTGTGATCCAGATCAATCGAGGAAGCAGTCCGCGTAGCTCAATATGAGCGGAGATAAGGGTCGGCGGATGGTATCTCAGCTTTGCAAGGCGAGATACTAACTCTCGCCTCCAAGAGAATCGGCTTTTGGTCCGAATTCGAGCGATAATCAACTTGAGGGCTGTCCGCAAGTATGCTCCAGTGCCTCATAGCAGTTCAAAGTCGTCAAGCTTATCGCGATACTGCATGATGTTCCTCTTGATCTTGGATGAATCGACCCAGGTGACGAAGTCCTCCATGTTCCTGGCGAGAGTTAGAATGAACTGGCGCGGAAATGTAGCGCCTGGAAGCAAAACTTACCTCGTCACGAGAAACGCAGGGTCAGTCACAACTTCAGTTCCAACACGAACATGTCCTTGCTCGATGAACTTCACCGCAGCCTGTACCGTATCCGCCATCCTCAGCCGTGTCATCACCACGCCCAATCTTCTCCTTGCCATCGCGCTAACTGTGACCTTGTGCTCGACATCGCTGAGTTTGCCCTTGCCACTCCCGCCGGTGCTTAATATCCCCGTATCGAATAGTTTCTCTAACATGAGATCTTCATAGCGGATCCGGACCGGGTCATCGGGTGGGAGCAGAGTCAGCTTATGGGCAAGTTGTCGTAATGAGCCGCATAATCGGTTGTACGCGGTGTAGTCGGAAGGTTTTTGGATGCAGTATCGTCGGCAAACGGCAGCGTCGCGATGGTCGTTGTCGCCCTTGTAGGTGACGAGGTCGACTTTGCGGAGGAGCCTCTGCTCATGATGCTTCAATTTTCGAACCATGTTTGTATCAAGTCAGCTCTTTTAACCGCTGCTGTTTTGGCTCGAACCGACATATACAATGTCTTTTCAATCCATCACGATCAAATTCAAAGTCGAATGGAATCGAGGGAGCTCCGAAGCGAAAATTTTATTCCGACCAATCACATCAAGCGTGGTGCTCCATTAGAGTACTCTAGAGGTATCAAATCGATGAGACGACCCGAAATGACTCACGAATATCGGCATCGAGCACCCTTTTCTTCTTTCCCTGCTGGATTGAACATATAACTTTCGAATTCAATTGGGGAATTGAATTTGGCTGATAAAAATGCCGACGGTGCACTTGCTCGACTACGTTGCGGGGAATATCCGGTCGCTGGTCAATGCCATTGAAAAAGTCGGGTATACCGTGGAATGGGTCAAAAGTCCAGAAGATATATCGAAGGCCGATGTAAGCATCCAACATGAATCCCATGTTGAGTGGACTTAACTGATGTTGTAGGACAGACCTTAATTTTACCAGGTGTTGGTCACTTCGGTTACTGCTGCAGTCAGCTAGCTAAATCAGGATACACGGAAGCAATATGCAACCATATCCGCTCGGGCAAACCCTTCATGGGGATTTGCGTGGGACTTCAGGCTCTTCTAGAAAGCTCAGAGGAAGATTCAGCTGTCAAAGGATTTGGAGTCATTCCCGGCTCCCTCACACGGTTTGATGACAGTGACAAGAGTGTCCCGCACATCGGCTGGAACTCTGCAAATACATCCTACGCGAAATCACTGGGTGGGAAAAGTCTGTACGGTTTACGACCCGACAGCAAGTACTATTACGTTCATTCCTACGCTGTGCCTTATCGAGCGGGAGAGCTCGAAAAGCTGGGATGGGACGTAGCGACTGCGCGATACGGCGATCAAGAATTCATCGGAGCAGTTGCAAAAGACAACGTCTTTGCGACGCAGTTCCATCCTGAGAAGAGCGGTGCTGCAGGGTTGCGCGTCATCAAAGCGTTCCTTGATAGCAGAAGGGTATCGGATCTCCCGTACACCCCTGATTCCCTGCTGTCACAAGAAGGTCTGACGCGCAGGATAATTGCTTGCCTAGATGTGAGAACGAACGACAGTGGGGATTTGGTCGTTACCAAAGGGGATCAATACGACGTTCGAGAGAAATCGTCAAGCGGAACGGAGACGACAGACGGGAAGGGAGGGGCCGTCCGAAATCTGGGAAAGCCTGTGGAGATGGCGAAGAAGTACTACTCCGAAGGTGCTGACGAAGTTACGTTCCTAAATATCACGTCCTTCCGAAACTGCCCGGTGGCGGATCTCCCGATGCTCGAGATTCTCCGAAAGACGTCGGAGACCGTCTTCGTCCCCCTGACCATTGGTGGTGGCATTCGCGACACGGTCGACCCGGATGGAAAGAAGGTTTCTGCGCTGGATGTCGCGACGCTGTACTTCAAATCTGGAGCCGACAAAGTCAGCATTGGCTCGGATGCGGTCACGGCTGCGGAGGAGTACTTCGCGCGAGGCAAGAAACTGGATGGCACCACGGCAATCGAGACGATATCATCAGCGTATGGAAATCAAGCAGTGGTTGTTTCGGTCGACCCGCGCAGAGTATACGTTGCAGATCCGTCAAGTACCTCTCACCATACGATCAAGACTGCATTCCCCGGCCCCAATGGCGAGGAGTACTGCTGGTACCAAACCACGATCAAAGGCGGCCGCGAAGGCCGAGACTTCGACGTCCGACAACTGGTCACAGCCGTCGAGGCGATGGGATGTGGCGAGATCCTTCTCAACTGCATTGACCGGGACGGGTCGAATAAAGGGTTCGACCTGGAATTGATTCGGGACGTCAAAGCGGTAGTGAAGATCCCGGTGGTTGCGAGCAGCGGTGCGGGCGTTCCTGAACATTTTGGCGAGGTTTTCGAGGCGGCGAATCCGGATGCTGCGCTTGGTGCGGGAATGGTGAGCGGATCCCTTTCTGGTGGACTCGATTACTGGGCATTGGCTGACAACTTTCACAGTTCCATAGGGGAGAGTACACGGTGAAACAGGTGAAGGAGCATTTGTACTCGAAAGGCCTTCGCATACGCAAGTTTGAGGAGGATATTTGATTCGGGGGACTTGACTCAAACGAATAGATGGGCCTTATGGGATTTCCGAAAAAGTCTGCGCGGACTGCAACTTTGTATTGAATACGATAGACCTACCTTCGGGTATCCTAGATTGCATTACTACGCCCCTTTTTCCTGAAAGAACCTCCCAATTCCCTCCGTGACTTTCCCCGTGTTCCCCGCTTCGCACAAACTCTCCCTAATCCAACTCGGCAACTTCGTCCGGATCCTCTCCGCACCATACCTCTTATCAATCAACACAATCGTCGCGTAATCCCCCTTATGCCGAATCGCCCGCCCGATCGCCTGATTCACCGCGCGCATCGTCGCGTTCTCGTAGAACTCCCTCGCCACCGCCTTCCCCACGTCCTGCGCCGCTTGGCCATCCGCGCCGTCGGCGGCCTTCGAGGAGATGTAAGCCATCTTCGCTTTCCATTCGGCGGAGTGGGGGTTGGGGAATGGGAGGCCGACGACGACGACGCAGCGACCGAGTTCGTCGCTGAAGTTGATGCCTTCGGACAAGTTGCCGCCGATGACGGAGAGCAGAACGGCGCCTTTGTGTGGTGTTGATGGGGTTCTGATCGCTTGGGTGTATGCGGAGAGGATTGAGTCGTTGATGACCGCTTTGTCTGGGTTGTTCGAGGGGACGGACTCGGATGGTTTTGTCGGGGTCTTGGATTCGAAAAACACGGCTTTCGTGGCAGAGAGACGGTTAAAGACGGTCGAGCCAGGCTGTTTCCATTTTGATAGGCAGAGGTCTAGGTAAGCGTAGCTGGGGAAGAAGACAACAGTCCCATCAGGGACATTAGAAACCACCGAGATGAGAGTTTCACCCAGTTGCTGGATCTGCGCGTCCGAGTTCCTTTTCGCGAATGTAAAGTCGAAGTCGACCCCACTTCCTGTTTGAACCAGCGGCCACGCCGCAATGTTCGAGGCTGGGATAACGTGCCCGCAGGAGAGCGTGGATATTCTCGTCGGCTCAACGTAGGGGAATAGATGTTTGAAGTAATCCTCCATTGGAGACATAGTCCCGCCGGCGAGAATCACGGCCCTGGTCTCCTCCACGATCTCCTTGAAATGGAAGGTTGGATCAAGGAGGCGGTATTGCAACATTATCGACCGGCCGTCGCCTCGATGGTAGAAGAATTGGCCTTCACGGGAGGGGTTTGTCAATGCGTTGAAGAAGCTATGGATCGACATCAGTGACGGAGCTGATCGGCCTCTGCTAGGCTTCTTTGTAGTGGAATGGGTTGTCTCTTCGTGGTTGACGTGTTCGGTATATCCATCAATCTTCCGGGCTAGCTTGCTTTCGTTGAGATATACCGACAGCTTGTAAAGATTGATCTGGTCGACTGCCTTGCCTGCCATGATCTCGTTGTATAACGCGATTCCTTCCGCGTTAGGAGCCTCGAAAAGCTTGCCCCGGAGATATTCACCCAACGAGTCTAGCAAGCGGACGACTTGAGTGACATATACGCGGTTCTTGCCCTTCAGACGATTCCGGAATCTCTGAAGATAGATACCGATCTGTTTCCGTGAGCGTTCGACTTGCTCGAGAGACACCGATACAGAGTAGATGCTGTTGATGGCCTCCATGAGATTGTGCGCTTCGTCGATAATGACGATATTGTCCTTCAGATTTATATTGAGAGCTTCGCGTGCGCTCTTTTGAAGAAGGAGTGGGTATGGCAAACTCACAACCTGCGCCCTTTAGCGATGTCTTGATATAGGAAACAACGGACTTACCTCTGATGGTAGGATGGAATATCTTGATGCATAGTATGGGCACACGCCTAGATCGGAACCCAGGGACGCAAGTTTCTCAATGTCCCGTACATTTGCGAAGGCATAGTCCCTGAAGTCGTTCATGAGATACTCTGACTGCTTCGACGGGAGAAAGGAACATCTGCTCTGTTCTGGCGTCCCCGACTGCTGTATTTCAAGACAGCGCTCATTGATTGAAGTAGCATCCTTCAAGCGGTTGACTTTCGGGTTTACGCAGAGGTTCTTGCGAGAGCCTAAGGTGAGATATTTCAGCGAGTCTTCGATGTCCGTTTCTCCATTCTTGCGGTCCAGCGGCTCTAGCGGGACTCCAGGCGGCAACTTGACTTTCTGAATCTCCTCAGCAAACTGTGAGAGTTGCGAGTGCGTGCGAGAGCAGTAGTATATCTTCAGTTCGTCTTCTGCTTCCTCTGGCTCATCTTTTGCGACTGCGGATGTGGAGAGGCCCATCTTATCCATCAACGCTCTTGTTTCTGCCGAGAGGGAGATAGTAGGACCCGGTATTCGGGAACTGGCTTCGTCGCTGTCATAGTCTGCCAACTCGTACTGGGTATCATCTTCGGATTTGGAAGCAGCAATTCTGCTGTCAGAGAGTTTCTGTGCAGTAGTTAGAACCTTATCTTCAACCCCAAAATGAGATATACCGGTCGCTTGGAACGATGCTCTTCCCTCCTACTCTCCGTCTTTTGCTTACGCTCCCTCTCCCGAATGCGTCGCAACCTCTGCTCAAATTCTGCCCTGGCTCCGATTGCATCACGACGCTTTTGCTCTTTTGCATGTTCGACAATCCACTCTGGCTCGTCCTCATCCCCCGGGAGCGTCGCAATGGATTCTTCGAACCTTCTTCGTTTATTCTCGCGAAGCCACGTGAGCGCACCACATATGATGCTCAACGACTTCCCCTGTGAAAGGCAAAAAGTTAAAAGGGGAGTTCTCATCCGGACCATTGGTGATCTTACCGTTCCTAAAGTTCCTCAGTATTTGTTCCACACGGTTAGTTTCATATTCCGGTACCTGTTGGCGACTCAAATATGCCTATTTTCTTCTCTTCAATGCAGTCATAAAGCGCGTTCATAAAGTCATTTTGAATCGGATAGGGCTGGTACGGATGATGGAAGTCCCGTCCCCGAGATGTAGCCATTCTCATTCTGGACCAGAATAGATCTTATTCACCCTTTGGTTTCCAGTGGATCTCTTCATTGATGTACCGTATACATGGATTCGGGATGATGTGACGTGGGTTGCTTGCAGCGACGCGACGCGTCCATGAACTATGAAAAAGGAGCACGATCCTGGTGCCCAGTCCCGGTACCAGTCCCCGTTCACGGGCAGTCGTACCGGAGGGCGGATTGTTGCATGGCTGCCGCAGTTTCTGTTTCGAATTGTCACTCCAGTTTGCTATCGTCACATCCGATACCAGCCTCTACATGAAACTTATTGTCTAGTCTCCCCCCAGCCTTATTTATCAAGACTACCTTATGATCTTATCATCATTATTAGGAAGAATGATCAGGGTTATCTGCATGACTGGCGCCCAAACAGGGATGCCACTGGCGGCGGGGTTCCTATTGCGCCTTCATTCCTACTTGACCGTCCCCCGTCCCCCCACCAGCCCACCAAGTCACAGCACCACTACTGCACCAAAGCAGTTCCACCACCAATACACCACAAGGCAATTCTGGACCAACGGACCAATTTCCATCGTTCCAATCTATCCAGTGTTCCACACCCTTTCCTGTTTTCACCTCCCGCCTCCGATTGCGCCAACTTCTCCTCCCACCCAAGCCTCCGATCACCGGAGCCGAATGTCTCGATATCGCCATATAATATTATGACCTGAATGGATTTGACTCAACAGACCACCCCTACCTCCCAGGCGGCATCGGCCCCTGTAAAATCCGAGTTATCCTTCAGTTCCGTGCACCAGCCCACTCCCCGCACTCTGACGCGAAAACGGAACAGTTCGACCGTGGGCCTGGAAAGTTCCCCAGACAGCGACCCGGACGATGAGGAGCACAAGAGGCGCCAGCCCGGTGTCAAGAGGGCATGCAACGAGTGTCGCCAGCAAAAGGTGCAGGAGTCGTGCAACGCAATTGATGCTCATCGCTAACGTCTGACTCCGTAGCTGCGATGCGATGTCGTTCAAGACCCCTACCAACCATGCAGCCGATGCATCAAGCATAAGCTCGATTGTCGAATCGACTCCAACTTCAAGCGAGTTGGGAAGCGAAGCCGGTTTGCGGAGTTGGAGCGGAATAAAGAGCTTTTGGAACGACAGATCCAGGAGTTGAAGCAGCAGGTTTCGACCAGCAAACCGACCCCTCCTCCACAGTCGATGAGTCCGTTCTTCCCTCCACCTAATGGCCCAAATGGACAATCGTCGGCCATGTACGCTGGTCTGTCAAACTCGCCCGACCAACAACATCTGGGCTCACATGAGGCCGTGGCCTCGCTCCTCGACCTCAAGCAGGGCCTAGATGGTTCCGCTGCTGGGTTCGGCGCAAGTCCTAACAGTCGTCTCCTGAGAAGTTTGGAAGAGGTAGTGCTTGCTCCGCATAGAGTGAATGAGCTATTCGAAGAATACTGGTCCAATTACCATGGGTTCTTGGAGCTGTTGGATCCGGAACAATCGCCTGATTCATTTTTCGACCAGTCCAAACTACTCTTCTGGACCATTATCGTCATCGCCGCGCGACAGTTCGGACGCGATCGAGAGTTGCTATCGAGGCTTACTGCACCCTATACTCGCCTCGTATGGGGCTCGATGTCGAAAGTGCCTCAGAACTACAACGTCGTCAAGGCGCTCTGTCTCCTTTGCGCATGGCCACTACCGACAAGCAGCACATCTACTGACCCTACATTTATGTTCTGCGGTTTGATGATGCAAATTGCAAAACAGATCGGTCTTCACCGGCCATCCCACGCTCAAGACTTCACCCGGACACATATCAACCTCAAAGACGAGGACGTGAAGGACCGATTAAAGACGTGGGCCTGTTGTAACATCGTTGCACAGAATATCGCTACTGGCTATGGCCAACCGCCTGACACCCTCTACGATGCCACACTTGACTTTGGAGACGCATCCTTTCATGATACCCCTTTACCAACCCAGGTTGCTCAGCGTCTTGCCCTTGAGAAATTTTGCAATCACATCACAAAAACTCTCTATAGCAATGAGAAGCAGCCGAATGATATATTTGGAGAACGTCAAGACTCGATCCGGGTGAACATGCTTGCCCAGGCAATGCATGGCCTCGAGACGCGTCTGGATTCTTCGACCAGTAAGTTTCCGTCCAAAATGTTCAGTGCTTTTCTAACTAGGACCCAGATTGGCTTCCTCTTCACTTAAGCGCTGTCCGACTTCACCTCCGCCTACATACCTTCTTTGACCCCCCTTCATCTCCTACCTACAGCAGCGATCTTCAGGAACTCTACCAAGCGACCACCAACTTCTTAGACGTTGCCATGTCCGATGAGCTCACGGGTCTTAAATACGCCACCAGCTTCATCATGCAAATGATGCTCGCCGCGGGCTTCGCCCTCTTCAAGCTCCTCAACTCCTTCTTCGTCGTCAACGTCGACCGCGACTACGGCCGCAACCTCTTCTACCGCACCATCCGCGCCATCCGTAACATGAGCGTCATCACCAACGACCTCCCCCAGCGCCTCGCCGAGGTGCTCGTCCAACTCTGGAAAGCCAGCGGTGAGGGCTTCAAGTACGAGGAAGACTCCGATCGCCCCCCCACCCGCCGCTCCGTCGACCACAACGTCCAGCTCAAGGTCCGCTGCCGCATGAGCATGTCGCTCCTGTACGACAGCGTGTGGCGGTGGCGCGAGGAGCTGCAGGGGAAGGTCCGCGTCGAGAGCTTGGACAAGGCGGTGAAGAATCCCACGTCCCCCGAGGCGACGTCGCATCTGCATCCCGGGGAGATGAGCGCCGGAGGGGACACGTTGATGGATCCGACGGGGCCAGCATTGGGGCTGACGCATGGGATGTCGGTGGGATACGGGGGGGTGAATCCGCCGAATTTCGCGGGGCCGAACGGCGCGGGGTTGGCGGATAGTTTACAGTTCTTCGATGCGATGAGCTGGTTCTTGGATGAAGGGCCGGATCTGGGGTTTCCTCAGGGGGGATTGGGAACGGAACTGAGCTATAGGTAGCATGGTATGGTTGTCTTGTCTATAATTTTTGTTTGCAGTATGAGGGTATGGGACGTACGATGGTTATGGCAATTGCTTGCAAGTTAGCAGTTTTTATTAGAACCCTGGATGAGCTGGTTCCACGAAGAGATTGAGGTGTCAATGAACGACAGCACACTTCTGGTGTCTGTAGATAAACTACATTCTTTGTTTTATAGTCCTTCAGTTAAAATAGCGTTCCTAAACAGCGGTAGGGTCAATCACATAACGAAATTCGAATGGCAATATCATGGAAACCCTTGGAAGTTTCATGCATTCATTGATGCAATCGATTTGAACCGTTTGGCTGAACCCATTTCAAGCACGCCTTGTAGAACTATTTTCCATGCCACTCCGATAATGTAATGCACACGAGAGCCCAATCTCATGGATCGTCGCGGGCATTGGGATTCAAACTCCTTCCGGCCTTTCACCTCCCGCATCCCTCGAACTCATTTCCCCTCTATCGCTTCTTCTGCCCCTGCTGAGACTCCTTGATGACCTTCTTGACGATCTTCTGTTCCTCGATCAGGAACGCGCGGACGACCCGGTCCTTGACGCAGTTGGCGCATCGCGAGCCGCCGTAGGCACGCTGGACGGTCTTCTTCGGTCTTGAGATCTGGGCGTACTCATGGGGACGGAGAGCGGGGACCTAGACAGATGGTTGTTAGTGTCTGGCTACACTTGTGGATGCCGAGCCGTCCGAATGGCCAGAGTTCCGAGGTCAAGGCAAGTCGACTATGAAGGACAATTGATGGCTTCGGAAGATCTGCGACACGCAACCCATCGAGGAATTGAAGATGGTACATACACCCGCAAGTTTCTCGCCGCAGTCACCGCATTTCGGGGCGGTTCCACGCTTCTTGATGTGGAGGTATCGCAACTCGCCGCCGGGAGTCTTGATGATCCGGACCTTGTTGGATTTGGTGTTGTAGCTGGCTTTCGCGTCAATATCTATCGTCCTTCGTGGTCGTCCAAGCGGTTCGGTGGTTACTTACGAATGCCTCCGGCGCTGTCACGAGTGATGTTAGCAACTTTAGCAATTCATTCGCATGTATAGGTCCAACTCACGTAGGTTAATCGGTTGGACGGCATATTGACGGTGGCTCGCGATTACGGGGTTGTGGTAATGTCAAGCGGTTGCAGTTCGAGATGTGAGAAATTGTGGTGAGGATGCTTCTGTGTGCGGAGAAAGGACTTTCTGATTTTCCGGAGGCTCAACCAAAAATGAGAGACCAGAAATGACAGGGGTCTCACTGGTAGGTCACGTGTGGCTTGGCGTTTCCGGAGGAATCACACCGGTCACGTGCCCACGTCTCGTTGATGTCGCGCATCATGGAATCTTTTCTCTCGCCTCTGTACGAAGACGACAACTCAAACGTCACAGACACGGGTTATTCCTTTCATTTGTGAAGAAGTCATCGGTGTGAACCTTTGCATTGATGGTTTCTGAGCTTGCTCGCTAGTCTAGTCTATCTAGAACCGCGATAACTTCGCGCGTTCAGACAAGAGGCTTCACCCTTTTTTCCATCTCACCTCCATCGCGACAAATCCTCACCCCGACGCGATGGCATCGATCCCACCTCCACCACCCGGCTGGGCGCCCCCTCCGCCTCCCGGTGCGCCTCCTGGAGCTCCTCCGGGGATGAACATCGCGCCTCCACCCCCCGGATACCGCCCGCAGGATCCGAACATCGCGAAGTTCGCGCAGAAAAAGAAAGAATGGCTGCGACTCCAGAAACAGCGGTTCGGAGAGAAACGGAAAGGCGGGTTCGTCGAGACGCAGAAGGTGGACATGCCGCCGGAGCATTTGCGGAAGATTGTAAAGGATATTGGCGACGTGTCGCAGAAGAAGTTCAGCAGTGATAAGCGCAGCTATTTGAACGCGTTGAAGTTCATGCCTCACGCGGTTCTGAAGCTGCTGGAGAATATGCCGATGCCGTGGGAGGCTGCGCGAGAGGTCAAGGTTCTTTATCACGTCAACGGATGTCTGACGCTGGTCAACGAAGTTCCTCGAGTCATCGAGCCAGTCTTCCATGCGCAGTGGGCAACAATGTGGTTGGCGATGAGGCGGGAGAAGAGCGATAGAAGACACTTCAAGAGGATGCGATTTCCGCCTTTCGACGATGAAGAACCGCCCCTATCGTGGTCGGAGAACATCGAGGGTGTCGAGCCCCTCGAGCCCATCCAGTTGGAGCTTGACGAGGTCGAGGATTCGGCTGTATACGATTGGTTCTACGAGCATCAACCTCTCAGTGACACGCCACACGTCAATGGACCGAGTTACAAGACATGGAATATGTCGCTTCCGCAGATGGCGACGCTGTACCGACTCAGTCATCAACTACTAAGCGACAAGGTCGATAAGAATTACTTCCACATGTTCGACCTGGAGAGCCTTTTCACTGCGAAAGCGCTCAATGTTGCCATCCCAGGTGGCCCACGATTCGAGCCATTGTACAAAGACATCGATCCCAACGATGAAGATTTCGGCGAGTTCAATGCGATCGATCGAATCATCTTCCGCCGTCCGATTCGCACCGAGTATCGAGTCTCGTTCCCGTTCCTTTACAACTCTTTGCCACGCAGTGTTAAGGTCGCCTGGTACTCGCACCCGCAGGCCGTGTACGCGCCAACCACAAGTCCAGCGCTTCCAGCATTCTACTTCGACCCGATCATCAACCCGATCTCTTCACGATCGGTCGCCCCGAAGAACCTCACGGTTAGCCTCGAAGATGAGGTATTCGGATATGGAAACGATGAGGATGAGTTTGAATTGCCAAAGGGTATGGAACCATTCATGGCGGACCAGGAGCTGTATACGGACGAGACTGCATCCGCCATCTCCCTTTGGTGGGCACCTTTCCCATTCGACCGACGATCCGGCCATATGGTGCGCGCACAAGACGTACCCTTGGTCAAACAATGGTATCTCGAGCATGGACTCGGTGGCGAATCCGTCAAGACTCGAGTGTCTTACCAGAAGATGCTTAAGACCTACGTGCTCAACGAGTTACACAAGAGACCTCCTAAGGCGCAAAATGCACAAAATTTGCTTCGCTCATTGAAAGGAACCAAGTTCTTCCAGCAGACCACTATTGACTGGGTCGAGGCGGGTTTACAAGTCTGTCGACAGGGCTTTAACATGCTCAATCTCCTCATTCACCGCAAGAACCTCACCTACCTTCATCTGGACTACAACTTCAACCTCAAACCGGTCAAGACCCTCACCACCAAAGAGCGAAAGAAGTCTCGGTTCGGCAATGCTTTCCACTTGATGCGTGAAATTCTCCGCTTGACGAAACTGATTGTTGACGCTCAAGTCCAATATCGCCTGGGGAATATCGATGCTTTCCAACTGGCGGACGGCATTCTCTACGCCTTCAATCATGTTGGCCAGTTGACCGGTATGTACCGGTACAAATACAAGCTGATGCATCAAATCCGAACCTGCAAGGATCTGAAACATCTTATCTACTACCGGTTCAACATGGGCCCTGTTGGAAAGGGTCCAGGATGCGGTTTCTGGGCTCCCGCCTGGAGAGTCTGGCTATTCTTCATGCGCGGAATTATCCCCTTGCTGGAGCGCTGGCTGGGTAATCTGCTTTCCAGACAGTTCGAAGGTCGCCACAGCAAGGGCGTCGCCAAGACCGTCACAAAGCAGCGAGTCGAGTCACATTTCGATCTTGAATTGAGAGCCTCGGTGATGGCAGACTTGATGGATATGATGCCGGAAGGAGTGCGGCAAAACAAGGTGAACAGTGTGCTGCAACATTTGTCCGAGGCATGGCGCTGCTGGAAGAGTAACATCCCCTGGAAAGTACCCGGTCTTCCTGCACCAGTTGAGAACATCATCCTGCGGTATGTGAAGAGCAAGGCGGATTGGTGGGTTTCTGTTGCCCATTACAACCGTGAGCGCATTCGACGAGGCGCTACAGTTGATAAGACCGTTGCGAAGAAAAATCTTGGTCGTTTGACGCGGTTGTGGCTCAAGTCCGAACAGGAGCGCCAACACAACTATCTCAAAGACGGACCGTATGTTTCGACTGAGGAGGGTGTTGCCATATATACCACCACTGTCCATTGGCTGGAGTCGCGCAAGTTCCAGCCAATTCCCTTCCCCAGCGTCTCTTACAAGCACGACACGAAAATTCTCATTCTTGCCCTCGAGAGGCTTCGCGAGGCTTACTCCGTCAAAGGACGTTTGAATCAGAGCCAGAGAGAAGAATTGGCCCTCATTGAGCAGGCGTACGACTCCCCAGGAACTACACTGGCTCGCATCAAGCGATTCCTCCTTACGCAGCGTGCGTTCAAAGAAGTGGGTATCGACATGAACGACAACTATAGTTCGATCAACCCCGTCTACGACATCGAGCCGATCGAGAAGATCACGGATGCTTATCTGGACCAGTATCTGTGGTATCAAGCCGATCAGCGACACCTGTTCCCTGCCTGGATCAAGCCCTCAGACTCCGAAGTGCCACCTCTCCTGACGTACAAGTGGGCCCAAGGGATCAACAATCTTGACAAAGTCTGGGAGCACGAGAATGGCGAGTGCAGTGTCATGATCGAGACTGAACTATCTAAAGTCTACGAGAAGATGGATCTGACATTGCTCAATCGCTTGCTCAGACTGGTCATGGATCACAACTTGGCGGACTACATCACTGCGAAGAACAATGTGCAGCTTAGCTATAAGGATATGAATCATACCAACAGTTATGGTATGATCAGAGGTCTTCAGTTCTCTGCCTTTGTCTTCCAGTACTATGGTCTTGTGGTCGACTTGCTTTTGCTCGGATTACAGCGAGCCAGCGACTTGGCCGGCCCGCCCCAGAGTCCGAACGATTTCTTGCAGTTCAAGGATCGTGAGACCGAAACGCGCCACCCAATTCGTCTCTACACCCGATACATCGACAAGATTTGGGTCTTCTTCCGATTTACCGCGGAAGAGTCACGTGATCTAATCCAGCGATTCCTCACTGAGCAGCCCGATCCGAATTTCGAGAATGTGATCGGGTACAAGAACAAGAAGTGCTGGCCGCGGGACTCCCGCATGAGGCTCATGAGGCACGATGTCAACTTGGGCCGTGCCGTCTTCTGGGACATGAAGAACCGCTTGCCACGATCTGTCACCACGATCGAATGGGACGACACCTTTGCCAGTGTGTACAGTCGAGACAACCCGAATTTGTTGTTCTCGATGTCCGGTTTTGAGGTCCGCATCCTTCCGAAGATCCGCAACTTGAGCGACGAGTTTCCGATTAAGGACAGCGTTTGGGGGCTTGTCGACAATGCGACCAAGGAGCGCACCGCGCACGCCTTCCTGCAGGTCACCGAGGAGGATATTCAGAAGTTCAACAATCGCATCCGACAGATCCTCATGTCCTCCGGTTCGACCACATTCACCAAGATTGCCAATAAGTGGAACACCACTCTCATTGCGCTCTTCACCTACTACCGTGAGGCTGCTGTGTCGACCGTCAGCCTCCTGGATACGATCGTCAAATGCGAGACAAAGATTCAAACGCGTGTTAAGATCGGCTTGAATTCCAAGATGCCTTCTCGATTCCCACCAGCCGTCTTCTACACTCCGAAGGAATTGGGCGGACTGGGCATGATTTCTGGCTCGCACATTCTTATCCCTGCCAGCGATCGGAGATGGTCAGCGCAGACAGATACTGGTGTCACTCATTACCGTGCCGGTATGACCCACGACGAGGAGACACTGATACCGAACATCGCGCGTTATATCATCCCTTGGGAAGCAGAGTTCATCGATTCGCAACGTGTTTGGACCGAGTACTCCCAGAAGCGGTTGGAAGCGCAACAGCAGAACCGCCGTTTGACACTGGAGGACTTGGAAGACAGCTGGGACCGAGGTCTTCCACGTATCAATACTCTCTTCCAGAAAGATCGAAGCACCCTGAGCTTCGACAAGGGTTTCCGGACCCGGTCGGAGTTCAAGATCTACCAACACATGAAGAGCAATCCATTCTGGTGGACCAGCCAGCGACATGACGGAAAGCTTTGGAACTTGAACGCCTACAGAACCGATGTCATTCAAGCGCTGGGGGGTGTGGAAACCATCTTGGAACACACTCTCTTCAAAGCAACCGCGTTCCCGTCCTGGGAAGGGTTGTTCTGGGAGAAGGCTTGTCTCGCGAAGGGGACACAATTACTACGATACGATGGCACCATGATCGCAGTTGAAGACGTGAAAGAAGGCGATGAACTCCTCGGACCCGATGGCGGACCTCGTCGCGCCTTCAATATCGTCAGCGGCACTGATCGGCTCTACCGGATCAAGATTGGTGGTGGGAAGGAAGATTTGGTCGTCACGCCAAACCATATCTTGGTTCTTTACCGGGAGAAGACTGATGAGGCAACCTCGGGGACGGACGCCAACCCTGCGGATCGCTTTGAAACCGCCGAGATGACTGCCCTCGAATTCGCATCGCTCAGTGACAAAGATCGTGACATGCATCGACTTTTCCGTTCTCATGACGATGGAGTCCCATCCTCGGCCCAGATTTTCGGCGTGAACGAAATTTCTCTCGAGTCGGAAGTCGCGGAGTGGGCCGGGTTCAGGGTTGACCAAGATCAACTCTACCTGCGCCACGACCACCTTGTGCTTCACAACAGTGGTTTCGAAGAGTCAATGAAGTTCAAGAAGTTGACAAATGCTCAGCGATCCGGTCTAAATCAAATCCCGAATCGCCGTTTCACCTTGTGGTGGTAAGTACCTCCCCCGTCCCCCCGGTCCCCCTATCCCTTCTAGACAACTATATACTTATTTTTCACTCAGGTCAAGCACTATAAATAGGGCAAACGTGTACGTTGGTTTCCAGGTCCAACTTGATCTTACGGGAATTTTCTTGCACGGAAAGATCCCAACTTTGAAGATTTCGCTCATCCAGATTTTCCGGGCCCATTTGTGGCAGAAGATCCACGAGTCAGTTGTCATGGACTTGTGTCAAGTCTTTGACCAAGAGCTCGAGGCCCTTGGGATCGAGACGGTCCAGAAAGAAACGATTCATCCGAGAAAATCGTACAAGATGAATAGCTCATGCGCTGATGTTCTCTTATTCTCCACGGGAAGGTGGTCCGTCTCTCCACCCTCCCTACTCTATGACACCAAGGATAGCATGGGACAGGCCACTGCGAACAAGTTCTGGATCGATGTGCAACTTCGATATGGTGACTACGACTCTCACGACATCGAACGATACACCCGAGCCAAGTACCTTGACTACACCCAAGACAGCATGAGTATCTATCCCTCTGGCACTGGGTTGATGGTTGGCATCGACTTGGCTTATAATCTGTACTCTGCATACGGACAGTACTTCCCTGGTCTGAAGCAATTGGTGCAACAAGCCATGGCGAAGATCATGAAAGCTAACCCAGCCCTCTACGTTCTTCGTGAGCGTATCAGAAAGGGCCTTCAGCTTTATGCGACTGAGAGCAGCCAGGAGTTCCTCAATTCTCAGAACTACTCGGAGTTGTTCAGCAACCAGATCCAGCTCTTCATCGACGACACCAACGTGTACCGTGTCACCATCCACAAGACCTTCGAAGGCAATCTGACAACGAAGCCGATCAACGGTGCCATTTTCATCTTCAACCCGCGAACTGGACAGCTCTTCCTCAAGATTATTCATACGAGCGTTTGGGCCGGTCAGAAACGTTTGGGCCAGCTTGCGAAGTGGAAGACCGCCGAAGAAGTCGCTGCGCTTATCCGCTCTTTGCCGGTAGAGGAACAACCTAAGCAACTGATCGTCACCAGAAAGGGGTTGCTCGATCCTTTGGAGGTTCACCTGCTCGATTTCCCAAATATCTCGATCCGTGCCTCGGAGCTTCAGCTGCCGTTCCAAGCCGCCATGAAAGTCGAGAAGCTCGGAGATATGATTTTGAGGGCGACGGAACCTCAGATGGTTCTATTCAACCTTTACGACGAGTGGCTCAAGTCCATTTCATCCTACACAGCTTTCTCGCGCTTGATTCTCATCCTTCGCGCTCTTCACATCAACCCGGACAAGACCAAGCTGCTCCTCCGTCCGGACAAAACGGTCATCACTCAAGAACATCACATCTGGCCGTCGCTGTCGGATGAGGACTGGATCAAGGTTGAAACGCAGCTGCGCGATCTCATTCTGAATGACTATGGAAAGAAGAACAACGTCAACACCTCGAGCTTGACTAGCTCCGAAGTACGAGACATCATCCTTGGTATGGAGATCAGCGCCCCGAGTCTGCAACGCCAGCAAGCCGCGGAAATCGACAAGCAGCAGCAAGACCAGCAACAGCTTACAGCTGTTACGACCCGTACTCAGAATGTGCACGGCGAGGACATCGTTGTCACCACCACTTCACAGTACGAACAAGCAGCATTCGCATCGAAGACCGAGTGGCGGACCCGAGCGATCGCCACCTCGAACCTGAGGACCCGCGCCAACAACATCTACATCTCATCCGAAGATGTAAAGGAGGAAGATCATTTTACATATATCATGCCAAAGAACGTCTTGAAGCGGTTCATCGCCATCGCCGACTTGCGAGTTCAGGTGGCCGGCTATATCTACGGATCGTCGCCGAAAGACAACGACCAAATCAAGGAGATCCACACTATTGTCATGATCCCGCAAGTCGGCAACACCCGTGACGTCCAGCTTCCTCGCTTCCTTCCAGAACATGAGTACCTCCAGAACATGGAGCCGCTGGGCATCATCCATACGGTGTCCGGCAACGAAAGCGCCTACATGACCGCCAGCGACGTCACCCAGCACGCTCGGTTGATGAGCGCGCACAACTCCTGGGACAAGAAGACCGTCACCATGACCGTCTCCTTCACCCCGGGCTCCGTCTCCCTCTCCGCGTGGGCGCTCACGCCCCAAGGCTACAAGTGGGGCGCCGAGAACAAAGACCTGTCCTCCGACCAGCCCGCCGGGTTCAGCACCTCGTTCGGCGACAAGTGCCAGCTCCTCCTCAGCGACCGGATCAAGGGCTATTTCCTGGTGCCGGAGACCAACGTGTGGAACTACAGCTTCATGGGCAGCGCCTTCGGAGACGCGGAGCGGAAGCCGGTGCATGTGAAGATCGATACGCCGGCGCGGTTCTACGATGATTTGCATCGGCCATTGCATTTCCAGAACTTTGCGGAGCTGGAAGACGTGTGGGTGGATCGGAGTGATAACTTTGCTTAAATGGGATGCGCGGATGGATCGTGGCGTTCAAAACCGGGTGCATAATGGTCGATCTTTGGATGAGATTGACTCGGGAACAAGCATGTATAGTATTCCGTTCAGTGCAATAAATAGTAATGCAATGACAGTTCAGTGTCCAACTCCGGTGTTTGTCATTTTGAAATATAGTACCCAACCCATTTAGAACATAAGCTGCCGAAACGCTCCTCGCAACCAGCCTTTACACCTTCGTGCTACTGACCCAAGGCAACAATGGCAAATATCCCAAAGTTCCAACAAAACATTTTATGTCAAGGTGTATCCACCATCGACACGAAGATCGGCACCCGTAACGTAACCGCTCGCATCGCTAGCAAGGAACGTGACCGCTCCCATGAGATCCACCGGTCGGCCCATCTTCCCCACCGGGATAAGTGACGTCCATTTCTTGTGGAGATCCGGGTTGTCGTCCAGGATCTTCTGCGTCCTATCCAGCAAGTCAGCATTTACCAACGGAAGTCAGGAACGGAAAAAACTCACAATGCTGTCAGCATGTATCCCGGGCTGATGCAGTTGACTCGGATCCCCTTCTCGGCCCACTCGACCGCCAAACTCGACGCAAGATGTCTGACCGCCGCCTTCGCGGCGTTATACGGCGCCTGTGGCTGCGGAACATTCACGATCGCACCGCTCATGCTGCCGATGAATATGATGCTTCCTTTGGCATCCCGCTCCATCAAATGGCGTGCGATCCCCGTAGCGAACAGATACGTCCCATCCACATTGACGGACCAAAGCTTCCTCATCCGATCAATCGGATACTGCTCCGCCGGGAAATTCTCCGTAAACCCAGCCGACGTGACCAGCACATCCACCTTGCCGTGTGCCTTCACCACATCATCGATACAGCTCGTGACGGAGTCTGGGTCCGCGACGTCCGCGAAATGCGCCGTGACCTTCGGCGGCGGGTCGGACGGGTCGTTCTCCCGCTTGAACGTCTCCCGCAGCTGCGCGGCCGATCGCTGCGCTTCTTCGAGGTTCAGGTCGACGAGTGCGACGTCCGCGCCGCTCTCGATCAGGCCTTGGGCCATGATCATCCCCAGACCGCGGGCGCCGCCAGTCACGATGGCGACGTGGTTCTCGAGGGTGAAGCTGGCTAGGGTTCGCTTGTAGTGCATGCCTCCTCGTCCATGCACCGGCTTGCTGTGTGGAAGGTCGCCTTCTTCAGGGTATTCGACGACGACGCTTGGGTCGGTTCGGGCGAATTGACCTTCGTGGTCGCCGGAGGAGCCGGGATTCGTCCCGGTGGTGTAGTCGGCGCCATCTGGGGGCGGTTTCGGTTCATCTTTTCGTAGGAAGGTGGTGTTGGTGAATGGACGGGTGGCGTTTAGGGGTGAAGGCTGGCATCGTGAGGCAACATTAGCGATATGTGAGGGTCGGGTAGTCAAGGCTTTGGAGATGGTCTTCCTAAACACGGTAGACATGGCGGGGTTTCGAGTATAGGGAGTGGGAAGGATAGGATAGGAGTAGGAAGGATGGCTGTAGGGAGGATGGGAGTGGGAAGGATAGAATTATGTCTCCTACGCCTGAAATGATGTGAAAGAGATGAAACCGAGTAGGACAAGCACGTCAGGAGTTCACTTATCAATGCAGAATTGCCGATCTTAAAAAGAAAGCTGAACTGAAGGATTACCCTTTTCCCACAATTGATCCGCCTTTCCGATTGAAGACTCTTCCGCTGCAGCGATTGCATTCAACCATTTGCCTTTGCATAAAAATTGCATTCAACCGTTTGCCTCGTCATTCGCAGCTATTACTTGAACTATGACTTGAACTATGACATCAGCATAAACGCGTCTTACGGCGCTCAGGGGTCCATCGGTTCCACCTTCTCTCGTGTTTCCTCATCGTCTAAGACAGTCTAGGCGAATGAATTGTTGTCGCTGTTGATCTTCACTTTGTTCTTTTTCGTGCTAATTACATGTCTCAAACCTCCTGAAAAGACGGTCAACCGTCAATCTGTCAAAGTGCTGTTCCTCTCAATCCATCGTGAAACCTCCATCAGGTGGACCAGAGGAGTATCCGTGCAAAATGCCCTCCCTCCGAATCCTCCTGCTCACCTTCAATTGTGCCCGCAACTTCGTAGACCCTGAGATCCTGGCCACTGATATACTTGATGCCATACCCGAAACCCCGACGTCGAAGGCAAGCAGAATCATCCCCGATGTTATTGCCGTCTCCTTACAGGAGGTGGCTCCCATCGCATACGCTTTCCTAGGCGGTCCATATCTCACCCCGTACCTAGCTCGAGTGGGGGCTGCCGTCCACCTCGCCTCCGAACGGTACGCGGAAACACACCAGGAGCGACAGACCGACAATGTCGCGCCCGAGGATTGGATCTATACGAATGTTATCACCAAGAACGTGGGATTAACCGCGTTGATGATATTTGCCAGGAGAAAAGTCGCGGATTCCATCTGCTGGATTACTTGGGGCAGCGCGGGGGTGGGGGTCGGCGGCATGGGCAACAAAGGAGCGGTGGGGATCCGACTTGGGTTTGATGCCGTGAAAGTCAAGCAGTCCGTGAAAGACTGGTACGTGAAATGGATCGGGCCCGCGGGGAGGGCTCAGCGGAAACGGAAACTGAGGGACGAAGACAGCGGGGTTTCGGTGCTCGAGGTCACTTTCGTCGCGGTCCACCTCGCCCCGAACGCTGGGAATGTTGAGAGGCGGAACCAGGACTGGGAGAACATTGTTCGGAATCTGGTTTTCCTACCGGAGGAGGCATTTGTCCCTAATACTGACGAGCCCTTTGGTATTGCCAAAGATACGCCCAGACCGAAGCTAAACTTCAGTGAGACGTCCGTAACTGAACGTCCGTGGTCAGGTATATACGGCAAAAATGACTCCTCAGAAACCTCTGCCGCTCTCCATTTTGTCTTTGGCGATCTGAACTATCGTACTGGGGATGAAGATCCCGATCCGGACTCGTATATGGCCTTCCCTCAGCCAACACAGGATATCTCCTCCCTTCTCCATTACTCTCGCCTCCTCACAAAAGACCAATTGAACGCAGAACGCGCGGAAAATCGCACCCTCCATAGCTTCGAAGAGCTGGACGTTACTTTCCCCCCAACGTACAAGTACGATCCCAACCAGCACTGGCCCGGCTACGAAAATGGGCTCCGCGTGCCGAACACCACGGGCTGGCTCTGGGAGGCAACCCGATGGCCATCATGGTGCGACCGGATCCTTTTTCTGCCTCAGGAACCGCTCACGGTTGAGAAATACGTCTCTCTCCCCGTCCAACCGACTTCCGACCACCGACCTGTCGCTCTCTCGGCAACCGTGAACTTGAGCAAGACGCTGGGCAAAGCGATGGAGGTCCAGGAGGGGCCATTTCCTCTCAATCCGGATTGGGAAGGGAGAAGACGCGATGCCCGGATGAAGGAGGTGGTCGTCGGTGGGCTCTCCTGGTTCGTGTTGACGACGGAGGGGCGCATTTGGTTTTCAGGTCTGACTATCGGTGGTCTGGCGACACTGTTTGCGATCATCGCCTTGCTTAAAGTTTGAAGCGGTTCTAGCGAAGGCGATGCAGGCGTTCATGAGCGATTATCCATGATTACGTATTCACGACAGTGTTTTTGGTATTCAAAGCCAGGCGTTCATGTTAAATGAGCAATAGAGATTGCCGATGCCGCTGTATATTCAAAAGGCTGTATATATACCATGGGAATCGTTAGAAAATCTACCTGTACAACCCAAAGAGCGGCCGCCCTTCCATGCAGTCCCATTTACGCCATCCCAAAATGCATATCAAGTTCAAAACCCGTCCACCGCACTCCGAATCTTCCCCTGTAATTCCCTCTCCACGTCCCCAACATCTGCTTCCTTCAGACGGCTACCTCCCTTCCCCGGCACCTTGAGCTCCCACCCCCCCTCTCGTTTCCGCCCCGTAAGATTCCCGCACTCATACCGCACCCGGCCTGTCGTACACCGATTATTCCCGAACGACCTGTCACCGATACTCTGGTGAATCATCTCGTTAGTCGGACCCATCCGCGACAGGGGACGTCGCGGCCCCGTTCCAGCCATCGCCTCCGCCGCTTTCTTGAAAAACGACTTCGCCCCGCTCTCCCCCGAATCCGTCGCGCCATGGATCGTCCACCACGGCGTCTGGCCTCCGTCCTCCGATGCAAAATACGGATCATACAACGTCTTCCGCAACAGGTACTTCTGATCGAAGGCCAGCAACCGCGTCTTCGAGCACTCCGAGATCATCCACGCGAACGCAATATCGCTCAACCGATGATCGTCCCGCCCGCCTCCCACGTCTGTATGCACGCCCGAGAACCACACCTGCTTCAATACCGGCGTCCTCCCTCCCTCCTCGATCTTCGGCAACGTCCACATCGTCGGCTCGAACGCCTTCCGCCGCTCGTCCAGCGCCAGCGCATGGAACCCGTACTGGATGGGCGTCGGGATCTCCGTGTCGCAGAACTCAATGCGCTCCTGGTCGAAGCGGAACCCCAGCGCCTTGAACATTACGAGCCAGTTCGCCACCCACGGCTTGTGGAACCCGACCGTGTCCCACACCCCCACGATCCGCACCGCCTGCGCCGCTGACAAGGAGATCTGGTCCTTCCCGAGGCTGCGCATCAGCTCGCGCGCCTGCTGCTTGGCCTCAGACGACTCGCTGCGCCGCGCGTTGCGGAAGGAGTAGTACGTGTTGTACAACTTGGGGAAGCTGTCCATCCCCCGCTTGGTGAGGAGGCCCGTCTCGGCGACCAGGCTGGCGATGGCGCGCGCCGTGTATGCGCCGCGGCTAAAGCCGAAGAAGTAGATGGAGTCGCCTTCGTCGTAGTTGTGCGCGAGGAAGGAGTAGCCGGCACGGACGTTAGCAGAGACGCCGAGGCCAAGGACCCCTTTCGATTGTTAGTGAAGCTCGAGTTTGCAGCGGACCTAACGTACCTCCGAATAACGAGTCCATCAACCCCGTCCCCACGCCTTTCTGATAGTAAACGATCTGCTCGAGCTCTTCCCCACTCTCGTCGAACCCGTATTTGCTCAGAGCGCGAGCGAATCGAGTGACATTTGATGGGTATTCTCCCGCTGACGGCTCTGTTGAATCTTGCCATGTGCCATCGCACAATACAATCAATCTCTTTCGATTCCTTGACCGTGGGGTGTTCTTCCCCTTCGTCAATGACGGGCTATCCAGCGAGTCATTTGTCTTGATGGTCATCCCGGTATCCACCCGGGGGGGGTTTCCATTTTCCATGGCTATGGCAGAGAGCGCAAAGGAATGGCGGTGGCAGTCTAAGGGGGCTTTTCGACGATTGCGGCAATAGGAGAACTTCGGAGACCACGCAATAACACCCGATGCTCTATATATAAACAACTCGCAAAAGATAATAAAGATATTTGATATGACTCCAAATCTCCAAAAGCCCCAAACGCGGATGCACACCCCTATTTGAATCCTACCGATCATGACGCTTAAAGTATCCCCCCTCGACGCCCCAGCCCATCGCTGATCCTTCCTTCAGCCTTGCGAGACTTAGGCTCCTCATCCTTGCCCGATATACTAAAACGATAAGTTAGACTGACGCCAACACTGCGACCCTGCAGCGGTCAAGCCCGCCGTTCGGATGGCCGGATGGCCCGACGTGCGAGCTGACGGCCGCCCAGCGACCAGCGCACGGGATTCGTCGAGAAACGAAAGATGAGCGAGGAAGTTGGGGTCATGGCGGTCAGTGCAGCTATGGATGGTGGCGCAGACTAGGTGCACGTCCTTTTGTTATTCTCACGTTGCAGTCAGCATTCTGGGTTGACCGAATTGGAACATGCGGATTGCGGGATCGACATGGACTGGTGGAATGGAGGGGTTCGGGGTTGGAGATCGATGGGGAGGTGACGCAACAGGTTGGGTCCAGTTGGATACCGGACTTCGGTTGGACCGACTTCTGGAATCTGGATGGAGATAGGGCCGATATGTAGTACACACTGGGCGATATCTGGAGCATTACCGATATTCGGAAAGGTTATAAAGGTTATAAATGGGATTTGGTTATTTGGGTCACCATTCCTTTGACTGGGGCGGATGTGTGGTGGGCAGTGCATATCAGTAAGATATTTGATATCCCACATCCATGATATCGGATTTATTAATTAGTCGTTGTTTGGATATCGATTGGTACTTCCGGTAAGGCCATCTTCCCCGTCAAGTTTATCCACATGGCATATATGTTGTACGTGAACTGTTAGATGACCAAATATCAGACATCTCCTAGACATCACGGAAGGACTATTCTAGTCGTGCTCGTGACATGGTGACATTATTAAGGTCTCGTTCTACCTTGACTCAGCGAAGGGCAAACCGACTCGGCTATCGCGAGATCGACATTTAAGTGTCCATCTTCAACTCAGTATTCCCAGTCACTAAGAATATGCCTTGCCAATTGCCACACCTAATACCTCATTACTCATACCACATATATATATATATTACCCCTCTGGTTGGCGGGCAGATGATCACCGGCCACACAAATCCTTCCCTGGTGTGTGACTTTGAGATGATCAATCCATTTCGGATGACTGGTGAAGAGTATGTCGTCATAAAGCGAAATATCTGAAATGCTTGAGACTATCATAATTCTTTCCGCTATATGTTCCATCTCATATTCCGTGAGCTCGAAACGCAACAGGAGAACTGCCAAGTAAATGCCATCGATATCCGTATAGTGCTCCGATACATGTACTCCAACAAAATGCGCGCTATGCGAGTAGGCTACACCTTTCCATCCCATCCAAACGCCAATTAAGATGCGATATCTCCGTCTTCTCCCATCACTCCACCACCTCCCCCGCACCACTCCCCCGCAACTCCAACAACCCCGTCGCCGCCCGCCCCTTCACCACGCTGCTCGTCAACTCCCGCTCATCCACCAACTTCTTCGTCGGCGACTTCGCCGGCGTCATACTCGGGAGCGAGCGCTCGGGGGACAGGATCGCGCGGGGAGGGGACGACGCGGGCGTACGGTTGGCGTGGTAGTGGGGTGCGTAGATGTGGCGGGAGGAATAGGAGGTGGGGATGAGGACGGGGGCGGGGAGGAGTTTGGGGATGGGGGCGGGAGGGAGGTTGGTGGTTGGATAGGAGGTTGAGCGGGCGGGGGACGGGTTAAGGGCGGGTGACTTCGATGTGTTTCGGGGGTGCTTTGGACTGGCTGTAGGGGATTGCCTAAGGGACTCTTTGTCGGGAGGGCTCTCGCTTGCGTTCGAGGTGTCCATGGGGGTATCGCCGGATGACAGTTCTAGGGAATGGAATGGCACATTCATCTGGTCGGTTCGGACTTTGTACAATGCGACTTTAAGTCGCAGACGTAGGGTCTCGGCTCTCTGTGTCCGTCGTTAGTCTCGCTTACGCTCTTACAGGCTTATGCAAAACATACCGAGCTGGATGAGGGAGAATTTGCTTCTTCAAGAGCTTTCGGTGACGTTTCTGCCGTGTTGGCCGGATCCACGTGCGGATTATAGTCTATCAAGGACGAAAATGATTGGGTTTGCTGCGTGTTTGGTCCTTCCTGGCTGGCGGTCATGGAGACATCGGGGTTTTGCACAGCGTCGTGCATTGTCGAGTCGGCGGTTATGTGATTGGCGTCCTTCTCTCGTCAATATGCGGTCCTAGATATCAAGATTTGGGGAACCATACATGCTCATGATTCTGCAGGTTTATACTCGGCATTGCTGCAGCACATGGAGCCATTGCCTTGGGTCGCAGTGCATCCCTGGAACGCTCGCGTTCCGACGCGTCTATCTCCATGAACGATCGTTTTCGCGCCGTAGTGGGTGGGATGTCAGGAACCATGGGTTCTCGCCCGTTCCCTCCGCCTAATATGGACGGTCGGACTGGTTTCGCTGGAAAGTCCGCGAGCTTCATAATCGGTTTGGCGGGCCCGTCCGCCACGTTCGTTACCCGTGAGAGTGGGGTCTTCGCGTTGGGGGAGAGTTCTCGCAAGACGTTTCGTAGGGGCGACCGCATCACCGGGGAGTGTTGAAGCCGTGGGGCGTCCATATTGCTCTCGAAGGGGGTTCGGCGTCAAAGGCCGGATCGATGCAGGAAGGTGGTGGTGGTTGTCTGCAGTTCGGGTGTATACATATATGACACGTCACGGAGGGGTAGAAATAGAGTCGATATGCAGATTGTGCACCAGATACGCAACCCTTAAGCAATTATAAAGAGAAGAAGAGAGGAATTGGGTGTGTTCAGGACTTCAGGTCAAGAATACCGAACTTATGTCAAAATTATATTGTTCGAGACGCGACTTTTTGTTGTTGATCGGCTTTTGGGAGCTTGGATCCACCGAGGGACCCTCACCAGCGAGACTCCGAGGACCCTGGCCCACCTGGTTCACCAACAGCAATGGCATCTGAATTCCGATCCAGCCTTCAATGTTCAAAGCCGCATCTATTTCAATTGATCCATTTCGCCCATCCTTCCGATTCTGAAAGCATCCCATCGCCCTCGTCTTCCTCCCGATTTATCCCCAATCACTTCTACCACAAGATGATAACTGCCTGAACTTCCTATGTACCCGGTCCCGTGAAACCCGGAATGGGCATGGTCGTCCGCTGCCCGGTCTCCTCGTGTCGATGCCGCTGCGTGCATGAATATATGAAGGGATGCGAACCGCTGCAATGCTCTTCCCAGCGCTGGTTGTGCTTGCGCGGCACGGGTTGAGAAGACTGACGATGTAGGTCTTATGTTGTCCAGGGAGAAAGAGGCTTGCTGTGCAGAATCATCTGAAAAGATCGCGGTCGGTAAGGTTGAATATGTGCTAAATCCGGGGCGTCGAGGCGGCAGCGCAGTATTTATGACCACTACTGTGACGGAATGACTTCGACATAGAGCATTTAGGCTTCGAAGGAACGAGGAGAGCACGGCATTCCCTTCTAAACGTCAAGTTTGGATTTCATCGTCTTCTTGAGAACCGACCTGATGTATAACCCGTCTTTATGAGTGGCGTGAAACAATTGGAAAGGTTGTCGATGACAACAAAATCAACCTTGCCTTCGACCTTGTCAGCCGGCCCCCGAGTGTTGTCCTTGGGGTCAGGCATATCGTGAGTCGCCTTCACCTCGTCCAACGCTTCCTGGATGCCGATATGATCGAACACTCGGATAATGCGAATCCGTGCTAGTAGTCCAGTCAAGCAGCTTGCCGCATCCGCTTTCGATTGGCCAGACTGGCGGCCATCTATGGTAGCCGCAAGGACTTGTCTAAGCCAGAATAGATCGAGAACACCAGTCGTATCAACGATCGCCGCAGAAGAACCGAGACTTTCTAGGAGATGCTCGGCAAGGAGCCGAAACGACAACTGGAGATCGACCTGTCAAATCTAGATTTGCTAGGAATTGACTCGAGAAGGCTGACTTAAAGTAAAAGGGGACTCGTTAGGTTATAAAACCCGAACGGAACTTACATAGGTCTTTCCGGTACTTGCCTCTCCACTAATCGCGGTTATCCCAGGAGCAATTTGCAAACCCTCATGGTCATCGAGGAGGAACGTCAACGAATTGGTGTTGTTGGTTTCATCATTCGCACCTCGGGTTTGGGGCACTTCTGCGTCTTTTGGCTGCTGATTGTTTTGCCTTCGTGATCTTTCTAAGAGCAGTAGCTGGTCCGCAAGATAAGGCGTGGCTGCTGCCATTATTTTAAACCGACTGCTATCGTGAGTTCAGCTCCTGGCATTCCCAGGTTCGTGGATGAGAGAAGGTGGGTTGGCAACTTCGACCATTTTCAATACATTAAAAACACCAGGTGATTCTATCTGCTCTTTGTGCTGTTACTATCAGGATCGGTTTGGGGATAGAACCAGAAATAAAGGTGAATAGAACATGAATGTATAGACGTGTAGTTGAGGTTGACCGCTACGTGGGGCGGGGATTTACGGCGTCTCCTCTTCACTTCAGCCCTCTCCGTTTGTTCCTCCACACACTCCCATTGACGCATTGCATTAAACACTCATGGGGTATATACGTTTTTGGAGTTACAAAGACAGAAATGGCATTAAAGAGCAGGAATTACAGGCTTGGAATTTAATAACAACTGCAGGTGTCTGAGACTCCGAGTCCCGCCATCAGTGCCCCTGACAGGATTTGGAATTCAGTCATCAACACTCGACGGACGCTTGCTTAGGCAACGTCGGGTTCCTCAACAGGAAGAAAGAGACGGTATTCTAGGTCCAGATGTCTCTCCAGATGCGGAGGAACTTGAACGGGAAGCCATTCAGTCGTTGGTCGCCGAAAGGGTGCGCACACATTCGGACGGGAGTGTCGGGTTCGGAGTAGGTATGCACGAACACTGATCTAGAACCAGCCGATATGGGAGAATTGGAGTAGTCCAGCCATCTGGTATTGGAAGTGTTGGAAGGGTATTCCCTCTCTTCTGCCCCTGATGAGCCTATCAGGTAGGGACCGGCTAATCTCAACTGCATGTTGAATATGCTGTCCTACGATACGGTACTACCTTGAGCTCTTCTATCGTCTTTTTTATCACCATTCCAATCATGGTTATAGAGCAGCACGATCCCTTATATATGGTATCAATCTGCTACTTCGATTTCAATTTTCGGCTCTCTACCTTCGCCTCGCATTCGCGTCGTCCTACTCGAAAACACTGATCTTCTCACCTCAATACATCCTTTATCCACTCGATAGGAGCAAAGCCCCTGAAGGAACGGGTATTTTTTGTTTATCTCTTACAATGAAGCTACTCGCCCCTCTCCTCACCTCCATGGCCACCCTGACCAGACTTGTGGCATCAGTAGCGATCGACTCCAGCACCAATGCCCTCCAAGAGATCGCTCCTACTAATTTCTACCCTCGTCCAGGAGCTATCTACAATGTCACTGACAACTCACTGATTTCTCTCGACCCCACAACATCGATATTCACAAGTTTGGTATCCAAAGCCGATGATGTCTGTACTCTCCAATCCTATAGGTGCAAGAAGCAGAACAAGACCTGGGTCTGGTGGTGTCGCTGGGAAGACGATCGGGAGAACGTTTTCTGTCGGGTTTGCGGGGCTGATGGGACGGATCCGATGGGAGAGATGCACTGCATAGAAGATCGAGTGAGGACTCCACAGTGCGTGGACTTCGTCTATTGTGAAGACTGGTATACTTGTGTAAGTCGGCTACGCTGGTTTCACGGTATTTGATCTGACTACGTAATGTAGATCGGCTGTTAGAGCTAGAAGCGAGGTGGGTCTCGCGGCATCATCCACCCGGTTGAGAGGTTTTGGCCTGGGGTTGAAAAAAACAATGAGGCGAGGATCATGGAATGACAGACTGGGGCGACGATGGAGGTGTGTTCCAGACTACGATTTTTGGAACCCAAATGTCAAAGCATATAAAAAGCAAACATTGTATCGACTTGTGTAATTGAAGACATCTTTCATTGAACTTGGTTATTCTACATGTCTGGTATCTCGCCTTAGATACCCAATTCTATCGTCTCTATGAAGCCAGCTTGCATCATGATCATATCGAGTCGACTTCGTAAACCTCTGGGGGATATTTTATGCCCTGAAACAATCGCGTGCTCCACGAGCGTATCGACGAGCTGCATTTGGGCTTGAAGTCCCATGTATCAAGCGCCAATGGCTAGAAATTCTCCTTCATTGAAAGAACGGGATCCGTTTGCATGGAGTATGCCTTCAATCCTTTGAGCTGTCCTTGCTCTTCTCGCTCCCCAGCTTCCCACTCTTCCCACTCTTCATACTCCCCCCCTCTCTCCCCCCATTCCTCTTCCCATCCAACGCCCCCCACCCCTCCGCCCTCATCCTCTTCAACGTCTCCTTCCCCTCTTCCGACCGCCCCAACACCGTCACCATCCTCGTATTCTCCCTCTGCAACTCTTCCACCTGCGCCTTCAAGATCTCGTTCTCCCGCTTCACCAGCTCGCACAACCGCTTCCACTGGTCCCGATCCCGCCGTATCCGCTTCCCCTCCCCCTTTTCCGCCTCCTTCTTCCGCCGCTCCTCCCGCTTCGTCCGCTCCCGCTCCCGCTTCTGCTGCAGCTTCGCCAGCTGCTGCTCGTGCTTCGCCGCCTGCTTCGCCACCTCGCGGTCGTGCCGCTCCTGCGCCCGCGCGAGCTCCTTCGCCTCTTTCTCAGCGGCCTCTTTCGCTTTGCCGGGGTGGTCGGCCGGCGGGTCGCGGAGCTGCGATTCGGAGCTGAGGCGCTTGGCGTCAATTTCTTTGCGCTTCTGCTCCAGCTTCTCGAGTTCCTTGGCGTGCTTGAGCCGGAGGCGCGCCTCCTCTTTGTCGGCTTCGTCAGTCGGATTGTGAGTCCCCTCGGGAGGGGTGCTCCCCAGGCTGGAGCGTTGGGAGCCGCCCAGGTCTCCTTCTTCGAGTGCTTGAGCAAGGGATGATTGACGCTGCTCGTTTGCTGTGGTCCATTGTTCGGCGCTGGCGAAGCTCTCGAGGCTGGTGGAGTCGGTGTCGCTAGAGTCTTCGTCGACGTTGGGGAACAAGAACTTTTGCGCATGTGGCGTCAGTTGCGCTAGACTTCCTTCGATTTGGCTTGATATGGATGACAGGATTCCTCTTTCATCGCTGGGTGTTTCGTCTGTGTGATCCTCCTTCGCTGGTCTCTCCACCTCCGCATTCTCTTTCAAAGGCACACCACCATCCACTTCTCGTTCCACAAGAGCTTCCGTCTCCATTTCTTCATCATCCGACACTGGCTCTGGAAGATCCTCCTCCTTCAGCCCACATGCCCAGTCCACAAACTTTGTTGCGTCCTGTGTGATGGAGCCAGGGGTCCCTCGTTCCACCATAAATCGCGGGATTCCGCCCCCGGGATCCGACCGTGTGATCATGATCCACTCCACGGGGTTCCGGTTACTATCATACATTCCCCCAGCCGACGATCGACGCGGTCTACCGTCCTCATCCCTTCGAGCGGATTCCCCTCGCGACTTGGCGCCTGCGTATGTTGACGCCCGTTGTCTTCCGCGCGCGCTACCCTGCTCTGAGGGATGTTGAAGTTCAGAGTCGGATTGAGATTTGTGGGCGGTGAGGGGAATCTCGCGGATGATCTCCACGGATTCGTAGTGGCCTCGGATCAACCCTTGTCGGGGCGCCGCTTGCGGATGGTCGACGGGAATGGACACAAGCATGTAAGTCCGACCGGTGGTGTCGATCGGTGGTGTCTGCTCGTCGGAGGAGGTGGTAAGAAGGAGGGTTACAAAGTCGCGAGGAGAGGTTGGTCCGGGGAACTGCGCTGAAAGAAGACACACTAAGTTCTCCGTCAGTAAAAGGTAAAGACTGCTTCCGTATGTAGAGGCAAACCTTCCATTCTCCCTATGCCCTTAACCAACTTCCTCTCCAACAACTGATCCGCTCCAATGCCTCTGACAGCCCCGGATCCTGGCCCCCCTTCCACCGCCAAGCTCGTTTTGAATTCCTTCTTCATCGCCCTCATCCAATGGTCGAAGCTGAGCCCCTCATGTATACTCCTCCGCCCAAACCATGCCCCATGCCGGTCATGTGCCGCCATCTTATATACCGATATCCCTAGTACGTTACTCCCCGCCGAGACCTTCAGCGGTTTTCCCCACTTCTCCCACAGCTCCTTGACCTCCGGCGCCGGGGGGGGCGGCCGCACAGAGGAGACCGTCATCCCTGCCGCGCTCGTCGCTGGATCGGGATCGGCCCGGGAGAGTGTAGAATCCGTCGACGGTTGGCCTCCTGGCGGCGGTGGCACGGAGTTCCCTATGAGCTCGGCATCCTCAAAAACTTGGCGGAGGTAGGTGGGGAGGTCATCCATGGGGATGTCGGCGAAAGGGACGGGCGAACCGCTGCCGAGGGTTTCGAGGGCATCGTATAGTCTCGACATGGTTGCGTTGCGTTGGTGGTAATATGGGACGTTTGAAGGAGCATAAAGCCAAACAGACAGCTTTAGGATCGTTCATACACTCTGGTATACGGCTACTACTACTATATGGGTCCATTAGAAAAGAATTGGGAAATCAGAGTTGTAGACTTGTACCTGTCCAGCATCAATTGTAGGTCCGTTTGTTTCCTCAGGTTCACTGTTGGCGGTTGTCCAATTCGATATTGTAGAAGAATTCCAATTAGGACAAATTAGAATGACACAGTCCTCCCAAGGATAGCAATATGTTCTAGACCTAGAATTGGAATACAGATCTGCAGATTCTAAGCTGGTGATGATGGTGATCACTGGAGGCGGTACGTACGTACTCTCAACTTTACGCCCCTAATTGTGCATCGACGTCACGCATGGACTTAATCCAAGTCCAGATCCGGTTTGTACCTTATCAACTGGAATCATCTCTTCTATTACCACCTATTTCATACCCTAAGCGTTTAGCATTCCTACCGGTACGATCACGAACCACCTGTTACTTCTTGTGATATCAAGACTTGAGCCATGACGGACACTACGTCACTTTCCCGGTGGCCCCCGGCCGAAGGTCTCTCCACCCCTATCGTCGCCCGCAAGGATGCCATTTTGACAACCTCTGCATCCATCTCTGTATCAGCTCCAGCCCAGCGGGTTTTCGACCTGCTCCTCTCGACGACCAGCTATCGAGAATGGAACACCTGGGTCCCTCGAGTGTCCATCCAATCTCAGCCGGAGGGCGTCCCCCACGACTCAACCGATCTAGCGGTGGATACTAAGTTCACGTTCCATGTCATCATGGATGAAAGGAATCCGGGCAAGGTGTTCGACACGGGGTTGCGCATAACGGATATCTCGACCCCGGCGAATCCATCGTCCTATATCCCTCAAGAGGTACTGGACGACGATCCAACGTACACTGCAGATCTCTCCACGATCTACCGCGTGTCGTGGAAAACAGAGGGGGGTTGGATAAATGCAGGTATGCAGGCTGAGCGGTTTCATGAGATTATTGTGGTAGGCGAGAATGAATGCGAGGTGCGGACTTGGGAGGTCATGGGCGGAGTCCTCGCAAGGACGGTTAAGTGGATGATGGCGAAGACGCTAGATGAGAAGTTCGTGTTGTGGGTTACTAGTCTCAAGAAGGCGGCTGAGGCACCCCAGGGCAGTTCGACCTAGATGTTACAGCAGAACTTGAACAGAATCAAGAATTCATATGCGAACTAGTTGGAACGCCTCTAGAATATACATATCCGTGTGTCACCCCGTCTTGCGAGATTCTCGTGTGCCGTTCGCACCCCAGGCTGCGTTCTGATATATGTAACTGCCTCCTCTCCGACCCCAATATCAGCTAGAACAGAATTCCTCGCGCTCATGCGATGCCTTGATCCTTGATTCCATGCGGCAACCACTTCGGCCGTTTGATGTTCTTCTCCTCATCCGGCGCCTCCAACATCCCCAGTCGCCGTATCTGTTTCTCGGTCGGGGCGTCCACTCGCGGATCCTCGAGGATCTTCTTCCGGTAGGCAGCCTGTAATTCAGATACCCGTTTCGCCTGATAAATGTCAGAATGGCCTGGATCTGGATTGATGGTCATGGCTCTTGGCGCACCTCCTTCCTGTGATATAGGCACTCGTAGTAGTCCTCTAATGGCAGTTGGCATTTCGTCAACCCTTTTCGGCTCGGATCGTCGGGATTCGCATTCACAGCATAGCATGCCAGAACTTCTTGCCAGAATGGAAAGCATCGTGACGGGCCTATTGGGGGATTAGCTGAGGGTTCGATTGGTGGGCAATTGAAGGTGTACATACCGCCATGGAGGCCGTAACCGGATGCCATCCTGTGGAGTTACAACGGGAGGTCCGTGGGAAAACACTCAAGGGATATGACCAACTTGACAGATGGGTTAAAGGCAGGATGTCCTCCGATGTGAAGTAGCAGTGCAGCGCATATTGAAGCTGCTGTAGTTCCAGGGTGGGTGTGGTTATCTGTGTTGTGATTGGACAATGGCCCAGTCACGTGCATGGCGCTCACCACCACATGCCCTCTCAATTGCCATTTGCCAAATTGATCTCCTCCTGTCTACACCAGCTAATCCTTAGTATTACTATCTTCGTCTATATCCGTCTATCCAACCTATCAGGCTTTCAAAATGCATGGGTATTGCTCCTCTGGACATATCTGACCATTTAGGCCGTGGGTGACTTGTTCACGGCACAGTCTTTCGGCGCCTGACTCCCGGGAACTGGTCGATGATCGGTCGCCTGGCATTCTACGATGTATCATTTATAAGGTAGAGACGCCGGCTGATCTATCAAGAATTCAAGATGCATGGATAGCTCTTTGCTGAATCCTCCGAGAACTCTTCGATCTCCCCTGGCATTCTACGTTTTAGGAACTGACACGCCGGCCGATGGATACTGGATATTGACCAGGGGATGACGTTGCTTACTTCGAACCAGAATTCCTGTGATCGATGTCGAACTCTACAACCTTCGACATGCAACCCCGCTCGAAATATGCTGCAGCTCACTGCAGCATAAGCTGACCGAAAGAATCAAAGGTACAGACCCCATATCCATTCATCCGGGGGCTTAAGGTTCCAGATTTAGGACACACCCGGAGTTATGAGTAAGATCATCCATTGCCTCTATATCCGTTGTATCGCTGGCGATCGTGATCGTTGAGCATGCGCGAAGTCAGTCCTTATATACATATATATACCTACTTCACTATTTTCGCTTGAATGACGACTCGATTCATGAAGTCTGCCTCGTTGGTTGCATCGTTCCGTAAAGTCTTCCATATCCTTACTAGCAAGCGTTCTATCAGATCCACCTCCCACAACTCTAAAACCATGGAAAAGATTACAGAAGTCAAAAATGGCGTGGATGGACCTTTATCCCATGTATTAGGCCAGGACTTCACCCAGCACGTCAAGGACTCCATTGGCCCAAAAGCTAGCCCTAGGGTTCGAAGCGTCCTCCAAAGCCTCACTCAACACATGCACGATTTCGTCTGAGAGAATGAGCTCACATTTAACGAGTGGATGTCGGCGATTGAACTGGTACTATCCATTCAAACTACCCCGACGGGCCAGTGCCCAGAACGAAGCTCTGACCGATGATAGATCAATGAAAGCGGCAAATTCTCGACCCCCGATCGAAATGAAACCCAGTTACTCTGCGATCTGCTGGGTCTCGAGTCGCTCATCGACTCGGTCGAATTCTCGCAGCAACACAGTCGGAGCAACCCGACGCTGACGGCCATCCTCGGCCCCGTCTATCGGCAGAACCCCCCCGCATACCCCTACGGCGCCTCGATCATCCAGCACTCCCCCGAGACCTTCCCCGAGACTGCCGCCATGACCGCCCGCATCTTCGGTCGTATCACCGACGCCGACACCGACGCGCCCATCCCTGGCGCCGAGGTCGACTTCTGGCAGTGCGCGCCGAACGGCCTGTATGACATCCAGGACCCGCAGCAACCATACATGAATCTGCGGGGGGTGTTCACCAGCCGAGACGACGGGTCGTACAGCTTAGTCGCTCTCGTGCGACCCCGTATCCGATCCCGGAAGACGGACCGGGCGGGAAGTTTCCGGCGTTGATGGATCGGCAGCCGTATCGGCCGGGGCATCTGCATTTCTGGATCCGGGCGGAGGGGTATAGGAGTTTGATAACGCAGGTGTTCGAAAGGGGGGGTGAGTTTCTGGAGAATGACAGTGTCTTTGCGGTGAAGGGGGGGCTTTGTGTCCAGTTCGAGAAGGAGGAAAGAGGCGGACGCCTTGGCGGTTGGAGTGGAATATGAAGCTTGGTCGATAGCGCCTAATACAGGTTTCTGTTTGTAGTTCCGAAGGACAATATGTAACTGGATGTCAGAGCAAACTGAAGGCGGGCGGCTGCCGTTATCCTCGACAGTTGACGTTCAATCCCCTATTTCAACGTTGACAGATCCTGTAGTGGCATGAGCTTTCAAATAACTGCCCTCGCTGTCCTGGCTAATCCCTTTGACGGCCTTGACTTTATGGTGGCCGATGCCGTCCTCTTGATCAATGATACGAATTCCATCGCCCAGAACCTGAACAGAGCCGAAAGTGGTAGTTGCCTTCAACGTGCCCTCCCAAGAGCTCGGGTAATGTAGTGAGATCGAACCGGTTAAGGTTTCATGTTTGGACCGGATGTTTCTCCATTTCTCAACGGGAGAATGTTCACCGTTGGATGAGAGAGCGATGGGATTTGCCAGATGCGCGTTCTGATGACCAGATTTGGTCCACGTTTTGAGTTCCATGTCTGCTTCGTGCGCTTGGGATGACGGCGGTAACACAGGAAGAAGAGTCGTCGAGATCGAGCCGGATTGCGTCGTGAATCGAGCTGTCGATCCGAAGAAGTAGTAGCCGGAAATACTACCAACGTTGGAATGGACATTGACCGCATAATCACGGTTGGGAATGTGGAGAGCGCTTACAGCACTCATCGAGAGCGATCGTTCGCTCCAGCCAGTCTTTGGGTATTCCACATGAATGCTTCCGGTACGGCTAAATGCTTTGAAACTTGCCGGGTTTTTATGCTCATCGGCATCCTTGGGTTCGACTTCGATATTGACGCTTCCAGTAGTAGTTTCGATGTCGAGGAGGTCCATCAGTGTATATTTTCCATTGACGGAACCGGTTCCCACTCGAATCTTCGTCTCCCGGGAGTTGAGGGGCAGAACGCTTTCCAGAGACCCGCTCGTAAGTCCGATCTTGGCTAATTCGGTGACTTCGATTGCCGAAGACGCGCCTATCAGGAGGTCCAACCGGTGCAAATCAATCGATAGGTTGGCTAGCTGCACGCCTGGCCGAATCGTGACATACACGTCGATTTCCATGCAAGGTGAGGGCGACGAGGGGTCACGACCATTCGGCTTCAAGACCGGCGGGAGGATCTGCAAATGGGATGCGGTTTTGATGAAGCGAACGTACGACACGTCGTACTCCGAGCTTGTAGAAATCGAAAGGTTCACAAGTATCGGACTCGCCTGAGAATCTAGCCCGGTTGTCAGATACACTCGCCCGTACATGGAGTCGAAGTGCGGATGTTTCGAGGTCGTCACATCTTCGGATAGCGAGAATTTGTCGCCGTCGTCCATCTCGATCAATGCTCCACTTGTCGACCGCAATGAACACTCTTTAGGCCAAGTTCCGAGATCGATGTCTTGCCACGGATTCTTCATTAGGGTTAGCATGGGAAATGTAAGAAGGGAATTGGCGTCGGCTCACCCGATATCCATCTCCAGATTCCGGGGTTAGAGCATCCAGGATGGAAAGGAAAATGAAGAGCAATGGAACGATCAGAGCGATACGACAACAGCAGCCGGCAGGTCTTCGGCGATTCGACCGCCTTATATACCCATTTGGTCTGGCAGGTTCCTCATTGTAGCGCCCAGCGTGGCCGCCAATTATGGCTGGTTCGAGTGTTGAATACAATTCTGGACTTTGAGGTGTGGGTTCAATGGTCTCGCTATTTGATCCATAGTTTGTGGTTGCGGTACGTGTCCCAGAATATGGGCTAGCTGTACTTTCTTCATAGGCAGGTGGAGGGTCTTCGACATCACGATACTGTTCGCCCAGCAGCGGAGTCGCCTCATCCAGATGATTGGACCGATCTGACCTTGAACGTCGGTGGTTTGAATTTGGTGAGGGCTGCTCGGGCTCCTTTGGAAGATAATATGCAGCTACGTAGGACGTTGACTGCTGGGGAGCCGCATTTGCGTTGGAATCATCTGGAAGTCTAGCAGAGGTTTCGTGGAACACTTGTTGGGGGAGAGTGCTGGGACGAAAGTACCCATCTGTTGGAGAGAGAGCTGAGCTGGATTCCATAGAGGCAATGCTGTCGGTGTCGCCTCCGGAAAGGGCGTTTTCGTGTTCACGGGATGCCATCTTGATATTGGTACTCGAACTGTTGAATGAGCAATAAACGGGATACTTCAACAATCACATAAAACTTGCGAACAGCGGAAAGCTATCGTGACTTGTAAGCAATCCTCGGACGCATCAAGGGGTCAGAAATTTCGCGACGCGCTGATCAAAGTCATCATCGGAGTGCGTATGCTCTCGACACTGGTGTGGTGAGAACCACCAGGTACAAAATATCATTGGATCGAAGAGGGAGACCAGGAAGGAACCCCGCATGAGGAGCCTGTTGATGTTGCAGAGGACAGGAACACGCTAGTCGATGGTGTATTCGATACGGGTTGACGCGAAAGCTGCTGATAACTACGGAAAAGGATCGATGAGAGTACGTATGGGATTCCTAGCAGTCTTCGACCTCGGGAGAGAAGAAAATGAGCTCTTGGAAGCGGAGAACTATGCACCGAAGCAGGGAACAGTGAAAGTCGATATCAAAAGATATATATTGCTCGATGCGTACCGGTATTGTTGGGGAGTAACTCAGGCCGTCAAGTTCGGAGTTCAGGGTGTGTGCATTGGGCTTGTCCAGGCATATGGTACCATAAGACGGGACGACGCCTTCAAGGCAGATGCGAAGGAAACCTACGCCACATATCGATGCGACTGAACTTCCTTGATACTTACTTCAGTTCCGTACACTTACGTGTAGTCACAGCAAAGATACCTTAAGTCTCGGCCACCACACGATGGATGATTTATGATTTTGGACTCGGTATCACGAGCACAAAATAATCTACTGTAGTCAGCTCAAGGGACGCCACGTGCCGCCGACGTCATCCGAAGGACGGTCAACATAGCCATGAACGCGTCCCGAGCATGCCGAAGGATTGTGATTACTTACCGGGCTATTTATGAATAATACGGCCCGATGGCTTCAAATCTGAACGCATCTTCGCGATCTTTGTTTCTTATGTCCACTGTACTTCAAGGTACGTACCGGAACTGGTCAGGTATGACATAGCCTAGTGTATCAAGTTTCGGATAAGGTAACTTAAGCCTTGAGGTTTCGAAGAGCCTCTTACACGGCATCTAAGCAATATCGCGCGTTTAGCTGGCTGCCAGAGACCCTGAAAATTAGAAGTTCTCTGTTGCGCTTCTAAAATGGGCACTTCAGGCGCTGATTTGGACGCTTCCCACGCGTCGGAGATGTTGCTGCCAAGACCACGGAGAAGTAGAATGGAATCCAACGGCAAAGGAATCGTGGCCGCAAATGCTCTAAAAGGAGAGCCTCCCGCATCGGCTCTCTCGAGGTACCACTTCGATCCTCCACATCCGGTCTCTCCAAGGTTACTGACCATGATAGCGGGCGGACCACACCAATTCCATCCGATGCGCCGCCATCAACCCAGGCGACGTCGTCGGTCCGGAAACAAATCCGGGCGCAGAACAAGTCGCGTCTGTTCCCGACTATCGACTATGCGCCGCGCGTGTCGCATTTTGACCCGCGAAGTGAGTACACCAACTTCCGGGGGTTCTTCGTTCTCTTCTGGATTTCCCTGGCGATCATGGCGATCACCGCCATACTTCGGAGCTTGAAGGAGACGGGGTATCCTTTGAATGTCAGTCAATGGTCTCTGTTTACGGAGAATATTGGGGAGCTAGCGTTAAGCGACCTGCTTATGGCGGCAAGTACAGTGTTGTGTTTGCCGTTACATCGTCTATATATGTCCGGAAGTTCCATACTCAGATGGAGTAAATCCGGAATAGTCATTCAAGCTATCTTTGAGGGGATGTGGTTGGTATTTTGGGTTTGGTACGCGTTTATATTATCCATGGCGTGAATCAAGCTGACCATTCCACAGCTGGCCTTTTCTTCGGACGTGGACATGGACGGCGCAAGTCTTCTTCACGCTCCATATCCTTTCATTATTCATGAAGATGCACTCATATGCGTAAGTGATGCCCGGAATAACAGGAGCTTCTTCTAAACCGAGTAGGTTCTACAATGGGCATCTATTGGAGACCCGACACCGACTGCTTGGACTAGACTCCCCTTTAGCGGCAGCGTCTACATCCGCCACAGAATCAGCCGCAGTCCGATATCCATCGGCCTGGTCCGAGAAGATGCCGCCCGATGGGAGAAGACCCTCCAAAGAGATCAACGTGAATGGAATAGTTCACTCTGCAGCTGTTGAACAATTGCGAGAAGACCTAGCTTTGGAGCTCACATCGCCGCTGGGTCGAATAAGCTACCCGGCCAATCTAACCTACCTGAATTTTGTCGACTATCTTCTCTGCCCGACCCTGTGCTATGAATTAGAGTACCCGCGGATGCCGACCAGGGATTATATGAACCTATTCTACAAATCCCTCGCCGTATTCGGCTGCATCTTCCTCCTGACCGTCACCTCCGAAGAGTTCGTTATCCCCGTCCTCGCCGAGTCCTCCGCGCGCCTCCACATGATGCCGCCGCCGACCCTCTCCGAACAAGCCCTCATCCTCGCTGAGACCATCTCCGGCCTCCTCTTCCCCTTCCTCATCAACTTCCTCCTCGTCTTCCTCGTCATCTTCGAATACCTCCTCGGCGCCTTCGCCGAGATCACCGGCTTCGCCGACCGCCATTTCTACGACGACTGGTGGAACTCGCGCGACTGGCTCGAGTTCTCGCGGCAGTGGAACATCCCCGTGCATCATTTCTTCCGGCGCCATGTCTACGCGGCGCTGAGCAGGCCGGTTCCGCTTAGCGATGCCAAGCCGCCGACGTCGAGGCCGGTGGCGACGGCCATTACTTTCTTTGTGAGTGCGATTGCGCATGAGTTGGTGATGGGCTGCATCACGAAGAAGTTGAGAGGATATGGATTTGTGATGATGATGATGCAAATCCCGATCGTTATGGTTCAGAGACATCCCCTGGTGCGGGGAAGAACTTTGTTGAATGTAAGTAAACAACATGCTCCGTCATGTTTCCAAACTAATCATTTATAGAACGTTCTGTTTTGGTGTTCAATGATTCTCGGACTCTCCATGGTAAGTTCAGATCTACAATCCACACCATATGCATCGCTAATATCGACAAGATGTGTGCATTATACGTCCTAGTCTAGGACATCTAAGCGCTTTTATAGTTATAGAAATCCCATCTCACTAGACATTTTCAATGTGAAAGGGAGAGCAATCTCCCGTGTTTAATCTTCTCATTCGCCTGTGCTGCATACACACTATCCTTGAAATCGTAAAACGACAACATCAGCGGCCGAACGTCCACGTTCGACCCCGCCCTCCCACCAGAATGCGTCCCACCCTCAGGTCATTCGAAGATGCACGGCACAAAGACAAGACGACTGGATAATGCTTGTTCACGCGGGCTCGGACCAATCCACCTGTTCGGTGATCGGAGCGCCACCATCCACCGAATAATTGAGCTTTAGCCTCAACCGAAGCTTGGCAGGCGGCGGCTATTTCAAAATGATCAGCAACGTCAACGAAAAGGGGTTCGAGATACTTACGCCGCTGACTCCCACCACCCGCATCTGCTGCGACGCCTCCGCATTCGGCGCAAGCTCCGCACTGCTCAGCGCCTGCAGCTGCAGTTTCTGCGACTTGGGCACCGCGGCCTGCAGCGCGACACCAGTGAACCGCGCCGTGGCGCCGTCGTTTTTGAACTTGGCCAGCACCTGGACGGCGTTGCCGGGGCGTTGGCAGGTGAACGAGATGCGGAGGTCGTTCTTGTGGTAGACGAGGTGCTCCGCGGCGGTGGGTGGCGCAGGGGAGCCGATACCGCCGAGGATATCGAGGGAACCGGAGGGGGCGGGGGACGGGGTGGTGCTGGGTTGATTGGAGTTGAAGAGGTCCATGATTGAGTTGACGTTAGAAGTGGCGGGCTGCGAGGGCGACGTCGATGGGTCTGCTACAGGGGAGGGGCTACCGCCGAGAATATCAGCGAGCAGATCTGCATTTTTCTGGCCTCCATTCGTTGTCGGCTTGGTCGATGGGCCCGCCTCATCGGCGCCACCCATGAGATCCAGAAGCATGTCTTCGGTGACTTGGTTCGATTTCTTCTTCTGCACGGTGGAATGTCGCTTCTTCGTCGCTTCGCCGAGGACTCGCTGCTCTTCTCGGATTTCCGGCGGGGGCATCCGCTCGAGCACACCGCGACGGACTTGATCGTACGACATGAGGTGCGTGTACTCGACGGCGCGCTGCTGGATCTCGACGTCCAAGTCGGTCTGTCGGGTCCGAAGGAGTTGCCGGATCCGCTCGACCTGCGTTTGATCGGATAGCCGAGTTGTCAGCTTCATTGCAGCCGTCACGATGTACTCCGTCACGATCTTGGTGCTGTAGCTGCTGCTGAGTATAGTCGAAAACAAATCAACGAGATCACTCTCTTTGATATCCTTCACCAGCTCCTCTTCCTCATATTGGCCTCCTTGGAGAAGGGCGTCGGCATATTCGCCGATCACCCAAGCACCGGCGAGGTTTAATCCTTCTTGAGTAATGTCATCCTTTAAGGCAGCATAGAGCTTCTGGGCGGAATAGGTTTGTAGTTCGGTGGTAGTTGCAATGAGTCGAACAAACGAGGAAAGGATTTGTTCCTTAACATAGTTGCCGGCCTGTCCACAAGATTAGCCAACACTGCCATAAAAGACTTGTGATATAGTTACCAGTTTGAGAACTCGTAGCATAGTGTCAATGTGCCATCTCTTGTTCGGCGCAAAACGATCCGCCGCGATACCGATCTGTGAAGTCATAATCGGCTTGAACTCGTTATCCGCTACCTCGAGGAATGAGAGAAGCTCGCGGATCAAGACGCGGACGTTGCCTTCATTGATGAGGGTGAAGCTAAGATCCAGTGCTCTTCTGCGAATGCTAATGTCGGGATCCCGCAAACAATCCAAGATCGTGTTTCGGTGTCTTTGGACTGCGTTCGGCTCAACAGCCACCACTTTGATGAGGGTGTTCAATGCGACGTAACGTATATTGTTGTCTCGGTTGGACAGGAACTTCCCCAAGATATTAACCCCTAGGACTCGCAGGCCCGAGTCGGCTTCGATGTCGAGGATGGTAAGGACGGATTCGTAGAGGATAGAGTTACCGACGTTTTTGGACGCATCGGTGTTAGTCGCGACCTGTTCTGGTCAGTATGGAGAATAATATTAAAGGACGTACGAAGGGTACCTGTGCTAGGATGTCATTGATCTGGTCGCTCGTCTCTTGGTCCCCTCGTCCCAAGACTCTAAGCAATTGCAAAATCTTCACCTGTAAGAATGGGTCGGTTATCCCGGACACATCATGTTCGGGGGCATATCCGGAGTTCGCCAGACTTTTCAGGATCTTGACAAGCCCGGGTACCAGCGGTCGAAACACATCGATCACGCCCTCAGCTTCCTCCAGCTCCTCCTCCAGCTCGCACATACTCGTCGCTAATGTAAGTCCACAGAGTAGCACGCCATGGTTTCGATCGGAGAGGAGCATTTTCGCCTTCTCGAGGAAGTGCTCCTGTAGGTCGGGAACCTTTCGACATATCCGCATGGCGCAGATCGCTGCCTTTCGACGAATGTAGGGGTTCGAGCTCGATAGTATGGTTTCGACTTCCGGGAAGAGATCTCGCGACATCTCGATCGACGCAATGTTTCCGAGGGTCACTAAAGCAAGACCGACCACATATTGGTTCGAGTGGTTGAGGTCACTGTATTCTTCAATCAGCGCCAAATCCTAGGACTCGATGAGAGCATTATCCTTACTTTTTCAGCGAGTTCGTCACCAAAGTCAAGACCTCCTGATTTTCATCCAGCAGGAGCATCGTCCCCAGGTAACCCAACCGCTTGTCCGCAAAGCGCGGTGACGCCAGCAGCTTTAGGCATTCGATCTGCCCAAAGTGTGTCCGCTCCCCAAGGGTGAAGAGGTATAGCAACTTCGCGACATTGTTTCTCCTGCGGAAGTATTGGTATAAGATCGACGTGCTATTGAGCGAAGGGGTACGAACCTGACATTGGAGTCGTGGCTCTCTTCCCGAAAACTGGCTCGAATCGCTGCGCTTTCTTTCTGCACGACGGCTCGCTCATCCGCAATGGTCTTCGCGGCGCGGACATTGCGAATGAACTGCTTTACTATAGGATACTATTAGCATACGACGCTTGCAACGTACGGTCATGCAACGAACAGGAGCTCATGGTTGATCTTTATGTCTGACCCAAGTGCGGGTCAACGATCGAGAGTCATGGACTGGGGGACAGTTGGCAGGGACGGAAATGGACAATCACCCGAGGATAAATGCGTACAACCACTTAAATAGGGATTCAGAATGTAGTTGACGGCCGTATGTGAGTTGCTGTTTCTAGACATCCACAGTCCACATAGGCTTCAGATGTACAAGTGGGAGTTTCCACTCTGATGCCACCATCCCTGATTCGTTTAGCTTGACCCAACCGTGGCGGTGCAGTCTACTCCATTCACGTTCACATTGTTGCTATTCACATCGGATTTGATTGCGACAACAATAATAATAGGAGCATAATTCATATTGACGCTTCAATCTGATTGCAATTTGCACCTTTATTATTGGGTTTGGGTTCTAAAACATACAAATACGTGTTTCTTAGTGTTTTTTAGTGTTACTAACCAGCGTCTCCCCTTCATTGCTCCTGACGTTTACCTGCAAACTTGCACCTCAATTTGACCTCTGGAAAGACCAAGTTTCATCAACCATCGAATAATTCCAGATTCGGAGCTACAACCTCAATGCGTAGGGACCAAGTTACTCAAAGAGCTTGGATTACTGTCCCACCGAGACTCCGCGCCTGCCATAGAAGAATACCGTCCACCCTCAGGAGAACACTGTGATCCCGATGGGTCCTAAGAAAGGGTCAAATTCGAAGGATGATTCGTCCAAGAAAGGTGGGAAAGGAGGGAAAGGAGGGAAGGATCCCTCTGGCGACAAAACTACTGGGAAGCTGAAACCCGCGAACAGCATCAACGTAAGGCATATTCTATGCGAGAAGCACTCCAAGAAGGAGGAAGCCTTAGCAAAGCTGCGAGACGGAGCCAAGTTTGATGAGGTTGCCCGGGAATTTTCTGAGGACAAGGTAATCCGCCACGCTCTCCTCTGGGGACATAACAGAAGTCTAACTTTGTGCGAATTCTTCAGGCTAGACAAGGTAACTATATCGTCCCAGCCCATGGAGTACGATGTTCAAGTCCGAGCCCCAGACACTAACTCGCGTATCAGGCGGTTCATTGGGATGGAAGACGCGTGGTTCGTTGATAGCCGAGTTTGAAAAGATGGCATATGAGCTCGAGACGAGCACGACGGGGAATCCGAAGTATGGAGAAGTGAAAACCAAAGAAGGTTATCACATCGTCATGGTCGAAGGGAGGAAGTAATGTGGAAGTCTTTCATGACGCGGGACGGATTCGGACAGGAGGCGGTGGTCAATGACAATCACGATATCAGTAGCATATGAATCAAGCTATGATAATGTCTTCCAAGTTCATTCCTCAGGATGTTCCTACAAAATATATTAGATCTCACTGTCATACCCTTTTCGAAATTGTGCGGGAGTCAGGTCGATGTTTGTTCATATTGGTTACTTGGTTGATCAAGACTCGTCACGTGCCCCGACCCACATCGTCAACTTGACCTTGAACCTCATCATCAGACCACCACTTGCTGCATCTACACACGACTCGAAGCCGACCCCAGTCCCTTGAACATCCATCTGCGCAACAGTCCACTGCATCTACGATGGCCGGGTGAGCTCCTCTTCTCCCAATTGCTGCATCGCAGACCCACGACGTCCCATACTGACCTCGGCGCTCGCAGCTTCGTCTTCCGCGAGAACAGGGTACCGCGGTACCAGCGACTCTTCGCACGCCATGATAAGCTCCGTATCTGGCAAAAGGTTCGATTCCATGATTCTCGAGGAAACGGCAAAGCAATTGCTGGCCTCCTGGCGACCGACGAGAGGCTAATCATCGCATGACAGAGCCCCCGGGCCCCGTTTGTCCTCTACCCGTACTACCTCTTGACGGCAGTCTCTCTTGGTGGTAAGATCTTGGAACGCAATGCATCCGCAGGATACAATGGCTAACATTTACTGTCTGAAGGGTCGATGTACATGATGGGCCGCATGGTTATGGTACGTTTGGCTAGCAATGGAATCGGTATCGGAGCTAACATGGTATCAATAGGGCCACAAGACCTGGTTCGGAAAGGACTAGACGCTGTTCTCCAAAACTCGTGTCAATAGAAGTGTACTCTAGCATCGCAATCAATGACGATATCGGTCGAACTGAAATACGATTTCCTATGCTGTGTCCTGATTGTCCATTGCACGGCCCCAAATCCAGGAGGAATGTTCCATCGAACGTCTTAGTAATATGTTATACCGTCCCCGAGTTGCCTCAAACGTTCCAGAAAAACGTTCTGAAGAGAAGACGACGTCTCATCGCAGCACTAGATCCTGTGCAAAAGGTGCCTTGCCTCAGCTTCAGACACACAACGGAATCTATCGAAAATTCAAATCGATCCTGTAGAACCAAAAGGCTCTATTTAATTAATTAATCCTTCTATCTATTCTTCTACGAAAGGGCTCCTCTAGCTTCCATTTGATGTAATAAAGATCCAGTTTTTATCAGCTTGATCGTTTTGATATGCCAAGCCTCGCATCCCCAGACAACCCGGACAACCGAAGATCCCAGCTGAGAGCTTTCGTGAGCTTTCGCGAGCTGTCCATGTAATCGTGTTCAGAACCTTTTTCGTTGGGATGCTCATGCAGCGTCGGTTACTTGGAAGGGAAATCTCAAATCTGCCCGAAATCGATTCCGGCCTCGACTTCCAGACCCCCGGCTTCGTGAGATTACGCGACCTCCATCCAGACCCACTATGAGACCTCAATCACGATAGCTCCATCGCTCCCTCACCAGTTCCACCATCAGCTATCTCGAACACTCTGCACCATGGCCGACATTATCAAGGGCCTCTTCGGGGGCGGCAAAGCCCAACAATCCCCTCTTTCATCTGCAGACGATGGTGGGTCGCGCAATTCGCCCGGGACAGCGATTCTTCGCAACTAACACCCCGTGATAGACTTCGCCGATTTCGCCGGAGTTCCTGATCCATCGCCGGTGTCCATCCCGATCTCCTCGCCGTCATTTTCGCCTGCGAAGCCATCGCTTGGGTTAGCGACCGGACCGTATCCCTACACGAAATGGTATCGCGTGTGGGAACGCGCGTCACCGAGCGACTTCATCCTGGAAGCCATCATCATCCCCGTCATTGCCATCGTGGTTCTGATTCATTTCTGGGGGAAGCGACGAAATCAGCGCACTGCTCATGCATGGATAAAAGCACATGCGCCGGTCCTCAAGAAGGAGTTTGCCTCGGTGGGATTCGAGGGGAGGAAGAAAGACGACGAGCTGGATGACAGTGAGCTCGTTGACCCGGCCAAGCTGCTGAAAACCAAGGCGTTCAATGAATACACGACCTATGCGACCGGTCGCCAGAATGTGGCGTTCGTCGATATTCGCATCACGCTATTGAAGTGGTACAATCCCGCGGTCATCGCCGGGGAGAACCTGGTCAATCTGTTCTTCGAGAGCCTCGAAGCCACCCAAGAGCGGGTGCAGGCCAACCTCTACTGCTTCGACGGAAAAGAGAGCCAGCTGGCTCCCGGATTGGCAGGAAAGACGCCGAACTCCACTTTCGACGGGTTCGTGTGGGCGATCGTGCATAAGGATGCCATGAGGAGGCTGCGGGAAGGGCAATACGACCTTTCTCTTACGACCACCAAGGAGCACCCGAAGCTACCCAATTGGGCGACGATAATGACCGAGAGCGCCGAGATCACGGACACCCTGCTTACGCCGGAGCTGATCAAAGCCGTCGAGCAAGCGGGCGACTCCCTCGAGGCGCTGATCATCTCTGACCAGCCGATCGAGCAACCCACGAAGTACTAATCCCCCTGCTTGCCCCGATAGTGCTTGACTAACACCATCCAGGCTCGAGGAACTAACCAGCCGCAAGCGCGTCTCCATCAACATGCGCCTCCCCTCCTCCGGCGACTACGCTCCTACCATCCCACTGTTCCACTACTTCCTCCGCCTCCCCGACCTCCTCGTCAGCTCTGCCCGCTTCCGCCCCGAGGTGATGCGCCGCGTGAAGCAGACGCGAGAGGAGGAGTCGCGGAAGATCCGCAAGGCGACCGAGGGCGAGGTGGCAGAGGAGCGGAAGATGAAGGCCGACCGGGAGAAGAAGGAGAAGCGGGACGCGCAGCTAAAGAATATGAGCGCGGATGAGCAGCGGAAGTTTTTGGAGAAGGAGAGGGAGAAGGAGAATCGGAGGAAGTCGAAGCGGCAGACGATGCGAGGGTAGGGGATGTGATGTGGTGGGGTGTTGATGTAGGAGCGTTCTAGTGGAGATGTGTAAGGGGTATTCTTTGTAATTGTATGTGATTAAACCTGATAGGATGGCACACTTCGGTCGATAGCGTGAGCTGTCTACGCTGTTGCCTTGCTACAGATAATTGAAAAGCATTTGCTGCATTGCGCTTATCCATTCGTCCCGCTCAATATGAGTATTTACAATATGTACAACTATTTCGCTAAAGTACCAGAGATCCGCTTCAAACTATGGAATCTTCGTTTGGATCTCGCCGCCGCCTTCGCCTTTTCTTCCGGTGCCTTGAACGACTGCGGCGATCGGACAGACCAGCATCGTGCTTTAGCTGCTCGACTAGCGGCCCCATGACAAAGTCGCTCTCGGGACTGCTGTGATCGCAGAGCGGCGAATACTTGAATGGTAGAAGCCAATCTAGGATGGTATATCCCATCAGCTCCTGCATGTTCCGAAGGCGACTGATGTAGAACGGGTTGTCGCCGGAAGGGGTTCGTAAAATGGCAAACTTAGCACCGCCAGCTCTTCGTAGTGTAGATGCGGATCCAGGGTCGCCATTGACTGCATGTGCCCCTGATTCAACATTTTCCCTATTATTAGCATCCTGGCCTCTGATGCTCAGGCGCTGAAAAGGGTACGTGACCTGTGTATAGTGAGCGCTTCCACCTTGCCCGCCATTGGCGTTGGACGGCGATGCCCCGAAATTCTGGGCATCCTCGTCAATCCGCACCGCTAGAAAGTAAATGTGGTTTCCTCGGCCTAGGTTATCCACCGTTGTCAGGTTCAGGAGAGCGAGGTGGATTGTTGATCCCCCAAGGCCGGCCGTGAAGAAGAAGAACAACGACGCTCTATGTCTCGTTTAGTTCGACTATATGGCAGTGGTAGGATTTGAAACTCACATTGCTAAAACGACGATCACATGGGGGTCTATTTCCGGTAGCTGTAAGTACGGTCAGCTGGATCGTCCAGGTTCAGCCAACATCCTTGCCATTCGGCGCATATAGAATATTATGTGGTAGAGGTTACTCACGCTGCGTCTCTGCACCGATACGACATATGCCAATAGACTCATTATGAATCCAGTACATAATGCTGCATATACCAAAAACTGCACGAAGAACTTCATATTGGTTTCAGAGACGATACCGCCAACCCTATAGATAAGAATTAGCCAGTGTGTTCATGGTAAATATTAGAATTCGTATTGTATTTTGACTTACCATGGACAATAGTGATCCATCCGACGCACACATCTTCCCAGCTCGCTAGAATGATGGGTTCGGTCCGGTTTCCAGTTCCTGCATTCGATGCACCAAATAGGAAGCCCTGTGTAGTCGCAAACAAATATATTCTTTTCGTAGAATTTCTCTAGACCAGGAGGAGGTGGGACTTCCCCTTCTAGGATGGCTCGGCGATCAAGCACTCCATCTGGAGCATAAGGATGGCCAGTGCCTTCTAACGCTCGGTTGACATCATGAGACTGTATGCGCGAAGCCGTTCGAGAGCCGTTCTTCGCATCGTTTGTTGAATTGGCGGAGGGAAGTGACACCGCCTCTTTTCGGGGGACAAGGCCAGGGTCCGTGATTATGACCTGGATGATCCGAACATAGGGCACTATCCAAAGGACCATGAGGATGAAGAAGGCAACCAGAATGCCTATCATCGTCGGCGGCTGTGAAACGAGGCCTAGGTCAGGCGGCGGGCGCAGGAAGAACCGGACTGTACACCGATATCAGACAAATCCAGGGATGATAAATGAGGCGAGTCAACGGAGTCTAGGACATACCGCACACCCTTTCAACCACGACATAGCTGGCATACCCGCTGATACCGAACAGTATCACTGGTATCGCTCTCGCAGCCCATTTGTTCATCGACCTCTGGGTTGCAAGCCTGTCCATTTCCATGATCGCGTGTTCCCTGCTCTTTCATGTTGTCGCCTGTCGGGCGGATTAGGAGGGGCTCATGTTGGCTTAGAGTCTGGGCAGGATTAAGGCAATGAGGTTGAAATCAGCCCTCCGTGCCTTTGACAGAGATTCTGAAAATTGAGGTCGAAGAGCGATTCGACTCCGCCCGGGTGGATGCCAGACGCAAGTTTGAAGCACCTCAAGGCTCAAAAGTCCAGTGTTGATGACGTCGGAGTAATAAAGCAGGCGGTGCCGGTTGATGTTCGGCTCGACCTGCCATGCCGACAGACTCAACCTCACCTCCTTCTTTCGCCTCATTTACAGCTCACTTCGGTGAACCGCTTTCATTATTCTATGCATACAGGGCTATCAACTTGGTGTTTAGTGTTGCCAAATTCATATTCACCGGAATTTTGAATAGAAACTGTGTTCGTGTTTCCATACCAGTGCGTTCACAAGGACCATTTCGATGCGCAACCACACAGTTCGAAGGGCTACGTATGGGTTGAGTTATTTATCCGTATCTGGAACATCCGGGTCAGATAGAACCACCCTCTTTCTATAATTATACTATCATCTTGAGAAATGCGAGATGCGAAAAGTATAAAGAAGGGCTAGCTGTACTGGTCATCTTATTCCTGAGTCTTGCCTCTTCTTCTCGCGCTGCGTATCGTAATCCGTTCATACTAGCTTCAGTAGGCAGCGGTCGGGATATATCCCGAGAGCTCAGCCACAGTCTTTTCCCTCATCTTGTCAAGCCCGACTTTATTTATCGCATTTTGGATATGGTACGTTGCCCGGTAGCTGTCGCTTCACTCCGGAGGCAATCTCTAGTGCTGGTGAGTCGAATGAGCATCTCCGTCTATTGCCATCTCCTTTGACTCATTGAACCCTTTATCTGACCGCTTTACCTAGGGCTGTTTTCTACTCGCACCGAGCTTCGAGACTTAGCATGTCTCCGTGCACGTGGACCTTGGTGCGAAATTTCAAGCCGTGAGGCTTCTCGGTGAACTCTTAAGGCCAATTTTCGCTCCTCGATGCCTTGGCCTTATGCTACTCCCTTGAGAGAACGGCCTCAGGTCCACAATGTGGTCAACCTTTCAGTTACTAGTGCCCAACGTAGAATCGACCTGGGGCTAGGTCATCTTTCTACTACACCGCCTATCCGGCTTCCTTAATCTGGATGCCGGAGTGGTACTATTCACATGACCTTCAAGTTTATCTTTGGTCATTGATTCGCTAATACTAATAGTCATGGGCACCGGGTCCGACAAATCGTTCGATTCTTGTCTCTTACCAAGGTCATTGCCGACATCATCAGGCAAACTCAGGCGCCAGCTTCCTGCCTCAGGAATCGTCACAGCCTCCTTTACTGTATCTCCAGGATGCCTACGCCAGGAAGGTTTCACCGAAGCTGGCCGTAGACTGAGAGTTCGGCCATGATGCGATTATGCTCCGCCGCGAGAAATCTGCCGCGAGACTGTTGTTATTCGGCAGGTCCGCCCCATTGTGATTCCGTTCTCACCTTCGATCGACTAGAATGGACATAGTTGGTCCACCGTTTCGGGACCGTTCATGTCGTCTCTCCTTGTTTGCGAGTCGAAATCGACCTCTTTCGCTCGATGCCCAACTCTTGCGCGCCAACCAGGTCCTGGATGGATTTCGACATCTGTATCGCCTCAGGAAACCTTCGAGCAACCCACCGTATCCCTTCGACGATGCTAAACGCCTGAAACACTTGAAATTCCGCAGCAGTTATCGGCCTCCTTTCTTCGTGCCCGAGTCGGAAAGGCATCGCCCTAATTGTGGCCCAGGTCAACTTTCTCTTTTGAGTTGTGTGCTGAGGCGTTTGAAGCGCATTTGGATGCCTTTTTTCTTTCTCTTTAGTAGGTATAAAAATTGAGGTTGGCTCCCTTGAATCTGTTATTGCCATCATCTCACCAACTCTATAATCCCAACGACAAGTCTATCGACTATCTTTTCAATCGAACTCAACGAGTTCAGCTTCAGCTTTCTCGTTATATTCTCTCTTCAATATGATTTTCACCACCATCTCGGCCGCAGCGTCTAAGGAGGAAGTCCACGGACCTACAAGAATCCAAGAGGCCATCCACATGGCTCATCCTTTCGATGCTTCGAGCATGCAGCCTCCTCGTTCCGCAGGGTACAAGTTGGCTGGAACCGAATCCTCGGGCTGCAACGATCTCTTCGACCACTCCATCCAGCCATTATCCTGCCCAGAGACGGTTCAACTATGGAATTGCTGTGCATGCCGTGACGGTCCAACCGCAGTTGCACCGTCGTGCACTAACTGTGGACACTATCGGTGTGGTGCATGCCCAGTCAGCTATGGCCCGAAATGATAGGATCGTGCGGCTACCAACTTCCACTCCTCACCTTTCTCACTTTTACTAACGACTGTACTTAGCCCCTCTCTGGATCTCGAGAGAATTTCACCGGCTCGTCCTCCTACTGTTATACGCGACAACGGAATCTTTTCGGACTAGCGGGTTTATGCATCATCTTTCATCAGGGTAGAATGGCAGGCACGCATAGGAGCAATCCGTATTCAGCGCAAGAACTTTCTTTCACATGGACGGGGTCGACGATTGATTTACAAACTCATGATTTCCTTAGGTTATGAAGCGGTGGTAGTCAGCACGATATCTCCTATTGCACGTTGTCCATCTTTGAGGCGTTTCCCATACGGTTTCATCTATCACAATAACTTCTGATATTCAACGGAGCCCCTGAGCCTTTCCTTTCGTACAAGCTGCAACATGTGATTATTCCTCTGTGATTATTCCCTAAGCAGCGGCATCGCATTCTCAGCATCTCGCCCCTATTTTCGAAGACATGACTGCCCTCAAAACTGTACCATGTCCAGCAGGCAGTAATAAACACGCCAACTGGGGAGCTGCCAGGAACCAGAGGATCACATCATCCACACGCTTTGGACTTCTCCGGCCATCGAGGACACTTCTAATCCGCTTGCTTCCGTCGTTATGGCACTTTCCAACCTCTCTTCGTGTTGCCTAATGTGGTTGAGGTTGACATGTGAGATGATCAAACGACTGAATAGGGCAATTCCTCATCCTCCTCCCTCCCAGCGCTTTTTGCGGTACGTTCCATACCTCTACAGTTTACCAGTACCCATTTCCCAGACATACTCTATCGCCCAATTTCGAGATATCTTACCCAGTATCGTCTGAAGAAATACCGAACGAAGTCATATCTACCAAGCTGTTCGCTAATTCATAACATTCGACCAATGGCTGTAATAGGACGGAGCCACTCACGGAGAGCTACTTTTTCAAGCGACCACTCCGTGCCGGCCTCCGGGTGCCTCTACGTCGGCAACTCGCCAACTCTGCGGCGGGGGAACAGGGAACAGTCTCCCCACCATTTGACAACCCACTAACAACTACAGGCCACAAGGTGGATTCCGAGTTTTTGTAACGCAGGTGACAGTCGCCACACCCTAACTTAACCACCTTGCCCGGCTCGAACCGAATGGGTTAAGGCGATTCACAAATCACAATTGACAGTTGACAATGAGGAAACTTCGGTCTTCGACAGATCGTGGGTCGGATGAAGTCCCGATCTGTGTGCCCTACCCTATGCCCGGCTCAATCGGCGGCTCGTAACTGCATCGTATCAATTGGTTGGAGGTGTGATTTTCCTTGTGACATTCTGCCAATCCGGCATGGGTGCATGGCAGACCACTAATAGACAATACATAGTACGTATATACTACCAGGGAGCCTCACTGCCTCAGCGACGGCGCTGGGTCCCGGCTCCAACTTCCATCCACGATGTGGATTCACGATCATTGCTGAGAAATTGGAAGGACCTCGAGGAGCATGTGAACGCTATCGCAGGCTCACCGCCGATGAGGGAGGGGGAATTATGAAAAATCTCTCCGACTCTCACAACTTGGTTCAAGGTGAAATGTGTTGTCCAGGGATGTCGCTGGCTTTCTTTTCCTTAGTAGTAGGGTACATCGAAGTGATTGATAATTTCATGCATTATTATTTTGTATTCTGTCCCTGATGTCAAGCAAAATGAACACTTAAGGCTAAAGGACAAAGGGGTTTTTTATATTTTCGGTTTTTCCTTATTTCTTGCCCAGAATCCCCAGCTTCTCCAGATTCTCATGTGGTCAGATCCCAACCTGATACCCGCTTAGCGCCTTGGTCAAAGGCCGGGGAATTCTGGGCGCCGCACCATACCGAACGTTTAATCCACACCATATCCACATCAATTTCTCGGACGCCGATCTGCACCCTGTCAAGCAAGCATAATAGGGCTTGACGAGTCTACGCGACGTCCGAAGCGAAGAAACCAACGGCCGGCAACGGACAAAGGGAGTAAAGACATGGATCAAGATTCAAGGGGCGGAGAAGCCTCTCTTCTTGGAATATATTCGAATAATTACTGCTTTACCTCAAACCTATCTCGAATCTCGCGAGCAATCATGCTTTGTCTTGCCTTCCACTATGAGAGTATATCCTGAGGAATATGTGGGCGCAAGGTCTGGGTTAGGTTCGCACGATACTCCGTATTAAATCGCCCTGCATTGCTTTTTCTGACTTCCACAACAAGTCTCTATCTGCCACCTGAAGATGAGTCCCGGACGATCATGATCTAGGGATCTAGGACTTACGAACTCTTCCCGCAATTTTCCCTTTGCTTTTGTTCCGGTTTTCCGCTACTATTGGCCGGGCCCCTGGACGGACACGCGCTTACATCCCTAGTAGGTGTTAATCAGTATAGAACCCATGCAGCTAGCCCGTTCCCAGTTAACAGCAATAACTATCCAGGACAGGGAAAGGGATGGTAAGTAAGACGTATCGTGCTAAGCTCCTAGCAGCATATCCAAGCACTTGGCCAATGGCAAGAAGTCAAGGAACTCATCTCACAATATTCACATGCCTCTTCGCCAGTCCATTTCCGCCGGGAGCTTCAAACTATCTATATAAAAATGGACATGCTCGTAAGTCGCGCTTCTGATTATGAACAGGGTGGCCGAGGCCGCACTAGAGGAGTGCTGCCACGAGAGGAAAGAGCCTGGATATTTAATTAACCGTATCGTCCCACCCCGATACGGAGGCATAGGACTCTGGCCATTCCGTCCGTCAATCTCCTATCGTGAGAAGGTCCTCCCTCTATCAAGATGCGTTCCACCCTCCTCCTTGCGGCCCTCGTGCCCTTCGCGGCGGCCGCCGCCGTCAAACGCGAGGCCACCCCGACGGTCATCGCCCCCGTCCCCGCCGCGACGGTCATTGGCACAGCCGGTGACAAAGTCGAGAGCTTCCGGGGTATCCCGTTCGCCCAGCCGCCGGTGGGCAACCTCCGGCTGCGTCCGCCGCAGCCGCTGGACGCGCCCCTGGGGAAAATCGACGGGACCGAGTCGGCGAAGGCGTGTCCCCAGATGTTCTTCACCACCGCGAAGGAGCAGCTCCCGGCGAACTTACTGGGCACCTTGATGAACCTGCCGCTGTTCCAAGAGGTGCTGAATGCGGGCGAGGATTGTCTGACCCTCGATGTCTTCCGGCCCGCGGGAGTCCCGGCCGATGCGAAGCTGCCGGTGCTGTTCTGGATCTATGGCGGTGGGTTTGAGTTGGGCTCGACCTCATTGTTCAACGGCGAGAGCATGGCTGAAGCGTCCGTGGATACGAACATGCCCGTTATCTTCGTGGGCGTCAACTATCGCGTGGGAGGCTTCGGTTTCATGCCCGGCAAGGAGATCAAGGCCGACGGGGCCGGGAACTTGGGCTTGCTCGACCAGAAAATGGGCCTGCAGTGGGTAGCGGACAACATCGCGGCCTTCGGCGGCGATCCGGACAAGGTCACCATCTGGGGCGAGTCGGCTGGAGCGATCAGCGTGCTGGACCAGATGATCATGTTCGATGGCGACAACACGTACAAGGGCAAACCGCTCTTCCGCGGGGCGATTATGAACTCGGGAGGAATCATCCCCGCCGACCCCATCGATGGCCGCAAGGGCCAGCTCGTCTACGACTCCGTCGTGAAGAACGGCGACTGCGCCAGCGCGTCCGACACCTTGCAATGCTTGCGCGAGCTGCCGTATGACGACTTCTTGGACGCCACCAACTCTGTTCCGGGTATCCTGAGCTACTTCTCCGTCTCTCTGGCCTACCTTCCCCGGCCCGACGGCTTGTCGCTGACCGATTCCCCCGACGAAGTGGCCCTTGCCGGCAAGTTCGCCAAAGTTCCATTCATCATCGGTGACCAGGAAGACGAAGGGACGCTGTTCTCCCTGTTTCAGACCAACATCACGACCAACGAGGAGTTGAACACGTACCTTAACACCATATTCTTCCCGTACGTCGACCCCCCGATCGTCTCGGGCCTCGTCGACACATATGGAACGGGTGCGCTGGAAAGTGTCACCGAAAACTCGCCCTTCCGGACTGGATTAGGGAATTCCCTATACCCACAATTCAAGAAACTCGCCGCCATTCTCGGCGACCTCACCTTCACGTTGACGCGGCGTGCCCTCCTCGACGGCCTCGCAGCCGTGGCGCCCGAAGTACCGTCGTGGTCATACCTCGCATCCTACGACTACGGCACGCCGGTGCTCGGGACCTTCCACGGCTCGGATTTGCTGCAGGTGTTCTTCGGCATCGTGCCGAACTACGCCAGTCGGTCGATCCACTCGTACTACTTCAGCTTCGTGTACAACCTGGATCCGAACGAAGGGGACCACACGTATATGAAGTGGCCGCAGTGGAACGACGGGAAGAAGAAGCTGATGAACTTCTTCGCGAATAAGGCGGAGCTCATCAATGATGACTTCCGGCAGGATTCGTATGAGTATATATTGGAGCATCGGGCGGAACTCAAGATTTGAAGAACCATAAAGTCGCTGCGAGGATTAATTGATTTATACTGTAATGTTTTGGTTTTGCAGATACGATTAATGGAATAATTGCTGTCTCCCTTGTTGCTTGTTCGTCCTCGTGAGGAACTTAGGCCTGTCAATTGGAGGGAAATGATAGGAACCATGTTGGAAGTTCACATGGCATTCTCGCTAGATCCGTCGACTCTAACACGTAAGTAATGTTTTCCTCGGTAATAATAGTTGTCATCCGCCTCATTCAAAGCAATCCCAACCAGACTCCAATATTTCTTTCCGATGAACTATTCAACCCCCCGGTGTGTAATACATCCGAGACGAACTCCTCGTTCAAGTAATCCGTGAACGCCCTGACCAATGCCCGGGTCAAGAAAACCGAACAACTCTTAAACAGTGACGAAGAAGGCATATCCAATCGCAATAGCGGCCGTGGCTACTGCCCAGATCCCTCCCCAAATCGCACCTCCGTATTTCGTCGCACCCATCACTGTGGAACCCGTCTCGACGATCGCGTGAAACATTTGGATGCTCATCAAGTACAGTGCGCGCAGGAAAATGCTCGCGATTCGCTTCCCGGCGATGGTGGAAGGATTGAGCGGCCCAATGGTATGGAGAAAAGTCCCCCATACACTCGCCGTCGCTGGGTCGAAGGCTTCCCGGTCTCCCAGCTCCGCTGCAGTGGGCTCGAACCCCTTTCTAGCAGCCGGCGCAAATATGAAGGCTCTAATGGCGGCTGCAACCGGCAGCAACAAGAAGGGAAGGATTATCTGGAATTCCTTCGAATGGGCGCGCTCGAAGCTGATGGCATCGAAGTACGTCGCGATCTGAGCCGTGAGGGCGCCATTTCGATAGAAGAAGAAGAGCGACACGCTATAGACGGCTGTGGCGAAGAGCGTCGTGACCAAAGTGATTCTTGGGTCGTTCAGGACACTGTTGGCCGAAGCAGGGAGCACGGGATCGGATGGTGGAGTCGGATACCATGGAGTGCTGGGCCGGAGGATCGTGAAAGGCAAAGATGTTGCCAGTGTTGATATAAGGTACAGAACAAGACATGTCATTACCGACACGTTCTTAAAGGTATATAAGAACAGGTAGTGAGGGGCCCATGTCGCCACGCAAGCGTTCCAGGCATCCCTATCTATTGCTCTAATCAGCATTTGAACGTTCATAGCGATTCGAATACATACCGTCGAAATTTAAAATCCACATAGTCGCGATGGTAAAGAGCTTCAGGATCGGTATCAAGGCGTTGAGCTCCGGATCGCCTTCTCGAGTCGGCCGGCGAGAGACCGACGTAATCTCGGTGCTCGCCCAGAACGGCATCGCCCATAGGAACAAAAGGTTCACCATAAAACTGAATCCCATGCAGTTGACAAACCCTCGATAGCCCTGCAGGTAGTCCCCCTCGGGCTCAATTACTTCGATGTACCTCCCGCGACGGCGCTCGATGCCCTTCGCAAGGGTTCCAAAGACCTTAGACGGCGTGGAGTCGACATCGGACAGTTCGGGTTCCGGAGACACGCGAGACTTCTTCGATCGTGTCGTCGTCCCCTTGGACGCCGCCCTAGACGTGGATGCTTTACGGGCGCGCGACCTGGTGGCTTCGCGATCGGCTGTCTCGGTTGAGTCGCGGGAAGCGGATTTGCGGTGGCTTGGAGCCATGGTTATGATCTCGAGCTGCTTCCACAGAGTTGAAATGGCGGGGTGTTAAGGAAGCGATGTATTATGTCTGGAAACAGACGAGACGGGTGGCATAAACATGAAGACATGAATGAAGCTGAGAAGAAGTCAAGCACGGGTGGTGGCTGGGAAATGCTGCGAGATGCTCTGGCTCCGCGTCGCGACGTCACTCTGACCAGTAGACTGTATCAGCCAATCAGAATGCGATGCAGCTGTCCATCACAACTTGCAGCCTTGACGCCTTGTTGTCTTTGTGGCGGCCTTCATTTCTCAGGTCACAAAGTTTCATGTTCCAGTCCACAGCAATCCCGAGGCACCAGACGGAGTATGTTCCGAAGTCAGGTCAAGTCACAACGTTGGTCTCGGTTTGATCTTAACAAATTTCCATGTCAGTAAGATTCATGTTGCAAACTCAAGGATTAGGTACTGATCATATCATGGTCTAGATTCATGGACCCGGCTCTGTGAACCCTCTCTTGGTTTTGTATCCACTTGAATATCTCCGTATCCCAGCGGCGAGCACTCCATCTCTCCCCTCAGCGTCAAACAGGTAAACTCAAAAGTCATCCGGACTCCATCGAGTATTACAGCAGTCAACTACGCATTGATCAACCTTAATCAAGTCTGAATACCACCATTCGAGCGCCGGTCCTCCTGTCGTGAAGGTGATCTTCAGATCTTGAAGTTGGGGTTGGCCAGCTGTGCATCAGGCCTGGCGACGGGGTGCTCACTGTCCGACATCTAAGAGAATCTGTGGGATCTCTAGGTGTCGCAGTGAAGAGAGTGAACGGGGTATGGAGGGGATGGCTGGTCGCGTGTATAGGTAATGCCAGGATCTCTTCAAAGAGTTCATACCGATCACTACGACCTTGACAAGCCAATACTAATGTGTTCAGCGTTCGATAGAGCATGTCAACCCCAGAGCCCCACCATCGAGGGTTCCCATCATGATCTCAATATCCAATTCATCCAAACAATATTACAGATCTGCTGTAGCACCTGCCCTCTCCAACCGTAGCATGGCCTCTCCCTTTCTAACCCCCTCACTCATCCCACCCTCCTCTCAGTTCCTTGCCGCTCTTCTGGCTTTCACGTAGAAGGAGGTGTGTGTGACAGACGTTTAGCTAGACTTCGAACGGGGATAGATTGTGACACGACGGAGAATAGAGGCTAACCTAACCACTGCAACATCAAATGAATAGAGATGGCGTGAATATGGGAAATAGGTCCGCATCTGGGTGCAGTCCCCGCAAATACAGAACTGAGACAGGAACGTGGCGGTATCCAGATGTCGGATAGCATAAAGAGTTCTATTACAGAGGTACTCTAACTTTAAGTAGAAAGTTCATTGCGGAGCTTAAGCGAGAGGGGATTCGACTCATTCGAGGCACTGAAAGCTCACGGACCTAAAGTCGTGCATGGAGGTTCGTAGGGAATAAGAATCTAGAGCTGCTCAGGACCAAGTAGCCCGACTCCTAGAAGAACCGGCAATGAAGCTAAATCGCAGATATGTCCCTTATATCCAGTAAACCTGTTCCAAATCCCCGTACCCGAATACCTCGGGCGTGATTTCAACGATCATACTTAACAAGGAAGGTGGCCGAAGCAGCCCATGGCGCTTTGACGCCTCATCTCGTTCCACGACATGGAGCGATAACGCGATAAGTCTCTAGGGCAATATCCACATGTTCTGCGCATTAGCCTATTGGCGGTCCCAGGTGTTCGACGCGTCCTAACTCCTAACCGCAGATCAGACGACCGCATGCGCAGACTAGCTTGTTGCTGTCAATGGGAGATAGCAGACTGGGTGTACGGCTTGGGGAATGGAGGAAAGCGAAGGGAGGGGATGAGGAGATAGCAGGACAAAAGGAGGTGTTGAAGACGCGAGAGAGTCGGGATGATATGTGAATTAAGGGTTGACGACATCCCACTGAGAGTGGGGGTCAACGGAAGGCGAGAAGCTGACTGGGGAAGAAGGGATGCGACTTGTGAGTAATTAGATAAGGAAATGTTCGAAATGCCATGTTCAACGACCAGTGGTGTTCGAAGTTGGAGTGTGAACAGAATAGCCATTTCCAAAGATCATTATACCGGAATAAATTGAGGAGACAGACAGCCTTGAACCAGTGGGCCACGGGTATCAAATAGCCCGTTTCCCCAAATAATGCTTCACCCAACACGTGGCACTACATATACTGGTATCCATCCCTACCATCCACTCATCACGATGCTAGTGCAAGTCTTTAAGGTACAGTACAGGCGTAAAGGTATGATCGGTGGTTTAATTGTCCATCAGGATGCTCAATGACCCTTCTAGGACATCAAAAACGGGTCAACTAGGCACGATTGATGCCATCCAGATCTCGCTTCGGTACCGCAAGACCATCGACCCAATGGATTGACCTGGAGATATTATCCATAATTCCGTATCCAAATCCGTGGTCACGGTTCCTGTTTCAACCCGATGAAACCTCAATCCAAACGTTCAGGCGCTTTCTCGAAGACGATGAAGTATCAAGTACCTGATCCCCCCAGCCAATTGAGATTCCCAACGAATTCCCCACTGCGACCTTTGCTCCCTCCACCAACCGTACCTCCCCACCAGACCCCACCCCTGAGCTCCCCCCTCGGAGATACTCAACCACGGACAGACCGCCGTCCAGACCAGGGAGCGACGAGCTCGGAGACGCGCCATCCGTTAACTGCAAACGGTTCCGCCGCCGCCAATCATGGGCAACCTTCCCCGCGTTGGCCGAACGGGCGCTGGATTTCAGAGATGCGTGGCCTTGAAAATTTTTCACGGCCAATGAGGGCAGCCTGATGGAGGGGCCTAGAGCCGATCGAAGTCCGTTCGCTCGACGTGACGGCTCGTCGTGTCGCCATGAACGTAGGTCAGTGACGACGGTTCGTGAGACGGTGTGATGATTCTTCCAATCGTCTTGAGTCGAGATGACTTGGGAAGATGATGCATCAGGTTCAACGAACGCCTGTATTAGAACCATCATCTACAGAATCATTAATCTATTCACCAAGGTAGGTATTACTGATGACATCGTTTGCGATTTGGATAGGATCTTATCCTTGCGCTCAACAAAAGGTTGAAGCTTTGGCAGAATCGGGTGCTTGACTGGAAAAGTCGGATGCTGCCGATGCTCAGAGCCGAACCATTCGGCATGCCGGTAACTCCGTAGATCGAGTTGGAAGGACCCAGGGTTCATGCCCCTTTCTCATCTGCATTGGGTATCAAAATAGAAACGCCGGATGGAGGTCCTTGAAATCGAGAGGCTTTGAATAGTCACTCTTCTAGAACCCCATATCACTTTAATCATGGTGTACCTGGGGGGTGCAAGACTCTAAATGCGGGAGGAAGCTTGAAATGCAAGCCTCAACTTGCTCAATCTATTCCGAAAACCAGATACATTACTATCTATGCAGTGAAGCCAATAGCCCTAGATCTTACCGTGATACATCAGCATCTTGGAACGGGTGCCATGGTTCGATGTTCCCCTCTTTGCTCCGATGGTACATATCGACATCCTCACATGTACCCATCAGGAACTTCTACGCGATCAAAGTACGATCAATTCCATGCTGTAGTATGCTCAAGGCGTGTGGCTTGTAGCCTTTCCCCTCCAATTCGCTCCGATCCGACCAATTGGGGACAATGGCCCAAGACCTGCTCCGGTGCTCCCATCTTTCCCCCCGCTCCAATCCACATCGGACGTGAACTCCACCGGAACATGGGGGCGTTCTCGACATTTCTCGCCTCTCGGTCATCTGCAGCAAGCCAGCCAGGCGGGCGTGTCCGCGTGTGGCCAACAGAGCCTGGTTGACGACATGGAAGTGGATTTGGTGCCGTTGTGGACTAGAAATGCCCGAGCCCATCCACCCGATCGAAAGCGAACCACCCGCCCCAGCTTTTCCATCACTCATTCCATTACCCAACCGTTTACCTCCCACCACCCAATATCTCCCTCCCCAATCTTGAACCGCTCTTTATCGATCGACCTTGCTTTTGTCTTGTTATTATTAACCGTTCCTACACACCATATCTTTCCAGCCCAAATTTCCCCCCGCCGAACCCGGATTCCCGACACCGTGGGAGGGCCTCCCCGTCTCGTCCCCCTCGTCGCCCTGCGATTCCTCCCGTTGGGGTGTGTCGGCCAGGCTTAGGTCGGCGGCGTTCCTGCAGATGTCCGATAGCAGATCTCTCGACGATTTGGCCGCCGCGCCCGCGGTCGGGAGGGAGGAGCATTTGCGAGACGTGTCGACAGATTCGCTACAGTCCACGCCCGAGCCGGAGCCTGAAGCATCGCAGGAGCATAATCTTCAGCAACCGAAGCGAAAAGGTGGGCGCAAGCCGGTGAGCACTCTTGATTCTCTCTATATCTCTCATGTTTTGTGTTGCTATTTGAATCGGACTATCACCATTGCAACTATCATTCCGAGTCAACACCCACGTTCTGTCTCAGTTTTCCTTCGTATCCTTTCCTTCGCATGTGACCGTGGACTCCCGCATATGGCCACCGCATGTCGTCAATGTCGAGACCCCAGCTAATCGAAGCCAAAAAGATCTATGCCACGTCCGAGGAGCGGAAGCAGCGCAACCGACAAGCGCAGGCGGCCTTTCGTGAACGGCGGACCGAGTATATCAAGCAGCTGGAGGCCACCATCAAGCAGCATGAGGAGACGCTGCAAACCCTCCAGGCCAACCACCGCAATGCCGCGGACGAGTGTCTGATGCTGCGGTATAAGAACTCGTTGCTCGAACGAATCTTGCTCGAAAAGGGTGGGTCCCCCTGGTTCTCCGCGGAAGCTCTCAGCTTCCTTATCACGGCCAAAGCTCCCATAGCTAATCTCTGAACTCAGGGATCGATGTTCAAGCCGAACTCCATGCGAAAGGAGGCAGTCCTCAACTCGGCGCGACCCGAACGACCACCGCACCAACACCCATTTCCAACCAAGCCCGCTTCAGCTTTCCCCGAGCAGCAACCAACCCAGCCCGCCGCTCCGTCGGCGCCATCCCCGGAAATCCCGATGGCGCTCACCCCCTCCAAAACCGCTCCCCTCACCTCCAACCAACGCCCACTTCGCAGTCCTCCTCGCCCCCCACCACCTCGACCCGCTCCCCGAACTTCCTCCCGCAGCCCAATAGCAACATGTCCCCGTCCTTCAACGCGGTGCCGGGGGCCACCGGTCAACCTATAAGACCGCAGCAACCGCCCCCGCTGCGTCCGCAGGGCAATCCACGGCAATCACCCGGTCGACTGGTGACCAGCTACCCGAACTCGGGGGCGGCGCAGAACGGGCCGCGGAGCGCGCCGCATCAATTCTACCCCTCGCCATTCCAGAACCACATCGATCAGCTTGGTATGTAACCACTTCCACACGCCATATCATGTTATCTCCCCTCTCAAATCACCGTCACGTCCTCCTATTCTAATTGCTAACCTCCCCCCAGAGCAAGAATACGACGCCGAAGCCGACATGGTCGACGAACCCTCCCCCAGCGACCCTCCCACCGCCCGCTCGCCCTACCCCCACAACTACTACAACCCCGCCTCTCAAATGCAAAGCATGCCCCCCCCTCCCGCCGTCGCCTCGCAAGGGCCCAACCAACCCTTCCCCCCGCCAACAGCCGCCCCGCCCCAGCCACCCCAGCCGCAGCAGCGGCGGCCACCGCCGCAGGGGGAGAGTGGGATGAGCGGGGCGAACCGGTTGTTCGATCCGTATGATCCGATTTTGGACGCGGATCCGTTTGGGTTGTCGGCGAGTATGCAGTTCCCGACGCAGTTTACGTATGAGACACGTTGAGGGGATGGAACGGGTGCCGTTGGATGTTATATCCTTTTCTTTGTATGATGTGGGACCGGGGTGATCATAATGTTTGGGGCTCATAGCGAGCTCAGCACGTGCCAAACACCGCGCACGAGAGTCACTTGACCGGGGTTTCACAGCGCTTTAGGGTTCGGATCCGAGTACGGGTATGGCGTTTTAGCTGGGAGCTTTTTACGGGAATCGCAATGCATGAACTGGGGATGATTCTTCCGCCGGTGCAGCTTTTGACATGGCCAGACAGCATCGGGCTTTTCCTCACCGGCGTTGCGCGTCGCTGCGGTTTTTCAACACAAAAGTTTCAACAAGCGTTGGGGTTTGGCCTTTTGCGACACTCCACGAGACGGGAGGGACAAGGCAGGGCTTGTTGTGGATATTCACGACTACAACCAAACTGTGCATACTGCCTGATGGCTGATACCCCGTTGTCTCTGTTGATGGTCCAGAACCTTTTGTCTGGATGAGTACTGTGGAGTTCTGGTCTGCTTGATGGGCAGGGAGCGCAGCCGGATGTATTCTACCTTACTAGCGAGATTGGTCGAGCCAGCTGCCAGGGAAGATCGGGTGTAATCCGGTGCTCTGGGTTGATGTCGGACTCGACCAATGTACCATCCACTTCTTCTATACTATCGATATCCCACGCTGTTGATGTGATGTCACTGCATGATTGACTGGGAGGAACTGGGGATTGCTCACTCCGCATCTTGGTTGGGTGGATTGTAGACGACTGCATTAACTATAGGTACGGTATAAACCGGATATCACGATAGGATACCCTGAGAGTAAATATACGTTGGTATGACGCAAACCCGAATAATGGTCGGATGGTGGTAAATGGGAATTGATGGAATTGAAGCGGGTCTGAGCTCCAAGTAAAATTGTCGCTTAGGGCCGAATTGGCACACACAACCAACTGGCCACAGAACTGACACACACAACACCCGAACCACCTCGCTCCTTCCTCTCCTCCCTCTAGCGACTTCCAACTTTCCTACCCATCGCCCGTCGATCCTACTTCTTCATCACCACCCCCCGATCCAACCATCCCCCTCCCCCAATCCATCCACCATCCCATTTCCCAAAAGCTCTCATCAGCAGAGCTTTCCCTTCCCGCATCCCGCCCTCCCTCACATCATCGGGGAGCGCCAACCGTCCCGCTTCTTTTCGTGAGAGCTCGCGAGTTCCTGGACGCACGCGTTGTCGTCCGTGGAGCAATTGGCTCTTACGTTCCCGAGGTCCGCACGCCTCCCAGTCTGAGAGTCACCCGGTGAGAAAGCGCGATTCGCGCGCAATAGAGGTCTTTCATCATGTCGGGCATTGCTTCCAAGGTATGTGGTTTTTGAGAGTATGCGTGCGGTGGATGGGTGCGGATGGAGCGGGTTGAAAAGCTGCAGGGCTTTCGATTCCTTCCATCCATCCATGGCGGCTTTGCACGGATGAATTTGAAGATTCAATGGCTAATTCATCGTTCGCGGATTATAGAACCTCTACGATCTACTCGGTACGTGTTTTTAAACAGTCTCATCGGTGAATGAGGAGTGTGGTTCATCCGCCAGATTTCCCTGGCACGAATTGGACCACGACCATCAATCCGGTCCTAATCATCTCAGAAAAGAATCGTAGCTCATCAATGTTCTTCTCTCAACAGGCAACGATATCGAGGCCGACCCTTCGCTTCCTCCCCCAAAGCCTGTCGAGCCCGTCGACCGCACCCTTCCGCGCACCGGCAAGCGAAACGCCACCGGAGAGGCCCCTGTTGCCGCTATCCCGGCTGGAGGTGTCCGCGGTGGTCGATCCCGCCAGGAAGCTTCAGGTAATGATGGAGGTTCGTACATATCGTTTAGTCCCAGATGATGGCAAAAGAGTCATAGCTAATATAGGATGACAGCGTTCCGAGACCGCAACGCCGGCCATGGCAGCAATGTGACCCGCAACCGGGAGTACACTGGAGCAGGTATGGCTACTTGAGCGCAAGATGTATGATTATGACTAACGATTAGAAGAGGGTGAGCGTGGTGGATACCGTGGTCGTGGCCGTGGTGGCCGTGGTCGTGGAGAGGGTGGACGACGTGGAGGCTTTGACCGCCATAGCCGCACCGGCGTCGCGTAAGCCTTCCCTTTCTCCCAACGCATGTGACTTTGCTAACCCACCTCAGCGATCATGACAAGCAACTCGCTCACGGCTGGGGCGCTAAGACCGGCGAAGGCGAATTCGCTGACGAGAGAGCCGGCGACGCCATCGCCAAGGCCGACGAGAAGGCGGCGGCCGGCTCCGTCCCCGCGGGTGCCGATTCCGGCTTCGACGACGCCGCTCCCGTCGGCGGCGACATGCTGACCGAGGCTGCCGAGCCCGAACCGGAGCTCCCGGCGGGCAAGTCTTATGAGGAATACCTCGCCGACCTCGCCGAGAAGAAGCTGAACCTCGGCGGCGGCTCCCTCGACGTGCGCAAGGCGAACGAGGGCACCAAGACCAAGTTCCCCGAGGGCAAGGCGCTTACCCGCGAGGAGAGCGAGGACTACTTCATCGGCGCCGAGGGCAAGGCGCGGAAGGTCAAGGAACGAAAGGAGAAGACCTTCGTCGCGCTCGACGATGCCCGTCTGCGTGAGGAGCCGCGCGAGAACGCCCGTGGCGGCCGCGGTGGCCGTGGCGGACGCGGTGGTGATCGCGGCGACCGCGGCGACCGTGGTGACCGCCCAGACCGTGGTGATCGCCCGGATCGTGGCGACCGCTCCGAGTTCCGTGGACGCGGCCGTCCCCGAGGCGAATTCCGTGGCCGTGGAGAAGGGCGTGGACGCGGTGGCCGTGGCGGTGCTGCGGTCAACGTCAACGACCAACGCGCGTTCCCCTCGTTGGGCGCGTAAAAAAGGACGATTTTCATACCTGTCCTAGACCGCGGTGTATTCAGTAGGAAAGCGAGCTTCGGTTCCGTGTTGCACCTTCTGAGCATCCATGGCGGGTTTTAACCATCAGAGTTTCATTCGAGAGAAAACGGAAAGAAGGGATCGTTTCATTGCCGAGAAAAAGTCAGATCACTGGGAATCCGGTTGAAGGGCTATTGTCAGTGTATGCTCTAGCCTTTGCCAATGCAGTAATTTTGCCATCAAAAACTTCATTTAGTCGATTCCGTTGGTGTTGGCAATAATCACTGCCATGTCGCCTTTATGCTGTGTCCTAGAGTCTACCCCGTACTGAATCATCCTCCCTCACTTTAGATGCGAAACCAGACCTTTGATATTCCCCTCCCCCCTCTCCGTCAACCATACCCCAAAATACCTCCCCAACGCCTCCCCCCTCTCCTCCTCACTCCCCAGCTTCACCTCCCGCACCACCATCCCCCTCACCTTCACCTTCACCACACCTCCCATCAACGTCACCTGTCCCACTAACCCCCCGTACCTCTCCACCACCTCCCCGTCCGCCTCCCTCTTAACAACCCCCCACTCCACCAACTCCTCCCACCCCGCAAACCGCGCCCCTACCACCGTCCGCGTAAACAAACTCCTTACCCCCTCCATCGTCCCCACATTCATCACCTCATAATCCTCCCTCGTGAACTCCACCTCCGTAAACGCGTACCCGGGCGTCCACTTCGTCCCCTCCACCTCCTGTCCCTCTCCGTCAACCCCGTAGTTCCTACTATGCTCATACACCCAAAACCGCGGCGTCGGGTCTGCGCCGCCCGGGAGCGCGCTCCGGGTGAGTTTCATGGTGGAGGTAGGGTGCCAGCCGCGGGTGATGAGGGAGGGGATGAGGGGGAGGGGCTGGGTGGGGGTGTCGGCACCAAAGCCGACGTCGACGGCGTAGGGGTGGGGGTGGTTGGGGATGGTGACGAGGCTGAGTTGGTGGTTGCTAGATAGTTGGCCAGGGGATCAAAGTCTAGAGACGGGTGACGGCAGACGGAGCGACTTACTACCCAAGAAACCCTTCCCCGCCTCCCCCCGTCGCGAGCGACACCTTCGCGCCGACGCTGACGACGTGATACCCTAACCCGCGCAACACGGCCGCGAAGAACGCGTTCACCTCCATGCAGTAGCCGCCGCGTCGGCGAGTGACAATCTTCTCGTACAGGTCAGTCGGGTCGAGGGAGAGGCGGCGGTGGGGGGTGTAGTGCAGGTCGAAGTTCTCGAAGGGGACATGGAGAAGGTGGGCGGTGAGGAGGGTGGTCAGAGCAGGGAGGGAGGGGTGCTGGGGGGCGGAGGGGGAGGGGTGGGGGAGGTTGAGGATGGTGGTGAGGTAGGGGTGGAGTTGGGAGGGGGTATAGACGGTCATAGTGAGGTTGGTTGAACGTTGACTGAGCTTGCTTTGGCGATAATTCTGAAGATTGTAGAAGGGGAGAAGAGTAGTGACTTTGTTGCTAACTTTCTGTTGATGGGAAAGAAAGAGTAGAATGGCTTAGATAGAGATATATCCACACTAATGATGATGAATTTCGTATATATCGAGATTTACCCTCGCAGAAGACGATAAATCAAGGAGACCCTGTTTCTAGTTCTTTTCAAAACCAGCAGCTCGTCAATTACTTCCCTTCGTCTTGGAAATCTTAATAATTTGTTTGCCGAGCGCCTCTATCGCGATTTATTTGAGCACTTCGCCAAGAATACTGTTAGTTCTTGCATCTGCGGTGTCTTCATACTCCGGCAATAGTTGTCGGGATTGATATGCGAGCTCTCTGCCGAATATGACATAGCTGCATACTCTTCGTATCGACATGAGCGAACATTTCTCGGACATGTTCCTTCTCCTATTTGACGTAGAATTTGTTCGGAATTCGGGGTTCTGATGTTGTATGTTGAATACCGCATTAATGCTGCACTTTCAGAACCCAGAAGGCCTACTTTCCCACTACCCACAATCCGGGTTGATAAGTAGGTACATATTTAGAATCATGAAGGATCGTCTCGCAGATCCTCTAGGAGACTAGGACCTTATGACGTGTCAGGTATAAGCACGATTTGGATCGGCCGGAAAGGTGTAGTTCTTGAGCTTTTGAGATATTACAAATATCCGACCTGCCATGAAGCGTTTCAATATTGCCTGCCGTCATAAGCCCCCGTCTTCATCTGTCCAATCGTTTCTATATCAATATCGACTGATCATATCTGTATCAGAGCAGGTTGAACCGTCTCTATCCAAGTTGAACGACAATGGCCTCGCCACATCCCATGCCCCTTCCCTATCGCATAGCCTTTAACTGGATCGAGCCATTCGTAGCCACGTCTGGCGCCCTCCAAGCCTACTTCGCCCCCCATTCCCTCCAACAAATCGAAACCCCAAGCATTCCATACCACCCCCGCCTCCAACCCCTCTTCACCCAACGCACCGGCCTCTGGCTCCTCCTCGCCTTCAACGACGCCGTCACCCTCCGCGCGACGCGCGACGTGCGCATCTGGCGCCTCGTCCTTGCCGCAGGGCTGTTTTCAGACATCTTCTACACGCTGAGCATCCTGGAGGAGCGGGGCGCGGCGCGGTTCTGGAACCCGGCGGCGTGGGATGTGAATGATTGGACGTGTTTGGCGCTGACGATTCCGGCGATGGTGGTGAAGCTAGCGTGCGTTGCTGGAGTGGGGTTGAAGACATCTAAGCCATCGATGAAGGATTCCTAAGAGGTGGGACTGGTGGTGAACCACTAGTAATTTGAGGGCAGTTGGGGGGGCGAGACTGGGAGCGGCATTGGAATTATGAGGACTCGGATTTGAACGACCGTAACTGGAAGTCCCATTTCGTGTATTTCTAGGAACAGAACTCATTCTCCCTAACCCTCACCTCGGATTTGCTAAGAGACCGCTCGTAGTCTCTGGGCGCCAATTGAAACCGTTAATAGAGGATTCCGTGCTAAGCGCTGGTGGAAGGGTTAGGCGCTGCAGGGGGATAGGCTATGAAAGAAGGAAAGGTATTTAGTATTATTGTTCATCAGCACTTCAGATCCAAGTAGGTCTGTGGAGCAATTCTGTAGCTCGCGTCTCGATGGACGTCTAGGTATGGACACGAGGCTAGGGATCTTCCCACGCGAGAGATCGATGCTGCACGAAACGGTTCAACACAGCATGGCGGTAGCGATGGACCCAACGGGTGCCTACAGGATAGTGGTACAACATGGAGACTAAGAGAAGCACAGTATACTACTCGCATATTCTAGAGGTTTGAGTTATACCGAATGCGATGCAATCAAGGACGAGACAGCACGTAAAGACACAGCAAGTAATACGTTTTGTCGGTCCCCTTATATTGATAATTACACCAAACCACTTCCACCATTATCTACAATTGCAACTCCACAGCAGCTATCGACAGTGATGTCTCCAGCCACCGTGACCCTCTTTGCCAGGTATCAGAAAATAGCAAACGCCCATGTGCCGAAGTCGACGGCCCCTCATGAATGTAACTGACTTTAGCGCCCCGTGCTGGTCATGAAGAATATGCTAGACGCTTGAATACGCTGCCCAGAACATATTTACAGGAAGAAGGCAGCGAAAGCACCAACACCAGCAACGAAAGCACCGCCGGTGACAGAGTTAGCGGCACCAGTGAACTTAGGCGGGCTGGTCGGCTTGGGGGGAGCGCCTAGTGATTCCGTTAGCTTTAAATCAATAGTTAGTGGAATTGGTAACTTACCGGAGCCGGTCGGGTAGACGGGCTTGGACGGGCCAGTGGGGTAGTAGCCGGTGCCGGTGCCTGAAGGAGTAGGCTTGGTGGGCTTTCCGGGGACGCCGGGCTTGGTCTCGCAGGGAGCAGTCACGGTGACGGTGACAGTGACGGGAGGGGCCTGCTCAGGGCTGGAAGGCTTGCTGGGCTTCTCCGGGCTGGAGGGCTGGCTTGGCTTGGGGGGAGCCTCAGAGCCTGACTGTTGGGGAGGAGCTGTGGTTTCGTTAGCAGGACTTCCGGTGGTGCTAATGGCGATGACGGAAATGATAGGTTTGTCGGCTAGACGGTCGGTGACCTCTAGGTGGTAGCCGGTGATAGAGCGGAGGGTTCAGGCGGTGTAGTTGCCCGGAGGCTTGATGGGAGCGAGCTTACGAGTGGCGGCAGGGCAGTCAGGAGTCTGTTTGCTTGTCAGTGGAATGTTCTACGCAATCCGATTCTCATAAAACGTACATCCGGAGGGCACGAAGTGATGGTGGCAACGGCAGTCGAGGTGACAGTTGAGCCAGCCGGGGGGGCAACACCACCCGCGACGGCGGCACCAATGAGGAGAGCGGAAACAAGAGCGAAACGCATTTTGTCTGAGGTATGATATGGATCCGGTAAAGGAATCGAAAAATTAAGTAAAGAGAGTGAGGTTGAGGTAGTTCGTTGGTAGTTTCTCAAAGAATGGACGACCGAAGTCAAAGAGTAGTCAAAAGCTGGTGCTGATGAAGATTGATGATGCTGGAGGTGAGGAAGGAAAGAGACGGATGGAAGATTTGGGGATTCTGTTTGCTCTTATTTACTGCACCCGGGAAATTACTGACAGGTGAATGGATGATCCTGCAGCATGGACATCATGGGAACAGACCAACCAGTGGAGAGGATGAGCACAGATGTGCGGCTTAGGTGCAGGATGTGGCCCATGGGCTGCTCGTTGCGGTTGATAAAGGGGCGTGGCGCTCAATGGCGTACACGCTAACGCAGGAACAGGCAAAGTGCTGCCAAATGTCATCTTCATCCCCTGGAAAAGAAGGGGAAAGCCGCCAAAGCGGTCACGACGGCAATAGCGGAGCACAGCAGTTCGGCGGCCAGCGGCGCCATCGTAGTAGAAGATCGTTGACCGAATCGAGTGGATTTCCCCGTAGAATAGGAGCCGCTATCAGTATCCAGTAGAATGGCCCCAGCACTGACGGAAGGGGGAAGTATCGGATATCAAAGGCTCTGTGCACGTCGATAACAGAACGGTTGGGAATGACTGGATGGCTTACCACTGCGAGTAATTTCGCCTGGTGATACGGCCATACGGGGTTGTTGGGCGACGGGCGTTGGCCCAGGTGAAGGGCGGGTTGAGGATCGACCAATAACGGCTACGGCTATTGATTTCCCGGACCCTCAATATCGGAGGTGGTCATGCCCATGATTCCTATCGCTAGGGCATGGGGGTCTGGAGTCTGGACCCAATAATGCCGGGTGTGCTTTACTGCTCACATTCTGCCTTCAGATCAGCGAAAAGATCCCTAAGTCGGTAGGTAATGGGCAGGAGGAACAAGCAGGAAGCGAAGTTCGAGGGATGTTGAGTCGACAGGGGAAAGGAGATCAAGGCCCAGATCCGGTTAAGCGTCAGGGGAGTTGGTGGAGCGGATGGGGTGCCACAGCAAAACGAAATATGCCTTTCTTTGAATCCTTGCTTCCTATTGTTTCAAAACTTAGACAATCTGGCTGGGATCTTTTAGTCTTAGATGCTGGCGCTCAAATGCTCATCCAACTTCCAAGGGTTTCAACAGAAGTCCTGGCAGGCGCCGCAACAGCGCCGGTGGCTGGGCGAGTGGAGCCTCTGGGGTTATCCATTTGGAAAGGAGCAGAGGGCTTGTCTCCGATGGGGGCGATGATGCACGAATGATTCTGCTGCCAGGTCAAACTGAATGACAGTATGACAATGCGCAACCTTGAGAGTTGAGACGGGATTGATGGAGGTTACTCTAACCAGCTGCTTGATGATTCGTTCCTTTATCGGCCATCATCTCGGTTGATTGAATTTTTGTACCGAGATATGATTGGTGTCAGGGATCTTGAAGACCGCTGCTCCCAGGGCTTGCAAAAGAATCCGCCAAGATGACTGAGTGTTCCATGAGCTTCATGGTCATGGCGTCCTGTCTATTGTGATAAATTAGCATCCACACCCTTCCATATTACTGACGTCTTGCGGAACAGCTTAAGCCTTTGGAGTTTCTCGGTTCTTTCATTCTTTCATATGATCTCGGACTCTTGGTGGTGGCGATTCGAGAGCACATGGTGTCAATCATGAGTGTCGACGCCGATTTAAGGGACCGGCGTCCCTTACTAAAGAATCCTCTGGCGTTTCCACTTCGACCATCTGCCGGGGTCGCTTTCCAAAGGGTTGTTGACTTCCATGTTTATTTCTCAACTCAGATGAAGATGTCGTCATCCGATCAACTCGCGTGAAAGATCTTCTCGTTGAAGCCGTTGAAGCCGGGAATGTGGATGGCGCACTTCCAGAAGAGTCTCCGTGTGTCCGATTTGGACTCTCATCACATGGAAGTGGGACAGGTGGAGTCCTTGATCGTGATCTGATTTTCATCTGAATCCGAACGAGCCAACAATCCCCCACATTATTTAGTTGAATAATGATCATCCAGAATGGCAACGGTATGGAAAGTCCGCAGTTCAAGTTGCATGCATCTGGTATCGTGAATGTCGCTCGGTCACGTGCCATCATCATGTCTGGTTTGGGAAGGCACGGAATTGGTTTCAAACTTCATGCTGTATAGCAGAGGGACCATCCGATATCAGTACCAATACCATTCGATTATAGCTTCTACCCGACGACTCGGCCTATCTATGGAGTACGGACAATCAATGCGGCCTCTAACGCGCCTGCATGACCTGCAGTCAAGTCACCAAACTCATCTTACTTTCCAGTCGAAGCAATTCAATCCCACAGCCGACCTAAACCGTTATTGCAGCGCAAAACAGGAGTGAGATATCGACCATTATTGGTAACTTGTTTTCCTGGTCGGTGATTTCGAACAGTCCATATCATCTCCGGTTCCGCCAGCGGTGGTGTTTCCAGAGTTTGGGATAACCAACTGTTTCCTGATATTCTCTACTCACTCTCAGTCAATTTAGCTGTTCTGTATGGTTTCGGCGCTGTTTCATCAACCGGATCACCGGTTTTATGCTTCATCTACGGCAGGGTTCTCATCAAGTTCACGTTGTCTTCATCTCAGAAAGCAATATCGACGTCTACCACGATGCGATTCTCCTTGACCGGTCTACGCGCGCGATCAAGCAACCATATTAGATGTGTTGAATACGAGTACATTTGTACGTACCAAGTCTGGGTTGCGTTCTGCACCATTGTGCTTGTGTGAGCCATCTTGACGTATCGGTCGGATCAACTTATAAGCTGCAGAACGGTGTCAACAGCTGCCTGCCACAGTTTTCCCATTGCAGAGCGACCCTAGCCGCTCAAATGGCTTCACCAACAGCATATTTGACAATTGAAAATGTTGTTGAAGCCAAGACGACATATCTTCTTATTCTAGTCCATAGACTCCTAGAACGACGACGAACATGAACTCTTCCAACCTATCCGATATCCTGATAATATCACACGGCGAGTCTTTGGTCCATTATAGGATTGCGGTGCTTTAGTAGGTGCCTTGGACGCGACTTTCAACGACGAGGCCGAAATACCACATCCTCATTATATGCGTTGTTTCTATACGCTTACCGCGATCACTCCAGTCCAACCGAAGGGAGAAGCCTCGTTTGGAAACATTATCGACTGCAACACACCCAACGTGACTGTTGTACTGTGTGTAGATCCCTCAACTGGAATGGAAGACACCACGGATCTCTCGACAGAAGAGCTTCCTAGGTGAGTACCCAGGTTCGGGGAACCCAGCTCTTGTTAAGCACTCAGCCAATGACTGCACTATCAAGCTGTGAGAGACCACATTTTTGGGTTCGCCCTGGAGTAGCTCCTCCCTCCTTCACAGCATCTACTCTGAATGTCTCAGGGTCCGTTGTATCTTCCACTGCATCGTCGAAGAAACCAGATCCTTGATGACTATTTTTGAGGCCTGGAGGAGTTTCGTCAAGTTGCTCGACTGTACCCAATCATTTTCGGTCTCCATTATTGTGATTCGGTTGAGATTTGCCGGTCGCCTCCAACAGATCCAGGCGGCTACAGTATGCACTGGACGCATAGTGAGATATCCAATGAGCATATCAGAATAGATACGCCAGGATAATCACCAACAATAGCCAGAAGCGCCTGCAAATCCCTAGGGTGAATGGATGGGGTCCCCATTATTGGTTATTATTGTTGAAATGCATTGACTGAACCTGTGCATTCTCAATTCTGGACGGGTTGATTTTCCTGTGGCTTCGATGGCGCTTCGGCCCGCCCCACCCGAGCCAACACTGAATCAGACGTGACTGAACCAATATTGACCAATGATCATCCAGGTAGGAAGAAATCGATGGTCCTGAAACATAGGTATCCCCCAACGTGTCGAAAACTCTCGATCATTACCCTCTTTTCTCTCACGTTGCCTCTCCTAAAGTAAATCCTACTTTCATTTAATGAAGCAAGACGCGATGATTACCTATGCGACTCTCCAGCTATGCTAGTTGGAGAAGGACGTCAAGGATGAAGTATCATCACTCCTGTATAACAACAGGAAGGATCTCAGCGTCCGCCATCGCGCCCGTCCTTAACAATGAATTCTGCTGCTTCAGAATATGACAGAGCATATGCCTGGATTAACCGCCACGGTAGCGAATTGAAGCGGTTATACGACTATTTGAGTATCCGCGGCGCGAAGTGTTTGAGATAGACTTCATGTTGCCTTCATTATTGATATGCGGTACCGCACCAGCTGGGTATTTGTACAGTATCCAACCTTACCTTTCTCTGGTTCTCTGGGTCTTTTTGCGCAGTCCTTTCATATTCTCCTTAGCAACGACCATATATTTGCATAGTGGAAGCGTTGATCTATCCCCCTTTCCCCCCTTACAATGCGGCTCCTTCGCACGAAAGACCTCCGATTTGAGGAGTATTTTGGGAAGCCTACTCCGCCATACGCCATCCTTTCCCATACCTGGTACCCTGATCATGAGGAAGTCACCTATCGAGAGATGTGCGTAGGAAAAGGAACGAAAAAGCTTGGATACGACAAAGTCCGAAAGTGCGGACAGATTGCAGCCGGGAACGGCCTCAAGTACTTCTGGGTCGACACATGCTGCATTGACAAGTCCAACAATGTGGAGCTTACTGAGTCGATACGGTCGATGTTCGAATGGTACAGAAAAGCCAGAGTTTGCTACGCCTACCTTTCCGACGTGTCGGCCTTGTCGTTCCGACCCACGGTATCGTGCTTCAAGGCAATCAAGTGGTTCACGCGAGGCTGGACGCTCCAAGAGTTTCTAGCACCCGCCGATGTGCAATTTATTTCCAAAGAATGGAAGTACCTAGGGAGTAAGGCAGGGAACCTGACGAGAGTCATCGAAGAATTCACTGGGATTCCAAAAGCTGTACTGGAGGGAGTGGCACTGACTATGTTCTCTGTCGCAGAGAGAATGTCATGGGCAGTCGGGCGCAGAACCACACGTGTCGAGGATATTGCGTACTCTCTGATGGGCATCTTTGATGTAGATATTCCACCACTTTATGGAGAGAAGGGAAACGCCTTTATAAGACTACAAGAGGAGATAATGAGGCGAACTGATGATCAGTCCATATTTGCCTGGAAAGAACCTGACCCATCCTTCCCCAAGTCGCAAAGTCTTGGTCTTCTCGCACGATCACCGGACTGTTTCGCCCAGTCGAAAGGAATCCTTCCCTCGAATGAAATCCCTCCCCCGCGAAATCTTAACAGAGGCGATACAGACAGATTTTTCCTCAGCAACAAAGGCCTCGTCATAAACCTCTTTCTTGTTCGAGTACCGGGAGCTGACGAAGTTTATCGCGCATCTCTCGAATGTTGCTTCAGCAATTCAGTGAGCAGCAGCCCTAGCATCTACCTCAAGCGGCTTAAACATGCTCAGACGTATTACACTCGCATCTGTGGGGCCAAGATGGACATCTTGGGTTCTCAGGAGAAAGCAGGTGGTGCTTACGAGAGGGTGTATGTCCAGCAGTATCAAGAGCAGCCTGACGTCTGGAAACCGGAAGTTACTGACCAGATCCTATTCCGTTTTAGTCCGCACCTCTGGAAGCACACCACCCCGACTAGCGTCTCAATCAGTGTCGAACCTTCAGACGCATGGGACCCACAAACCCGAATTTTTGCATGTCCTGGAAGATTTGGAAAACAAGGAATTGTCCTGCTCAAGGAGAAGGCTGATATATACGCCGTCAACTTCGGTCTAGACAAAAGGCAGAGGCCTTGGGTTCGGATGCTGCGCTGTGGTACATCCGATTCGTCATGGGCGTCATATCAACCAGACGGTACAGAACAGACGACATCGCAGATCGTCTGCGATGAGAGAGAGCACAAAATCGTGTTCTCTGTTTCAGTCAACAGCAACATGGGTGGGGTTTGGCCAGTGCAGATGCGCTCGGAGATTAAGTATAAGGTTTGAACATAATCCATCTGGATTCTCGAGTATAGGAAATTGATGGTTGATTATCCTCGACATCCTCCTCCTGCCTATGGAAGTAGAGAGACGTGATATTGTTGATGTACATAAGTGTGGCGGCATTTCATCGCTATAGGCGACATAAGACGAAGAGAAGATGGAAATTAAGCGTTTTCGATGCCCTAGAGGTGTACTTCGAAACTAAGAATTTTGTCCACGCTGAATGGTGATTCCTATCAAAATGAATGTTAATAGAAAAGGGGTTGGTTCAGGGTGCAACTCATGCAAGACTGAATAATCTACATTCCTCCAGCTTACGTCAGTTGGGCGGTTAGCATCGGGTATCCATAGACAAAGACGAACATCCCGCAACTCCGCTGCACCGACGATGAATGGTTCTACAATACGAACAAGAAATACCGATCATTTTTAATAGACCATGATGAGCGAAGACTTCCTGTGACCTTGTAACTGGTTGATTTTAAACGCCTACACAATGCATGTTGTATCAACATTGCGAAGATCCGGCGGGCAGTTCAAGCATCGTTGGGGCATCAATGCGGCACGGGGACTTGCCAGCACTTCAGATGCGAGTTCGAAGCGACTGACCTCGCTGCTGATTGCTAATCGAGGAGAGATTGCTCTGTAAGTCAATGAGAAAACCATCGACCGGCTCTATGGAAGCTAATACTCTCCAGACGCGTCGGGAAAACCGCATCAGAGTACGGCGTCCGCACGACAACATTGTACACAAATCCAGACCGCCTCTCCCAACATGCCCTCAGCTCGCCTTTCACCGTGAACCTCGGCGAGCCATCTGCCTATCTTGACGGCGACCGCATAATCGAAGTAGCGAAGAACGAAGGATGCCAGGCAATCCACCCCGGCTACGGGTTCCTGAGCGAGAACGCAACCTTCGCTCGAAAATGTGTCGAGGCAGGGTTGACCTTCATTGGTCCGCCGTGGCAAGCCATTGAGGCGATGGGGAGCAAGAGTCGGTCGAAGGAGATCATGATCGAGGCAGGGGTGCAGTGTATACCTGGATATCATGGTAGCAATCAAGACCCGGAGTACCTAAAAGCGGAGGCACACAAGATTGGGTACCCGGTGCTGTTGAAGGCCGTCAAAGGAGGTGGCGGGAAAGGTATGAGGATTGTACAGAAGCCGGAAGAGTTCATGGACCAGTTGGCGTCTGCGAAATCGGAAGCCATGAACTCCTTCGGCGACGAGGTCATGCTTGTTGAGAAGTATATCACCACGCCTCGCCATATTGAGGTACAGGTCTTCGCGGACAAGCATGGGAACTCCGTCGCTCTTGGTGAGAGAGACTGCAGTATCCAACGGCGCCACCAGAAGATCTTGGAGGAATCACCCGCTCCGCATCTCGACGAGAGCATTCGACAAGACTTATGGGCGAAGGCGAGGGCTGCAGCTCTCGCAGTTGGCTATGAAGGAGCAGGGACAGTGGAGTTCATATTCGATAACGACACGAACGAGTTCTTCTTCATGGAGATGAACACTAGGCTACAAGTCGAGCACCCGGTTACCGAGATGGTGACTGGTCAAGATCTTGTGCGCTGGCAATTGATCGTGGCAGAAGGCGGTGAGCTACCCTTAACGCAGGCCCAGATTGAAGAGGAGATATCGAAACGTGGGCACGCGATCGAAGCGCGGATATACGCTGAAAATCCCGATATGAACTTCATCCCCGACTCGGGGAAGCTCCTCCACCTTCAGGCCCCACAACCGACTGAGAGTGTTCGGATTGACGCTGGGTTTGTCGCTGGCGACGAGATCTCTTCGCATTATGACCCAATGATCGCGAAGTTGATCGTATCTGGTACCGACCGTGAAGCCGCTCTGCAAAAGCTTCGTGCTGCGTTGGAGTCATATGAAATCGCTGGACCTGTCACCAATATCGAATTCCTCAAGCGCATGTGCGTGAGCCCGGGATTTGTCGCCGGGGACGTTGAAACTGGTTACATTCAAAAGCACCATGCCGAACTATTCGACCCACAGCCTGTTGAGCCAGAGGTCTACTCGCAAGCCGCGCTTGCTCTACTGCTGCAAGAGATTTCATCCAAGAGCGTAGGATCCATGTTTCCTCCGTCTAGACAGGTTCTAGGATTTGGATCTGGCTATCCGGCCCGCAAATTCGATCTTGTCACCACTCCTTTAGATGGCAAGAGCACTGCAACGACAACAACGGTACAAATCCATCAAACTGGGCCCACAACCTTCGACGTCACTGTTGGCGACGAGGTGTTTCCTGGGGTCCAAGCAACCATGCCATCCCCTACGTCCATCACCACTTTCTACCCCCATACACGTATTAATAGCAATGTCATTCGAACACCTCCGTCCATCGACTCCTCAACCGAAGGAGACAAGATCATGGTGTTCCAACGCGGTCGACAATATCGACTTAGCATCGCGTTGCCTTTATGGCATGCGAAAGCACTTGGCATCAAGGATGTTGCGAACAGCGTGCTCGCTCCAATGCCGTGCAAAGTATTGCGGGTCGATGTCAGGGAGGGAGACAGTGTGACGAAGGACCAAACTTTGGTGGTGATTGAATCCATGAAGATGGAGACGGTGATCAGGAGTCCTGGAGATGGTGTCGTGAAGCGGATAGTGCACCAAGCAGGGGTAAGTGGTTCCAGGCTTTTCGGGGATTTCTGCTAACGTGCGATAGGACATGTGCAAAGCAGGCACTGCGCTTGTGGAGTTTGAAGACACTGCATAATTCGTTGCGGAAAGCCTTTCCTTTCGTCACTGATGTTGGACTATTAACTTCCAACATGTAGCACACCAGGGTACCAGCTCGCCAATCTTGAGCGATACCCGACACCTGGCCCTAGATATATGCTTAAGGAGAGGTGTACTTATACTCGTACTGCTCCTTTGCTTTCGTTATAAGCTCCACAAACCCCTCAAACTCCTTCCTCGTCTCCGGCTCCTCCTCTAACTTCTTCTTGTACGCTGAATGCGTCAGATTCGTCTTATATGGCACCGCAATACCCCTCTGTACCGCCGGCCGTTTCTCCAACTCCGTCACCCACCTCACCAAGTTCGGAAACCGCTCTATCTCCAACCCCGTAGCGAGTCCGAAGGCAGCCCACCCGAAATTCGCTATGTCCGCAATACTGTATTTCCCCCGCCCCTCCCCCACGATATAGTCCCGCCCCTCAAGATGGTGGTCCAGCACCCCGTACAGCCGCTCCGCCTCGCCGGCGTAGCGCTGGATGGGGAACGGGATCTTCTCTTTGGCGAACCGGGAAAAGTAGTTGGCTTGGCCATGCATGGGGCCGACGCCGCCGTGGTGCCAGGCCAACCATTGCTCGGAGCGGGAGATGTCAAGGGGGTCGGCGAAGGAGAAGCGGTGCTCTGGGTCGTACTGGCGGGTGAGGTAGAGTAGAATGCCTAGGATTCCGGGTTAGAGAACGTGGGACTACAATTGAGGCTGAATCGGATTGCAGACGTACCTAAACTTTCAAAGACCGCGAACCCACCCTTGTCATGGTCGACAATGGCGGGAATGCGTCCGTTGGGATTCACTGCGATGAACCACGGCTCTTTCTGGACGCTTTTATAGAGGTTGATGCTCTGCCAGGTGTAGTCTTTGCCATAGGCCTCCTTGAGCTCTTCGAGCAGAATCGACACCTTGATACCTAGAGACGGTTAGCGATGCTACACAATCAAGGAGATCCTGGACGGTTGAGCGAACCATTGGGAGTGGGGGCTGTGAGGAATTCAATGCCTTTGGTCGCTTTCAGTCCTGTTGCTAGCTCGTCGGACGCCATGGTGCCGTTCCTGCGTTCTTGCGTTCGAGATGGTGGCGGTGATGCAATTGGGGAGAGATGCCGAGTTGCTTGTTGAAGTCGGGCGAGGAGATTTCGACGGAGCATGTTAACCTACCAAGGAGATGCAAGTCGGGGTCTTTAATGTTTCGCAATTGCTGGATGCCTTACCTACTACTACGTAGTACGCCTTTTGTATCACACCACAACCCCTCCCGGGCCACTGCGTTTAGCTATTCGTCATTATAAACTAGGGGACGTATTCCGTATTCGGGGGGTCTTGCGTGGCCCGTCTTCCCTGCGTTTCCTAGAGGCCTGGAAAGTGACCAACACTGCATGCCTCGTAAGTCGTAAGTCGTAAGTCGTAAGTCGTAAGTCGTAAGTCGTAAGTCGTAAGTCGTAACCCGTGAGTATGGTTGGTGTGGATCTCAATATTGGACCAACTTACAAATCTAGCTAATTAGTGGTGTCCAAGTCTAACAAAGCTCAAACAGGACCCACGACTAACACCGGATATAACTCCGACCTTATGGAGTACTACATAGTAGTCAAGCATTATATAGCAAAACGTATTACGAATCTATTTTGGGGACGGTGGGAATTATGTCCCGAATTCATGTAGACATATCAATTCAATTATAGTGGCGGCTTGCTTCCGCGGAAGGAGTATGTATGCAATAATCCATGGCTGGAGAATTATATCGTGGGTGGTTTCAAGGGGACGGACATGATAATGATATTTCACACATAGAATCCGATTTCTGGAGGGACACAAACAACAGGTCAACTGATTGTATTATATGGAAACTAAGCCATGGCAGTCATTGAACGCCATCCTGGTATCATGCTAATGGGATCAAATCCGAATAAAGGAAAAATGGCAGAGGCATGTGAATGCCCAAGTCACGAACACGTCTCATCGTCCAGTTCCCGCGCTTCTCTCTTCAGCCCTTGATTTTATTCCTTAAACTTTCGACCGTCCGGTATGAAGCGTCTTCGCCCTCCTCCCGAGGAAGAAGATCACGACGCCAATCACCGCCGTGATGAACCACAGCAACATATTCACCAAATCCACCCACACCGCGTTCTTCATCCGCTGCACACCCGGGCCATGCCCGTCCTTCGGATTCACCACCTCGGGATCTTCGTGGATGTACAGCTTCCCGAAGACGCCGAAGACCGCGACCCAGAGGATCCACAGGAGGGCGTCCCACGCGAAGAAGAGGTGGGAGGTGACGATGGGGAGGGCGTACACCACGCACGTCACGGCGGAGATGGAGCCGACGACGACGGCGTAGATCCATTTGCTGTCGGAGTAGACACCGGCGGCAGCGGCGTTGCGGAGGTCTTGGCCGTAGAGGCCGCATACGGTGAGGGCGAGGACGAATTGGAGGAGGCGAAGGGCGAAGCGGAGGACGAGGCCGGCGATCCCGCCAGGGGAGTTGTCGGCCATGGAGCGGAGGTTGAGGAGCTGCATGTTTTGCGTTGGTTTTGATCGTTGAGGTTGAGTAAGTGGGGTGATAGTGTTTGAGGAGACGAAGGGTCGGTGGGAGTAGCTCGGTGGTTATTAAATATTGAAGATGGACGGGCAGGGTATTGTTGACCCTTTGGGAAATGGTAAAGGAGGATAAAGGCGGCTTTAAAGCTACTTTGCTATTGTGCTTCGTCAATGGGGGATTCATGGTGAACCATTGTCAGTGAATACGCACAAAGGAACAAATGATCTGGAACAAGGAACAGCCCTTGTTGGGTGAGGGGAGCTCGTCGATATGGAGGATGGTGATCAAGGTCTCCCGGAAGCAAGATACCCAAGATCAGCACTCGCGTAACTTGGACGACTGGATGCAGTAGACTTGATCTGGTGATTTAGCTCGATGACGGATATACTATAAAGCACGAATGGACTGTGTATGGAAGGCGTATAGACAATGAAGTAGTACAATCAACGACTTTTTGCAAATTCCAAACGAATAACGATGGCAAGAAAATCAAGGAAACTGGTCCGACTTTATCTCCCAATTCCCATCGGCCCTAAAAAGGTCAAGAGCGCGGGGCCATATCGTCATGCTCAAAGGAACACGGTCAATCGTCACTTCAGGATGGGTCGATCACTGGTGAAGGTGGTGATGCATTCCCTGGCGCAGAGCAGCAGAAGCAGTGGCAGATGACCCCGGCACTCGTGACGCAATAGGCGCCGCCCGAATTGATCTACCATTGATCAATCATTGAACGACCTTCGAGACTTCGCGTGGACGGTTGGAGTCAAAAGTGTCGCGTGTTTGTGTCAGGGCGTGGTTGGCGCTTCGAAGTTACTGGAAGAGGTGACGTTTGATGAGCCGATATCCAACCGCCAGAACATGCTGTGTATGTTTGGAACCGTTGATCCACAAGGAACCGTTTCATGATCTTCGTTTGTTTCATGCATCTCTACCTTTGACTCCCGATACATAGTTCTCATTGTTTCGGTTGCTAACAATAGCACTGATTGCCAATGAACAATGGGTTATAGGTCAGAACGTTTGGGAGAGGAACTGTTTCTAAGTTAAGCACCAAACCAAGTCTCTTCGGGACCGTAAACTGCGCAAAATGAGCCATCTGAGCAAAGAGACCCTCGAGTCGGCGAAGATCACCGTGCTCCCCGACCACTTCTACTACATCCCGAATTTCATCTCCCCCGAAGAAGAGGCATCCATCCTTCAAAAGGCACATCCAACCTTCAAGAAGCCACCACCATGGCAATCCGCATACCAGTAACCAACTAACCCGCTAACCCCCTCCAGATCCCCCCCAACCGCTGGACCCAACTCACCCACCGCCGCCTCCAACCCCACCCCTCCCCCCTCACCCCCACCAACGTTCTCCTCGCCGCCCCCCTTCCCCCCTGGCTCTCTACCCACCCCCCCCTCCTCCCCCGCTTCCACCACCTCGCCCTCTTCGACTCCACCCCGCACGCATCGCCGAACCACGTGCTCGTCAACGAGTACCGCCCTGGCGAGGGGATCATGCCGCATGAGGATGGCGCCGCGTATGCGCCGGTGGTGGCGACGGTGAGTTTGGGGGGGGCGACGTGTCTTGATATCTACGAGAAGGTGGACGGGGAGGGGACAGAGACGGCGAAGGATGGCAGGGTGAGGGGAAAATACCGCATCTTACAGGAACCGCGGTCATTGCTCATCACGATGGGGAGGGCGTACGTGGATCTGCTGCATGGGATTGCGCCGGTCGAGGTGGATGAGAACTTGAATGCGGATACAGTAGCGAATTGGGGGCTGTTGGGCGCTCCCGGGGACTATGAAGATGGAAGGTCCGCCCGGGAAACGCGCGTCTCGCTGACCTATCGAGATGTGCTTAAAGTGAGTCAGGTTATGAAAGGGCTGTTTGGGAGGCAGAAATGATAGTGGGCGTCGGGGACTCAAGTCAATAGACATTCGATCACAGCGCGAACCATGCCCTCCAGCTCGAAGGTTTTCTTATGATGACTTTATTGAGTGGGTCTCGTTCCCTACCACTGTATGATCAGGAGACTTATGTCCTCGTCTCTAGAACGACTTTCATACTAAGGGAATGGAAAACAAAGGGGGAAGAAGGGAGGAAAAAGAACCAAGTCTTTCAACCCGAATATGAAATTAACATCCGCGACGGAATTCCGTCGCCGCCAACTCCTGTCTTCCCATCATCGTGACGGCCAGAGAGCGAAACTCGAACCCGGCACTCGTTCAATTCTGTGTTGACTTGACCAATACTCATCGATTGCGTGCTCTCGTTTGGCTCTCTCTACGTCGAACAATCCATTCACAAGACCGCCGCCCTCCCTGCCCTGACATCCTTTATCCCTCGGAACCATGCGTTCTTTCTTTGCGCGACACCCCTCAGCTCTCCATCGCGTCCCCACCCGTCCACACATGACTCGCGGTCATCGCGAAATACCTCACATCCACATCATCATCCTGCCCCAGCTTCTCCAAATTCGGCATGATATTCTCGGTGATCAGCTCCTCGCCCTTGGGGCTCCCGTGCAGCGCGGCGGCGGCGTCGGCGCCTTTCTCCTTTTCGATGCCCAGCAACGACGCGTTCGGGGCCGCCGCGTCGAACGGCAGCTTCTTGAGGATGTCGATCAGCACCCCGTACGACTTCGCCACATTGAATCGGATGTTCGGGATGTCGTCGGCGACGAGCTTTTCGAGGATGGAGAGGATGTGGGTTTCGATGATGGGGAGGGAGAGCGCGGGCGCGAGGGTCTAGGGGGGGTTAGCAGGGATGTTGGGGAGATGGGAGGTCGAGGAACTTACGGAGATGGCAAAACAGGTCGTCATGCGGTAGAGGTAGTTCGGGTGCTCGCCCATCGCCATGACGCGGGGGACGATCGCCTCACTCGCCCAGTCGACACCGAACACTTCGGTCAGCTTCTTGAGGTTCTGGGTGCTGGCTTCGCGGATGCTATAGACGGTGTCGCCGAGCCAGGACATGCAGAGGGATGACAGCTTCTCGTCGAAGAAGTTGACGCCGAGCTGGCTGGCAAGCAAGGGGACGTATTCGATGATGGCGAGGCGGACGCGCCATTGTTTGTCTTCGGCGAGTTGGACGATGGCGGGGAGGAGGGATTGGGAGAGGAGTTCAATGCCGATGACTAGTGGAGGTGAGCAGCGATTTGGGAGGTTATATCAGGAGTCGTACCATTGTTGACGAGTTCGAGCTTGGAGATGATGTTGAGGCGGACGTCGGGGAAGTCGTCCTTGAGCATATTCAAGAACATTGGAAGGAGGTGTGAAATGGTTCTAATCTGTCAGCTTTTGGATGCTACACTGTCGTGGACAAACTTACTCCTCCTTGCCAAGGATTGGTGCTAACCCGCTCAACTGAGTTCCCAGAGAAGCGCGGACATGCTGTGACTGGTCGTTGACGAGCTCCTCAATCTTCGGCATGATCTCGTTTAACAGGACTTCACGGTCCACAAGTGTGCAGAATCCTGACGTCCGGTTAGCTCTGGGTTGTTGTCCGAACAGCGTCGGTACTGACCAGGAATCTGTCCTGCAATTGCAGTCCGCACTTCTGCCTCCGTGTCTCCGAGAAGTTTGGCGAACGCTGGAACCAGATCTCTGCTGACAACCTCGTCCTCTACAGCCTTGGCAATCTAAACAAATTAGCTCCAGTTCACTACTCCAGCTAAAGATCATCATACCTTTTCAAAGCGATCTGCCACCATATATCTCACCCTCCAGCTCTTATCCGAGATCAACTCCCTCAATGCCGTCAACAGAACCCCGTGACTGCTGTGCTGGTCCTTCGGCACCGCCTCAGCAATCCCTATCAAGATATCGACGGTCAACAACCGCACGCTATCCTGATCATCCCCAGCCAAATGCTGAAATAACGGGATCATTTCCTCGATCACTACCGGCGCCGCCATGGTTTTGACAAACTTGGCCATATTGGTGGCCGCCTGTCTCCGGACCATGGGGGTGTCATCGTGGACGAGCTGGCCGAATTGCTGTCGAAGGCGTTCTTGGGAGGGTGGGGTGGCGCGAGGGTAGGGGTTGTAGTAGAGGCCGGCGGCGGAGATCTTGGATGTGAACCAGTCGGCTTTTGAGAGGCGGACGACGAGAGGGATGAAGTGTTCTTCGACTTGCTGCGTGGTGAGTTGGTCGCAGATTTTGTTTAGGGATTCGACCGCCTTGCATCCGGTTAGTACTAAGACACTAAACATGCTCTGTCGATGTTGCTGTACCTTTTCTCTGACCAGTGGCTCTTCTATCGCCGCCAGATTCTCCAATGGTGATAGCAGAACATGGCCGTGTTCAGGACCTCCCACATACTCCACAAAGTTGCCCAACTCCTCACTGAGTGCTGTCAACACCTCATCCTCATCCTCCACAGACTCTGAGCCACCCAGTTAGCACGTTTCAAGGCTGGATGTAGGTAGGGTTAGGAACTACCGTCTAGGAAGGGTATGAGCTCATCGCGTGTCCGCTCCGGTCCCAGAGCTAAGGCAATCGTCGAAAGGCGATGAATGGCATTCAACCGCAGGAGAACATCATCATGCTATACATTCGTCAGCAACCTCGACATGTGAGACGGATGATTGGAATTTGGCGGAGTCGCACCTTGAGCTCGTCCATGAGCACTGCGATGGGGTAGAATTCGTCATTTTGATTCGGGGCGTCCATGATTTCCGCTTGTCTAAGAAATGAAGAGGGAACGAGGATGGTTTGAGGGATTAAAACACAAGTACAGCTTTGGAGGAGAAGTAGGATCGGGAGGAGGTGGTCTATGTGTTTGATGGTGGAGGGGGATAGTACAGTCTCCAGCGGATTGCAGTGTTGTTGGTCCTGGTCGCGAGCTGCTTTGGCCTTCGCTGCTGGCACGGACGTCGCTTGTTGCGCCACAAAATGATGAGCAGATGCCTGAGGGATAGTGGAGAGGGTATTTTTGGTTGTAGAGAAAGACCACGAAATGAAGCCGTAAATCCGAAGTGTTTATTCCAACAAGACGATATAATTGAAGGAAACCCGGACGAAGCAAATTTCGAGCGGTTCATTCAGACTCTTGTCTTTGGTGACTGAGCGACGACTGATGATCGATGACTTAATAAATCATATTGACACCTGAGGCTGTTAGGCGCAAATGTGGCTGGTAAAGTCAAGCCACATAAGCACAGCCACACCTTAAAATCCACCGACCAACTATGCATGGGCCAATTTTATATTTCAATATCGCGATGACTCCCACGCTCCATTGACTTGTCGCAACGTCTCTTTGGGAGGTATTGAGCTTCGAATATTTGCAATCATGCCTACTATATCTTGCGATAAAGTCGAGCTTTATAAAGCTCTTGGGAAAGAGTGTGTATCTCCCAGGTCCAGACACTTGGTGCGGCTTGACCGAAGGCTAACCAGATGAAGCTTCACGACGGAGGAGTTCGATGAGCTATGTTTCGAATTCGGTATGAACCTTCTAGAGTTAACCAGAGTAATCGCTAAGACTGTCTGATAGGAATTGAGCTCGATGAAGACGTGCGACACCTTTCTTTGAGACCCTCGACTTCCCCGCTTACCATTCCAGACCACCGACCAGAAGCGACCGATCGTCGATGGCGTGGAAGAGCCGCCTCAGCTGAAAATCGAGATCCCCGCGAACAGGTGTGGATAACCGATTGCCCTATAAAGAATCGATTGTAACGATGAACTAGATATGACATGGTCTGCTTCGAAGGAATCGCCAGGGCCCTCAACGTCTTCCTCCAGCGGATGAAGCCGCCGAGTTTCCGAGTCATCGCACCCCCGGAAGGAGAGTTGCAGACCATGGTTGTCAAAGAGGATGTATGGCTCCCTATATCGTATGGAGTTCTCAGCACTGATGTTCGATAGACCACGAGAATACGACCGCTCATCTCATGCGCCATTCTCCGGGGAATAACCTTCACTAAAGACCGCTATGCGTCTTTCATTGCTCTACAAGATAAACTGCATGCCAATTTGGCCAGGCAGAGGACACTTGTATCGGTCGGTACTCATGACCTTGACACGATCAAAGGACCGTTCACGTACGAGGCACTTCCACCAGAGGAGATCAACTTTGTTCCCCTGAATCAGACGAATAAGATGAACGGCAAGGAACTGATGGAGTACTACGACGTATGTCAAGTCTCGACCCATGCGACGAGTTACTAACCCCTCCCAGAAAGATAAGCACCTGGGAAAGTTCCTCCACATCATCCGGGATTCCCCCGTCTACCCTGTCATCTACGACGCCAACCGCACCGTGCTCTCCCTCCCCCCCATCATCAACGGCGACCACTCCAAGATCACCCTCAACACCCGCAACATCCTTATCGAGATCACTGCCACCGACCAAACCAAAGTCGAGATCGTCAACCACATCCTCTGCGCCATGTTCAGCGAATACTGCGACACCCCCTTCACCGTCGAGCCCGTCCAGATCATCTCCCCCCACAACCACGCCTCCCGCCAATCCCCGGACCTCACCCCCCGCGAAATCCAAGCCTCTGTCGCCTACATCAACTCCTGCTGCGGCCTCGACCTTCCCGCGACCGAGATCTGCCACCTCCTCACCCGCATGGGCCACCACGCCGTCCCCTCCCCCACCGACCCGGACCTCGTCGACATCGCCGTCCCCATCACCCGAGCCGACGTCCTCCACCAAGCCGACATCATGGAAGACGTCGCCGTCGCCTACGGCTTCAACCGCCTCCCCCGCTACTACCCCAACTCCTCCGCCGCCGTCGGCGCCGCCCTCCCGATGAACAAGCTCGGCGACGTCGTGCGTATCGAGTCCGCCACCGCCGGCTGGACGGAGGTTATGCCGCTGATCCTGTGCAGCCACGACGAGAACTTCGCGTGGCTGAACCGCGTCGACGATGGGACCACCGCGGTGCGCCTGGCGAACCCGAAGAGCGCGGAGTATCAGATCGTGCGCACGAGCCTGCTGCCGGGCGTGCTGAAGACGATCCGCGAGAATAAGCATCGCGCGGTGCCGTTGAAGGTGTTCGAGGTGAGCGACGTGTGTTTTAAGGACGAGACGCGTGAGCGGAAGACGCGGAATGAGCGGCATTTCTGCGCGGCGTGGTATGGGAAGAGCAGTGGGTTCGAGGTGGTGCATGGGTTGTTGGATCGGGTGCTGGCGATGTTGAATGTTCGGTTCCTGATGGAGGCAAAGGAGCTGGATGATGCGACAGTCGATGGGTATTGGATCGAGGAGTTCGATCGTAAGCTTCCCTTCCTATTTTGCTGGGGGATTTCGCTGACATTTTTTAGATCCCACCTTCTTCGTCGGTCATGCTGCGTCGGTGGTCGTGAGACAGGACGGTCAGAAACAGGTCGTCGGCCACTTCGGCATCTTGCATCCGACGGTTCTCAAAAACTTCGAGCTTCCGTAAGTGCTGCAGGCTCTTTACTTCGAATGTCACTAACCCAGAACGACAGGTACCCGGTCAGTGCGCTTGAGATCAACCTGGAGGTGTTCTTATAGATGTGTGTTATGTATCGCGGACTGTACTAAGCCGCCACTGATGCGCTACCCGGACTTGTATCCCAAGGCATTGCCAAAGCTGGCTATGCGTAGGACAGGAGTAGATCAAAAGGACGATGTAAACGACCAAAAAGCTTTTAGAGCTACATATTAAATGCTACAAACAATGGATCCTATCGATCCCATCCTCGTTTATTTATACACAATCACTCCACCCTCGTCGCCAACGTCCCCGTCGGCCTCTCCACCAACTCCATGCACCCCTCCACCACTGCCTTCCTCACCCCCTCACTACTCACCTTCTTCCCCCCAAGATACCCCAACCACAACAACCTTGCCACCCGCTCATCCTCCACCGTCCCCAATCCCTCCCACTCCCCACCCACTCCCCTCCCCTCCACTTTCTCCCGCTTCTGAAACAGCATCTCCAATTCCCCCTGCTCCTTTCGTCGTAATACTATCACCGACCCCTTCGGCGCCGACCCTCGCCCTGCCAACGCCGCCTGAAACCCCCGCATCGACTCCGCGAAGCTCTCGTCCGCGAACGACGCATCCCCGGCCTTCTGCGCGGCGGCCGTGCGCGCCTTGATCCCCGTGACCCAGCCGTCGCGGAGGTGGTTGAAGTCGGTGCTGCGGGTGGGCACGACGCGGAGGGCGGTGTCGACTTTGGTGGCAGCAGGGTCAGCCAGGACGGCGTCCCAGAGCTGATAGGAGGCGTCGGGATCGAGGAGTGCGGTGCGGAGGTCGGCCTTTTCGGAGGGGATGAGGGCAGTGGCGGTGGGGTTGACGCGATGGACGAGGGTAGATTGGAGGGCGGGGAGGGAGGCGGTGCGGACGTAGAGGCCGACTACGTAGACTTGGATGCTGAGGAAGGAGACGCTGCGGATGCCGAGGCCGAGGAGGGTGTATTCGGAGGTGTCGGCGTTGTTGGTGGGGTGGGGGAGGTGGATGGTTTTGGGGAAGTGGGGGATGGAGGAGGTACCCGTGGGGACGAGTTCGATGTCCATGCCGGATTCGTCCTTCACGATGAGCTTTTCGCCGCCGGGCGCCACCACAACGGGTTTTCCGAGAAACGTCGACGCATCTTTCGACGGAGGCGCGTCGCAGCGTTCCGTACCGGACCACCCGGACGAGGACACCGACGACTCCCGCGGCTGCACTCGAACGGTGACTTCCCGCGCTCTCTTCTGCTGGTCCTTCTCCTTACTGAGGTTATCCGGATGGCCGATCTGCAGCATCAGCACGGCGGGCCCCGCCAGCAGCATCACGACGGCCAACGCGGCGTAGTTCGCGCGCCGGCTGTGGTATTTCCGGCGGGCCTTCTCGTATTTCGCCACGGCGGCTTTGTCGAGGGGGTTTTTCGGCGGGAGGGGGCGGCCTCGATCGTCGCGGAGGACGCCATCGGATGAATCGTCTGTGGGAAGGGCTTGGGCCGAGAGGACGGATTGGCCGGTGAGTTTGCGGAGCTCAGCTTCGTTGCGGGACTCGATGGGGACTTTGAACTGGGAGGAAAGGCGGGTGGTGGTGTGGATAGTGCCCGTCAGGGCGAGGGGACGGTGTCTTTGGAGTCCGATGCATCGTGAATGGCGGCGGCGCATCAACGAGCCGAACACTCGATTGACGTTCATGATGGGTCGAGTTGAATGTGGTGATGGATGGGATTCCGGAGTGTCGGAGCCTGTGATGAAGAAGCTGTTTACTCAACAATTGTAGATTCCTTGCTCTTTTAATTGTGCATCAATCTTAGAGATCAAGCACCATATGCCAAGATTCTCGTATCGATAGTATATGAGTTCTTACTGATGACATGGTGTTGAATTCCTGTATTAGAGCAGATGAAGCTTGAACTACCAACCACGTGCTTTCTCCTCCGTCACTAATCCTTGTCATCGGTTCATCTTCCGTCACCAAAGAAATCGCGTCTCCAGCAATTGCACGCGTTCAGCCTGTACACCCTACAATCCATCACCCATATCAAGTCCTCCCCACCACCTAATTCACCATGCCTCTAGTCCGCAAACGCCGAGCCGTAAGATCTCCCCCCCCCATCATCCAGTAACACCCTAACCCCCCACCAGACCCGCGACGACATCGACGACGACGACGTCCAGACGCCCCGACGCCGCCAACTCCCGGACGATTCCTCCGACGAAGATGTCACTATGGTCGCGGACGACGATGCATCGCAGCCGGGCGGTGCCGCCGACGTGACACAGATGGCGAGGAAGCTGGTGCGGTTGGCGTTGGCGTGCGAGTATTCGCGGCAGCCGATCCGGCGGGCGGAGATCAGTGCGAAGGGTATGTATGCTTGGGGTGTCGAGGGTGGAGGCGATGAGGAACACGCGATGCTGATGGTGGATAGTGCTGGGGAACCACCCGAGACAGTTCAAGACGGTGTTTGAGGAGGCGCAGGGGACGTTACGGGATGTGTTTGGTATGGAGATGAGCGAGTTGCCGGTGCGAGAGAAAATCACGTTGCAGGAGAAGCGAGGTACGTTCTTCCTTTCCATTTCTATCACCGCTCCCATCCTCGATTCAGAGAAGCAGAAAACTGACCCATCCAGCCGCCCAACGCGCTCCCAAAGGTTCCCTCTCCAGCAAATCCTGGGTCCTCACCACCGTCCTCCCCCCCCGCTTCCGCGACCCCGCCATCATCCCCCCACCCGCCGTCCCCACGCATGACGCCGAAAGCGCCTACATTGGCCTCTACACCTTCCTCATCAGCGTGATCTACCTGAACGGCGGGTCGCTCGCGGAGGCGAAGCTGGAGCGGTACCTGCGGCGGGCGAACGCGGACGAGTACACGCCGGTGGATAGGACGGATAAGCTGCTGCAGCGGATGCAGCGGGAGGGGTATTTGGTAAGGGTGAAGGATAATTCGACGGGGGAAGAGATGGTGGAGTATATGGTGGGGCCGAGGGGGAAGGTGGAGGTGGGAGAGAAGGGGGTGCAGGGGGTGGTAAAGAAGGTATATGGGGAGGGAGCGTCGGAGGATCTGGACAGGCGGTTGGAGCGGAGTTTGGGGGTGGTGGATAGGATGGGCGGGGGGGTGGAGGAGGTTCGGGAGGATGGTGGAAATGAGCAGAGGAGAGGGCCAGGCAGGCCAAGGAGGAGAAACGAGGATGATGTGGAGGAGTGAGCGAGTGCAGCGGGATTCCTACCCACAAACCTATGACATTACGGTCGACATCATTACCGGGCTCTTACTGGGCTCCATGGGGGCTGCAGTCTCAGTCCATCCGATGTTCAAGAAGGGAAGCTGGCACTGCACCACCAGCAAGGCCTCACGCTGCATCTGCATGAGCATACCAGGATTACAAGCGCACGAGCACCACCTCACTGCAGCGATGAGCTGTCCAGGACGGAAACGAAGCAGCCCGACCGACTTATCCATTCGGCAGACAGGGAGGGGACTGGATCGTTGAGGCCTGGAGAGGCATTTCGACGCATGATGACCAATCCACTCACGACACTGTACTTGCATCGCTAGCTACATTGATTGGGACGAGCAAATATCCCATGGCGAGACGGAGCTCACGGAGGGTTGGCGAGGGCGTTTTCGTGGTGCGACATGGGAGGAGTACAGAGACGAAGGTACCATGAATGAAATGAATCCAATTAGCAATCATCAATGGGGGTCATGTCACGATACGGCTTTGATGGTGAATTACACGCTGTTCTACTATTCTACTATTCTACAAGGAGGGCTAGTTATTAATGTTACTGGGGACTGCAGGATACCGTCTCAGACCTGTATACTACTAGCATCGGATTCCAGGCATTAGTATAGCCATTAGGGTGGCCATTTGCCCTTCCGGGCATGACGGCATCGGGCATCGATGGCATCAGTTTGGACTCGGGAATGAGATCAGAGTCCAATTGAATTATTAACTCTCTCACGCCGTCTCCCCCTCCATGCCACTTTTCACCTGTGTCACTCAATCACCTCACTAAATAGTGACCGAAACTGAACAGTGAACAGTGATCACCAGTCCCCTCCAATTCCATTCGGTTCGTTACCGCCGTCACTTTCATTGACCGCAATTCCGTACAATCTACGTACGGAGCAGCCGAACTACGGTAGTCTCGCCACCCGCCGTCCGCCTCCGCCGTCCGCCTCCGCCGTCCGCCTCCGCCGTCCACACTCCACACTCCCCAGTCCGTAGAGTGACAGCATCATCGCATCGCCGACTGCAACCACCCGAATAAGAGGAATCCGATGATCTTCAATCGCTCCTGTCTATCCCCAACTTCCTTCCTCCCCTTCTTCCGACCTTCGCGACTCGTGCGCCGGATACTCCATTAGCTCCGAATACCATGACCGTCCCTTAGTAACTCGTCACTGTTTCATCATGTCCTTCAATATCGCCGGTCTGCTCAATCCCGCCCCTCCCGGGCGTAACGTTTCTACCGCCCATCGCCATTTCTCCTCCTCTTCGTCCGCCCTCCACGAAGCTCCAGGCTTGTCGCGCACCGATTCGAAGGAACCGCAACGTTCCGCAATTAGCAACGAAGCCGCCGCCGACGCTCTGACCGCGCTATTGATGCCGCGACCCACTTCGTCTTCTGGCCATCCACTCCACGATCCACTTCAACCACCACTTCCACAGCAACAGCCGCATCACAACTCTACTTCCATCGCCACGCACGACACTTTCAATCCGCCCTACTCTCCCCACTGTCCGGAAGTCCATCCGCCTCCATCCAGCGTCATTTCTCCAATTGCGACACCCCTGGAGCCGAACCCTGCGCTGGACAATTTGCCGTTACAACGCTCCCCGACCTTGGATCAGTACCACCATGGTTCGCGCAGTCCCGAGGAACAGAATCGCAGAGTCTCGACATTGAGGATTTCCCAGAGTCCGAAGTTGGCGCCCATCCAGAATTTGTCGAATGCGTTGAATGGGCAATTGCATCGCAGTGAACCAGATCCTGCCCAAGCTCCAACCCACGACACGGACACCAACAGGAGCCCGAATTTGAGAGATCGCGATCGCGCAGAAATTCATCCATCGACTAAGCTTTCTGAATCTGAAGCAGGCGAAATGGCGGACACGGCGGATCATCAGAATTCCGCGCCACAAACCGGACCGTCCATTGACGTCGAGCAATCATCAAAACCCGAGCCGGACACGATGGAGAATCCGTCGGATCATCAACATCTCTCGGCAAATACTCCGAACATCAAAACCGAACCATCTGTCACTCCCCGTGAGACCTCCCCACATCAAACCACGGAAGAGGGGCCCAGGTCCTCCGCGTCGATGGCTCAGGTCGATGGAGTCATGGACGACATGGACGAAGAAACCTACAAAACGATCCAAGCGATCAAAAACAACGATCTCGGTCTCCGCCGAACAGCCGGTCAGCGCGAAACCTCCGCCCAGTCCCCTCCGAAAGAGACGCCGGAACCTGCGACGAAGAAGCGGCCCACGACGACAGCCAAATCCATCGCCGCCACGAAGAAGGGAACCGCGAAGAAACCCCCGCCGAAGAAGCGCAAATTGTCCTTTGACGGAGAGGATGAGGATACCCGACGAGCATCCGCGACGAAGGTTGCCAAAACCACACCCAACCCCCCCAAAGCGAAACCCCCCACCAAACCAAAGAACGACCCCGGCTCTGACGGCGACGAGGACGGCGAAGTCTACTGCATCTGCCGCCGCGGCGATGACCATAGTTTCATGCTCGCCTGCGACAACTGCGATGAGTGGTTCCACGCCCAGTGCGTGCGCCTGACCAAGTCCGACTGCGACCAGATCGACGCCTACATCTGCCCCAACTGCGAGAAAGACCACGGCCTGCAGTCCACCTGGAAGCCCCTCTGTCGCAACCCCGTTTGCCAGCGCGTCGCTCGCGTCGGCGACGACTACGACGCTCGCGAGAGCAAATACTGCAGCGACGACTGCGCCGTGCAGTTCTTCCGCGACAAGGCCTCCCTTGACTCCGATAAGGCGAACCACGCCAAACGCCGCAAGGCGAACCGAACCGACCACGACGCGAACTCCGATCCGCACGACACCTCTACCGAACGCCGCCGCGGCGACGCGCTCCGCTTACAAGACCTCCGCTCAATTGTCGACCACGTCGGTACCTCCTCTGACAAGTTCCACGCGCTCGGCGACCGCGACCTCGCGATGCTGACGCCGCCGGACAGCGGTGGCGTGTCGCTCCCGGACGACGAGCTGCCGCTGCTCCCCGAGGAGCGGGCGGCGCTGCGACGGATCGAGGAGGCGAAGGAGACGACGCGGGCACGGCGGGCGTATCTGAACGATCGGAGCGAGTTGATTCAGCTGGCGCGGGAGAACGCGGGGCGGTGGGCGGAGCGGGAGGGGCTGAAGGTAAAGGATGTGTGTGGGTTTGATGGGCGGTTGGTGTGGGATGAGGGGCGGTTGAGGCGGTGGTGGGAGGGGGGCGGGCGGCCGGGGTTACCCGGGGAGGGAGCATCGGAGGCGGTGGGGGCTGATGGTGTGGATGATGCGAAGAAGCCGACGGATGCGGATGCGGAGAAGGGCAAGGGCGGTGAGCTTGCCGCCGACACCGCCACGAACGACGCCTCCGATCCCGATGCCAAAATGACCGGCACCTCCTCCCCTCCCCCCTCCGACCTCCCCACTGACGCGACCTCCCCCACCTCCCCCGCCGACGACGACCACGCCGCCTACATCTGCACGAAAAAACGTTGCGCGCGCCACGCGCAGTGGCCGAAGCTGCAGGTGCAGGATGTGCGGATGGAGCTCAGTGGAGCGGCAGATCAGATGCGAGAACTGGAGGCGGAGGAGCGGGAGGTGAGAGAGCGTGCGGTGGTGAGGGCGCGGGTGAGGGGGCATGAGGGGGCGCGTGCGACTGTTGGGGGTGATGCTTGAGGGATGTGGTTGGCTTTTTCTTTGCGGGGTTAGGATGATTGTTACGATACCCCCGCTCGACACGAACTTGACTGATGGCAAGTCTTTGGCTTGGTTGGAGTCTTTCTCGCTGTTCGTGGGTTCATCTCCCTCTGACGGTGAACCTGTCTGGTTCATTTCTTCGATATTCGCATTTGTCGATACGCAAGAGGATGGACGGGTTGGACTGCATTGGTCTGGACTGGGCCTTTGATGGATGATCGACTGTTTTCCTGATCGATGCTGTGTTCAATGGAGGCGACTTGGGCACGACACGTTGCCGACCGTTCGGACCTGTTTGTTATGGACGGACTCGATCCATTGCGATCTTGTCTTCTTACCCAGTTCCTCGACCCCCCTCGGCACGAATGGACGAATGTACGACCTAGATCGTCAAGAACCGTCTTCCCGACTTGGCGGCTGTCGAGGAACTTCGATGTGGTTATGTTCACGTACCGCATATATCATTACCGGGCGGTTTTGTATGTCTATCACGGAAGACCGAGTAGCGATCCTGGATGGTCCGCTCCTTCGATTCGTTGGGACACGGTAGCTTTGCCCATCCCTGGATTTTGGGGGAGGTGGCGGGACTGTATTCTCGGTGTAGTATACATATATGAACGCTCAATGGAAATTCCTGAATTCTCATCCCCTTGGGGCCTTTCGTGGTGATGGTGACTGAATTTCCCCTCTCGTCCATGCGATTATGTAAGTGGATGAGCCTAACGACCAGCAGTTCGTCCGCCTGATCGTTGCTCCAACTTCCCGTCGTCTTCTTCTTCCCTTGCGGTTATTGTCAAGTTGCATTCTCCTGCCCCGTGAGCTCTTGCTAATCCCTCTCGAATCTAATATTTCCTCTCCAGTCTGTCATCGACTTGCTCTGACCGGCTTTCTCCGTCTTGATTACTTGACTAGCAGTCTTCTGAATCGGGATTCAACAAGTCCTTTAGCAGCGAGTCTCCTGATATATTCATACAACTTTTACATGCAATTGATTTCCCAATCTTTCTTCCACGCGCTGAGCTAGTGAGTTATCAGCAACTCCGGCTGCAAGGCGTGCGGGTATTTAAACAAAGATAAACAGGATTGGACTGTTCTGCAAGATGCCAAATTTAATCCTTCACCATTGTCTGCACACTACTCTCATCATTTCTCCCATTAAAGTTCGTTTGCCTTAGTTTGCCTCAGTTTGTCGTAGAAAGCCCGGACGTACGTCTACTAGAATCCAAACATGTTCTTCCCCTCAATGTAACCCCAGTCTATTTACGGTCAGTATCCGATGCGATGAGCAAGCCGATGTGGTTGGATTTGTCACCTTTCAAGGCCGGCAGTACCGCCTTTTGAATCATGGCTGGCGGTCCGCACATAAAGACAACGGACCCTTCTTCCGGTTTAAAGAGATTCCCCTTAAGGATTTCGGGATTGACAAATCCCTTCAACCCCTCCCACTTTTCGCTCGGATGACTCAAGACATGCGTGACTTTCAACCTCCCTTCACTCCCCTCTTCCAGTCGGTCTAGATCTCCTTTGAGCAGAATATCGCTTTCGCTCTTGTTTGCATCCACCACTCGAATTGGCGTGCTATCACCATCCGAAAGCAGTATCCTCGCAACCAGAGCATAGCCGGGTGTTATTCCGCTCCCGCCGAGAACGAGAGAGACGTGCTTGAATCGCATGTGCTTACCTTCAACGTCGAACAAGCCTTGTCCATTGTACACAATCTCTCCTGTTGGCCCTCGGAGTTCAATTTCTTCACCCAAAGGCATGCAATCTAGCAGGTTGGACATTGCTCCACCCGGCTGATTCTGGTCTGGAAAATAAGTCTTTACCGTCAGCTCAAATGTGCCGGAACCGTCAGTTAGCTCTGTTTTATCCGTGCCGCCTCCAACTTGGCGGTTTCCCTGATTTTCTCCGGAGCCCGGAGCGGGCAGGATAGGTTTCGTTGGCGTGTAGGATCGAATGAGCATCTTGTCCTTCATGTGGAAACCAACCTGTACGTGTTGACACGTCCCCAATCCCAGCATGGGCTTGTCTTCGAGTAAAGAGAAAGTATACGACCTCGTATCCCCCGAAAGCCGTTCTCGACGGAGCAACTTCACCGGTACCCAACGATGCTTCTTCAAAGCAACACGCTCGTCTTGCTTGCCCGACTTCTCCAACTCGCGTGCAGTATCTTCTGCCCGCTTCTGGATAAAATCCCTGACTTTGTCGGTGACCGTGCCGAGAATACACTCTACCCATGTTGTTAGCGCCGTAGAAAACCTCGCAGTATATTAATGTCATGCCTTTCAGCTTTTGGTATGCAAAATCATCGTGAATAGCAGAAAACTCGTCCGATGTCTCTTGATGGACTTTGCCTGCATGTCCCAGTATTGCAGACTTTCCGCCTGGATGCCATGAGAGGACACTAGTCGCATCGTACACCTTCCCGTCCACGACGATCCAACAGTCATTTTCCTTATCGTGCCCTTCAATCTCGGCTCGTGTAAACTGCTTCTTTGGCGTCCCCGCTTCCCGCTTGACCTCTTCCAGCTGATTTTCGATGCTGGGCTTCATCCAACCACCGTTTCCAGTACCCGGCTCGACCGGATGTCGGATGAGTAAAGACAGCTCTCCATCCGAGTCCCCTTCAACCACCTCGTGTTTCACAACATACCAGCAGTTGTTCATCATGCCCATGATATTCCATGACGGTTCACGCGGCTGAGTGTTCTTGAAGACATTGAAGCATCGGACTGCGATGGCCGTGGTTTTGGCGAGCTCCATAACCGGCACATCGATGTGCCAATGAACCCAGGTCCAGAACTTCTTCCCGTGACGTATAGGCGCGTCTGGAAACCGCCGTACGCAGTAGAGCCAGGTTCTGCCATCATCCAGCGAAAGTTCGACCCGCTGAATTTCGTGGCCGCCGCCATCGTACGCGTAACCGGCTACACGGTAGGTCTGCCCGTTTTGCAACCCTGTGATTTTAATCCGCTCACCATGGGCGGGCTTCGCAATGACCGAGTTCAGGTTCTGCTCGTTGCACGAGGTGTCAGGGTGACTGAACATCACCGCGGCGAGTTCATCCTCCTTTTCCTTTATAAAACTGGGAAGCACTCGGTTATCCCATAGGTGATAGTAGCTGTCGTTCTCGTGATCTGTGATCCAGATTCTGCGCAGCCATTTCACACAGCGTCCCCCGACATACCCTGGAATGATCACCCTGACAGGATATCCGTGATCTTATAGTCCATGTGAGTGAGATTGGAACACTGAAGGAAAGATATGCTCACCTGGAGGTAAGGGACGGTCGTTCATGTCATATGCCAGGATAACGTCGTTGGTGACGTCCATAGCATACTTCAAAGGTATGCATGTCGCATATTTCCCTTCACTTAGCTCATCTGAGCCTTCGAAATTGACCCAATACCTCCGTTTCTGATGACTAGGCATGGAATCTGGAAATCCGGCTGCTAAGAGAACATCACGCAACAGTGGGCCTCTCCAGTATGCGCAGCTTACTGCTCCAGCGCCCCAGTTGAAGCCTGCAGAGCGACGTATCATGTTGAGCTCCCTCCGTCGGTTGCCGTCGCAAGCTAGAGCAACGGGGATGTTGATCGGGTCGAACTTGGTTTTCAGGTCATCCATAGATAATACGAGTTTTCCATGATGAATATCAAGTTTGTGGTCTTCCCATAGGAGGCGAGGCACTGCTCCGTGATTCCGGACGTAGTGAAGTTCGTTGGGTGTAATGAGACCAGCGTGGAAAAGGTGCGTAAGATGGGGCTCCGCATTCAATGGATGTTTGCCTGTCAGTCGTATGAAATCTGTGGTTCGCGGAAGCCAATTGTCAGGGGTGAATTGGTCCGCCTCGTTGATGTAGACATCTGGTCGGCTATGAGCGTGGGGAGACTCCCCCCTACCATCGTTCTGACCCAGTGATCTGATATAGTCTGCCTCTTCCTTGAGCACCTTGAGCAAAGCAGCATGTTCTCGCGCTTGCTCGCTGTTATTTCCCTCATCTGCGACATGTGCTCCATCCATATCTTGATCATTACCCGCGTTGTCTCCCCCATCCTCCTGCTTAGCCTGTCTCTGCTTGTCATCCTTGTTCCCTGATTGCGTCTCCTTCTTTTTCGCCTGAATGTTTGCGGGCCAAGCCTGCCCATACTTCACCCAGTCTTCTGTAGTTCCAAGAGCATACCGCCACCCTAGGGAACGATTTTCTGGGTGTGTGAGATGATAGTCCTAATTAATCATTATCCATTCGGGACCGTTTACTCTTGCCCACTGACTGGTTGAGCCGCAAAAAGGTCTCTGAAGCTGACGAATTTGCCTTGTCTGGATATCTCCAGGAACGGGTCGCTCGGATCCTCCACCTCTCTGGTTGCGCCGAGCCCCTCATTCTCCGACGTCAAACCTGCAGTTCGGTTCTCTCGGTTCTTGTAGCCAACATGGTGATTGTGTCCATGCAGAATGGCCCAGTCAGGCTCGCAGAAGATATCCTCCCAGGACGATCCGGGATGATCTCCGACTACCACATTCCAGGATGCACTTGGCGTCGCCATCTTTGCAGAACGAAGGGAAGAAGTTGATGCCTACCGGTAGCTACCACATTCGCATCCAAAAGTTCAACGATGTAGGTTACATATTTCTAGCGAGAAAGGTCGGTCAGTATTTCCGCGGAGCAATTACTATAACTAAGCTTGATTTAGTTCAACTAGTTATATGGAGTTACATCATGATACATGCGGCTGGCATTGCTGCGATCAGCCCCTGACGCCACTGGAAGGACCAGTGCGAATGATTGGCTAAAAATATCAGGATTATGTGAGCCCACGTGACCAACCACGTGCAGCAATCTTTAACCTTCATGATCACCAGTTGCCCGAGAAAAGATATTGGCAAGATCATCCACAGTCACCTCCATCAAAGATGAGCGTTCTTGCAATCGGTATCGGCGTTGCGGCTGCCGCCTTCTTCGTAAGTAACTCCTCCTATCCTCATCCGCATAGAATGCAATCGCCTTTGTGTTCCCCCTCTCCAGAATCAAGGGACATCCGGGCTGGTCATCAGTCGCATGTTACCCACGCACGTTGAAACCTCTACTGACGCTTTTGCAAAGGGCCGCGCTGGCCTCGTCGCTCTTCGTCGCTCCCGAGGCGGCATGAGCGCTCTCGGTCGCGCGTATTACAAAGGCGGCTTCGAGTCCAAGATGAACCGACGGGAGGCGGCGCTGATCCTCGAGATTTCGTACGTATTCCCCACCTTCCCACTTCAGCATATCCCTCCTTTCACGAATTAATCATCGTCCAATGTCCAAGCATGCAATGGGGAACACGAGGCTAACCAGTTGCGCACCCCAACAGAGAACGCGGCGCCACCAAAGATCAGATCCGCAAGCGCCACCGAGCGCTGATGTTGCTCAACCACCCCGATCGTGGCGGAAGCCCGTACCTGGCGACGAAGGTCAACGAGGCGAAGGAATTTCTGGATAAAAGCTAGAGAGGGGACACGCGGAGGCGACCGGTTGTACGATACCTTGCTGCATTCCTGCATATAGCGATGGCGTTTGTTTTCGAGATGATAGGTCTTATATTTGGGCGGGATCGTCTGATGTAGAGGGAATCGCCACTTTGATTGGGAGTAGATGTACAACGTGGTACGATAGAGGAAATGATGCCAAATAAATCGAATTGTGGACTCGCACATATAAATGGACAGCCTATGAATACACGCAATTAACCTCAGGCCGTTAGCAGAGCTGAACACGCTTTTACAACCAAGCAGGAAAGCCTGATACAAGATGAGAGCGGCATGTTCCATATCCGGACCTATATCTGTCGTTCCAAAACACCCCCATCGGCCATATCATGATAGATCTCTATATCCACATCACCGCACTCCTTCCTGTTATAACAACCAATCTCGCTATCCCATCCCACTATTTTACATCCCCATCCCCATCCTGTCCTCCACCCTCACCCTGCACACCCCCTATTCCCATCCCTTGCCCCACATCCCCATACCCCTGCGTCAAATCCGCCCAATCCCACTCCAACGTCATCGGCATCTGCCACAAATCCTGCGGCACGAACGGATACTGGAAACTGTTCCCCATATCCGCCGCAAGCCCGTCCGCCCCGGCAAACACCCCTCCACCCGCCCCGCCGCCGCTGAACGCCCCCGACGTCGGCCCCTGGCCCCCACCAGGCGACCGCGCCACCGACGCCATCCCTAACGTGTTGCGCCCGATGCCATGGTGTCCCGGGCTACCCCGACTACCATTCGGCTGCGGAGAGGGGCGCAACCCGCTGGGTCTGGGGGTTACTGGGAGGAGTGGATTTCCCGGGGCCGGAGACGAGAAGGCGGAGAGGCCGGGCCACTGGTCGGCGCCGGTGACGCTGCTGGTGATAGCGGGGAGGGTGAAGTCCGAGGCGAACTCGGGGGGGCTGAAGACGTTGGGGATGTTGCCAGGCACGGACGGTTCGTTGTTGTTGGTGGGGAGGGAGCTGGAGAGGGGGCGGGAGTGCGGGCTGGCGGAGCGGGTGGCGGTGCCGCTGCCGGTGAGGCTGGGGGTGTGGGTGCTGGAGTTTTGATTCGTGGTGGCTCCGGTCCGCGAGGTGCTGTCCATACCATCAGGGTCTTGGGTGGCTTTGCGCTTGCGACTGCCGGCGCGGTCACGTTCGGCCTTTTCGATGACGACGTTGGAGATGCGTTCGAATTCGGCGCAGACGGAGAGCATGCGGCGGACGGAGGAGTTTTCTTCGTCGGAGCATAGAGCGCTGAGGAAGGTGACGACGAGGTTCATGAGTTTGAGGTCGGAGCGGGCGCGAGTGTCTTGGGGGTTTTGGAGGACGTTGGCGAAGAGGGTGACAAGGGCGGAAACGGGGTAGTAGATAACAAGCCTGAGAGGTAATTAGATGGGATCCATAGGGGGAAATGAGATATGACATACCAGACGCAGGCACAATCACCGTGCGGGATGTACTTGATGAGATGAATGCTTGCTCGAGCAGCACTCACGCATAGTGCAGCGGAGCTGAAGACTCTCGGGTTGAGCGGACGCGCATTCAAGCCTTGGATGGCATAATTGCTTAGTCTGCTCGTCCAATACCCATGATGTATGCTCATCCGATGAATCGTGGTTAGACAATTATAGTACGCAAAATGCAAGACCACAACGTGGAGTATTAACGGCGTATGCGATGCGCGGATTTCATGTTCGGGTCGGAAATCGATCGGAATGCCGTCTTTCCACTCTTCCAATTCTCGGTCCAGCTCGCCAATCGTGTTCAAGAGCTCTCCGTCGGACTGCTTCGTGGCTTTGACGGAGTAGAGATTCTTGTACACTTTGGACGCAATGGCCGCAAAGGTACACATTAGGCGGAATAGATTAATCTTGCCTTTCCCGTCGGCAAGGGGAATGTTTCCGACGTTGTCTGGCGGGTCTTCTGATGGAAGTTCGACGTTCATGTCGTCATCGTCCTGAATAGGAGGCCGTCCGGATCGTAAGCAGATACTAGCCCGAGTCAGCAACCATACGTATAAATTCATCGCCATACATACTCTCGATCGAGCATATAGCCAATCCAAAATACACGTTTTCGTTGCTCAATTTCGTCTCGGTTTAGACCGAAGCCTGATCCCCGCTTGTGTAATCCGATGCTGTGGGAGAGCCGAATAGCAGCAGCGACGAGGAAGAACGAAGGCTGAGGATTCGGTGTGCCTTGCAAGAACAGGGCCTAAAGGTGTTAACGAGCCTATCCATGCATTTGAGTACGGCTTTCAACAACTCACCATTCCGAGCAGCGCTTGGATGCTCAGCAAGTCCGTATTCCGCATCGTCAACTCCGTTTGAACCGCCAACGCATTCTTCAAATACCCCCACGCCTTCTGATCTTCTTCCTGCGGGACAAGATTGCTCACGACGCGTAACCGGTGACCAATAGCCAAGGCGATATTCAAACTCGCCCACCAACCGCTTCCCTCATACGGTTCCCGGGAATAATGCTTGTCGACCAAATGCATGAAGGTCGGTTCATGGAAGAGGGGGAACATGCAGTTGAAGTTCTCGAAATAATCCTTGAGGAGCGAGAGCGCTTCGTTTTTGGACGGCAGAGGCCTGAAGACGCGCCGTTGGAAGATGTCTCGGAAGACGTCGGATTTCCAGTGGATCCATTTGTTGTCGTCGATGGCAGCGTTGGTGATCATGTCTTGGAAGGAGTGGTCGCCCGTCTTCTCGTTTACCCACTGGATCCCTTTGGGTGAGAATATTGAAAAGCCAGAAGAGGAGCCTAGTTGAGTCAGCGGCCCGGCATTGGAACCGTCTGGTTTATCAAGGACTGGGAGTTCGTACCAATATATCGCGTTTCGCCGCAATTGTTCGTGACCAAAGAGCACATCATGTCCGATAGTGCCTCTACCTCTTCTTCTCTACTTCGCTGTGGTTCGGGCGAAGTGGTATTGCCACTACCCGGAGAGCTAATATGCTGACTCGTGGCATCGGTGCCATTCTCTAATCTGTCAGTCGTGCTTGTTTGATCTCCCTGTGCGGATGCGCTCTGCTCCCGTCTCTGCTGCGCCTTTTCGGAAAGACGCTTCTCCAGCGTTCCCAGGTCGGTCCTCCCGTCATCATCGTCGGATAGTAGTCCCGAGAGTCGAAGAAGTGATTCCATACGTCCCAATCGGTTTTCGAGGCCTTCGATGTATTTCGCGCTAGAAGAATGTCAACCCAGGCCCATCCTTCGACACGTGCGACTTGTTCATACCCTTTGGGGGGATTTCTCTTCTTCTCCACTTGTGTGAAGATGCATTCGGTCTTGTAGTTCTGGCAATGAGTACAAGCCGGCATCCTTCCGTCGCACTTGATTTTCTTCTTCCGACACATGTCGCACGCCTATGATAGGGAATGTCAGCCATCCCCGCTCCGATTCACGCAGGATATACCCGGAGCAAGATAATAGAAGGAAAATTCAACCTACCCTCGCTATCCTTCTCCTTTTCGCATCGGGATGTTCCGTACCATCATCGCCGCCCAATACCATATCGTCGGCGAGGAAATGCTGGGGGAGGTTTGGCGCGATCGGACTGCCATCCGAGAACGAGCCAAACATCCGTCCTGGCGGGTTCACAAGCTGCGGTGGGGCAGCGCGAGGGTCGAAGTAATTGATCCCATTCGCGGGGTCGGTGTTGGTTATGTTCATGTTTGCGTTCTCGAATCAACGTCACCGAATATCGTCTTATTGGCTCCGGGAATTCATTAATAGCTCGCAATCGACGGTCGTACCGCGGGCTCGAAGGGTGATGGTCCTGGGATAACGAGAGTCGGACGTTCTTTCTGGTTTCGCCGCTTGCGCTATACTATTCGGTAGTAATATGGAACAGGATTATGATGGCGGAAAAAGACGGGTTTGGCCGCAACTATGATTAAGACTTCGATCGCAGCGCATCTAGTAACATGCGAAGACTCCGAAGCCTACAATGCTATTTAGAAGAAGATTTGGACTGCTGGCACAAAGTCACAGCGGGTGGGTTGAGGCGGGACCGGCGATTCGTCGAGAGGCGCAAAGGAGACACGTCCGTTTACATGGAATTCGACGAAGGTGGCAGGGCTAGACAAATAATGTGACCCAAGTGTCCACTGCGCAAATCAGATGCGGTGTACGAATTTGAATCTTTGGTCCGAAAGTCGTGGTGGGGGAGAGGGGAGAGGGGATAGAAGCGGTCGTAGGTGTGAAACGTTACAAACTCGGAAGTAGCGCCTATTTCAGAAATGATGCCGTCTCGGGTTCGTGTCATAGGCAAGGTTCTGGTATCTGATATTAGAGCCCCCTCGGATTGAATCGAAGCCTTTGGAATCGTATTCTAGAGGCGGCGGAGTTGGGGAAGAAACTTGGGATGGAGCGAAAGGTTGAATTGCGGTTCGGACTTCAGAGCGGCCCCACGTGCAATAAGGAACGATATGCGGAGAAAAAAGGAGTTGAAGGGCGACGACATGCAAGTTTAGCGGGTTAACGAGTTGGACAGCCGTGGACGGTTGAGCCGAGTCAGGGCTGGTGTCGATCCGGGGATGTAACTAGAATCAAGGAATCCGGTTGCATCAGGTACCAATGCCATATCTGATATAGTAGTGTAATCCAGGCGTGTCCAATCGTCTATGTAAAGTATGTACAGAGTAAGTAGGGGAGATACTCTCATTTCTCTCCACCTGCCATCGGCCGGCCCTGTCCATGAAGCGTGCCGAGTGACCTACCCTTTCTAGATCTCCCACTATCTGGCCTTGCCCTACAGCGGAGGGTCGGGGGTGAAGGGTTTTCGAAATCGGTTTTCCTGGATCCTAATTACTGGGGAGTGGGGCAGTCCTCCAGTCATAACTCCGTCCTTACTCCTGACCCCTTACTCCTTACCGTAGATGGAGTTACTGAGGGCGGACGAAAAAAGGGCTAGTGCTGGATCCAGTCGATAGTCGATACCCGATAATAAGCCTATCCTTTAAAGTGACTCTGAGACTGAAGAGCCTGAACCATTACAAAGTGGCTGCTGGATCCTGAGCGAGTAAGCGCTGCGCCTTCCTCGATTACGCCATCAGGCTGTCCTGACTCCTGGTGGTATCAGATTGCGATCTGGGCGTTGCATGGCGTCAAGGTGTTCAAGACATGCCCTCCCGCTAGCCATAATCCATATCAAGGAACCCCCCTCTAAAACTCAAATGTTCAATACCTCGACGCAAAGATGCGAGCCTGTTTAACGGGAGTCCTTTCTTTCTATTCTGATTGGCTTCATTTCGCAATCACGGTTTGGCTGTCGGGATGCAGACCTCGGAGGAGACATGGAGTCATGAGCTAGAGAGTAAGAGGGCGTTGTCAAGGTGCGAACTGCAGAGTGCCCCATTTGGCCATTGTGGATAGAATCGGGTCCTCGTGGCTTACGTTCCTTGCAAGCTTCCAAGTCCTTGCAGGAGGGGAGGTCAGACGTGCATCCGCTCCCCGCAGCTTCCGATTTCCGAACAATTGGATCCTTCGGCTCGGCAATAAAATGAGGATGCTTCATGTGCTTGCCGAAGTGTAGCGCATCATAGATTTGATTCGAAAGCCATATGGAGGAGTCCACAATATCTATCTTCAATGTAATCCAAAGTCCCATGATAGCAGATGTAAGGCCATTAATCTTTTTATATTCACGTCCTCCACACGTCCGGACCAGCCATAAAGCTCGACGTAAGCTTTCATGAGACATTCGACAGGCTTCCCTCGTCAGGTCCGCCCCCTGATATGCCACCCTGTTGGTTCGTCGGACCACCCATCACCACCACCCATCACCACCACCCCTTCTGCCCGCAGCTACACCCATCTGTGCACTTCGGATCCCTTACTCCGGAATTCTCTGATAATCATCAAGCCTTCGCCCGTCACATTTAAATGAGACGCATAATGTAGAATCAGAATTTGGAGTCATCTCCCTGTTCGTTAATTTTTCTTTGTAGAAACTAGAGAACAGCAATATCTGGGTAGTGACGCAGTCTGAGGAAATCAGGGAAATGGGAATGATTCCCACTCCGCACAGACTTCGCCCCCATGACCCAGGTAACCACGTTCCTCGTCTCGACAGTATTTAGCGAAATTGCTATTGTTGACAGTTGACACCCATGGGAATTACTGAATTACACGATTATTCCCGAGAAATTCTGATACCAACGACTAAGTCCATCTCACCAAGAAACATCGTGTGTATTCAGCCTTACCGAACAAGCCCCAACTATACTCCAGTTACAATCCCTGGCGCATCATGTTCGAAGATACTAGAACCACTCCACAGCCCATGAAGGTGGTGGACATCCGGAAACACCCCGAATATTCGCATGTCTTATGGCCCCTGAAGCCGTCGCAGGAGGGAAAGATTGCGGTAGCTAAGGGGAGGGGAGGACCGTTTAATATTGCCTATGAGGTACATGGAAATGGTTCGAAGCGGTTGGTGGTACGTCATGCATTGCAGTATTTCATATACATAGTGCTTTGCCTTGAAGTCACATAAACACTCCTATACTATGTCTCCTTTTCTGCAATCGTTCTAAGCTTTGGCGACGTTTATAAGTCTTTTATGATTGTCACACTTTCGGAAACAGCTCCTCCCTTGGGCCTTGGTAACTGTTTTGGGTCTATGTCACATATCAAGTCGACCAATATGACACCTTGGTTCTAAACACCCAACACAAGTCGAACAACATCACTCACCATGACTTCACCAGTGGATAATGGGCCTCGGTGGTATCATGCAGCAATGGCAACGTCAAACCAAAGACTTCGCCCACCGACCCGACTCCCCATATTCCTCTCTCATCTTCGACAACCGTGGCGTCGGCCAGTCTGACAAGCCATACATGCGTTACTCGACCACCGAAATGGCGCAGGACATAGTGGAGCTCCTCGACCACGTCGGATGGACGCAGTCCCGCGAACTGCACGTCATCGGGATCAGCCTCGGCGGCATGATCGCGCAGGAACTCGGCCTCCTCATCCCCTCCCGCATCGCCTCCCTCTCCCTCATCTCCACCGCCCCCCAACTCGTTCGCACCCTCGGCTTCTTCGAAAACATCCTCAACCGCATCAACCTCTTCATCCCCCGCTCCCTCGACGTCCAACTCGCCACCATCAAACGCAACTGCTACACCGCCGCCTTCCTCGACGCCCCCGACGAGCTCGCCGCCGAATCCGCCGTCCAATCCTTCCCTACCAACGGCGACCGCTTCGCCGCCCTCGAGATCCAGAAGCGCTCCGACCTCCAGTCCTTCCGCTTCCAGGGCTTCGCCGCGCAGGCCATGGCGGCGGGATGGCATCATAAGACGGGGTCGCAGCTCGCGGCGCTGGGGGACCGGGTCGGGCGGAAGCGGATCATGGTGGTGCACGGGACGGGGGATCGGATGGTGCCGTTCGTGCATGGGCCGATGCTCGCGAGGGGGTTGGGGTTGGTGGAGGAGGTGGAGCACGGGGAGGGGGTGGAGGCGGGGGTGGTGAGGGATGTGAAGGGGGGGAGTGGTGTGTTTCGGGATGGGGATGGGGAGTTTCGACCGAGTGGGGATGGGGCGGCGAGGGGGAGGGAGGGAGTGGTGAGGTTCGTGGAGGGACAGGGGCATGTCATTCCGATTGAGTGGAGGGGGAGGTTTAATGAGTGGGTGGAGGAGATGGTGGCGAGGGGGGAGGAGTGTAATCGGGAGGAGGGCGTGTAGGTCGACTCAATGAGGAGTTGATATTACGAACGGCCGCACATATCGGTCTAGATTGTATGGCAGATATTATATCATCATTGAGCACGTTTTTCCATGGTTTGGGACGGATGCGCCCTGGATTGTTGAAGCAGATCGGCCTCCTATGGCTTGCTGGCGGGCACGAGTCCGGTGCACTTCAGGTCATCGATTGTACCTACTATGGGCTCTAAAGGGTTGAACTAGGATTGAATCATTCATATCAGTAGAGGAGGCGGGAGCTATAGACAGAACTGACTTGAACAATAGGGATCTAGAACAATATGCATAAAGCATTTGGGGCTCGAAGTATTCGCGAGCAAGACTTGAACTATGGAAACTGAAAGCATGCATGTTCAGTGATGGTACGTCCGGACTCTGGAATGGTATTATCGCTTAAATATCCACCTTACCTTCATATTATTAACGACTGATTATCATTTGACCTCTATTTCCTAATTAAGCACAGTTGAAAGAATGCAACACCTCCCAAGTCTGGGTCATTGAAATCCTCCTTCCAGTCGCACCGGTATGCGGCGGGGTCGTGTGCCTCATCTTGCTCGCAGTACAAATAAAAATGGATTGGTTTTTGTCTGGTGATCGCAAACCGGAAACTACATCGAGCAGTTGTCCTCGGGATATGTACTATCTATACAGTAAACTCCTGCGCGGTAATCTCCGCCACGGTGTCGACTGTCAGTGCTTCGGCTTTGCTCACTCCGACTACCGTAACAGTGTTGTCAACTGCGAGTTATGGACGACGCAACTGACTCTAAGTTCGAAAATGGACGAATCTTCCTCCGCCTCATCGACGGTGACGGTATAGAGGCCATAGGTCGTCAGCGGTAGGAGGTGTTGAAGCCGTGCCTTCCACATTGGTATAACCCTACTTGGTACCTCTTTCAACTGCCTAATATGTGTATTGGTATGGTATAAACCTACAAGGGAGGATTCATAATTGCCCTCCGAATTATTCTTTTTTGGTGGGTTCAATGTTTGGATTGGAATTGATTCCAAGTTGAAGTCCTAAGACAGCTGCTGATTGTAGTTAGCTTACATACATATCTATGTCCAGCAGAAGACTAACACAGACAGACCTCACAAAGGTAAGATGTCTGAAAGGCGTGAAAAGGTAGTAACTACCGAAGGCTGAAAGGCCTTGGAATTCCCCTTCACTTCCCCTATCATATTCCTCACTGTTTTCAGTGCTTTGTTTTTGTCTCGCAAACCACCCCAACTATTTCAAAGCAAGCAATATAATTATAATCATTTCAGAGTCGCTTTCAACCCAAACCGAGCATGTCAAGGGATTGGCGGATGCGTTGAGTAGCTGTGTTGTCTGCATCTGTAACGGCTTGAGACCTCGCACTCTTTGGTCGGAAGTTCTGGATGTCGTCAAAGAAATTCAGCCTACTCGATATCGACCTACTCATCACTCTCGGGTTCGGCATCTTCGACAGATGCAGCGAAGATCGTGTCCTTGGTGCGTAATATCCCTACCGTGCTACATTGATCCGATCATCCCCATTTCGCAGGTTCCAGATCCGTGTACAAGCATATGCATGACATGTCTCAAACGGTCCCGCGCTGTGTAACCACAAGCTGATGCGCGCCCGGTTATCCACATTCTGGCTCTATTCAGGCCCTCGCAAACAACGCGACAACGGTAGAGGACCTGTCACGTATGAACGCCAATTTAGACCCACGCGACATGGTGGTGCAGAAGGTGCCTATCATCTCCGTCCCAACGTCGCTTTCCGGGGATGGGTATTAGGGGATATCTGGCGATACCGAGGACGCCACGAAGGCGAAATATCAGTTCAGGACCAGCCGTGGGCCAGAGTTGATCGTCCTGGACGCCGAAATGTGCCGGGCGACCCTGGACTGGGTGTGGTACAGTACCGCTGTCAGAGCACTTGATTATTGCGTGGAAACGATTCTGTCTCCTGAGCGGACGGGGAAGGGTAGCGAGGCGGCGATGACAGGGCTGAGGCGGCTGGTACCCGCGTTGCTAAGGTGCAGGCATGCGAAAGACCCGCACCGGGAAGATCAAGCGAGGCATTAGTGTCAATTAAGCGTCATCGACGCTACTATGTATGGTAGCTGTAAGAGGACGCGTGCCGCTAGGTGGCAGCCATGGGATTGGGCATCAATTAGGGCCATTTGGAGTTGGACATTGGGAGACGAGCTGCGTGTTGTTACCAGCGGTGTGCAAGTACAATGCACAAGGGAAAGAGCACGCAGAGAGGCAGCAGATCATTATGAAGGCGCTCGGGGATGATCCTGAGAGTGCAAAGGCTTTGAAGGAGCGGAGACTATAATAAGATCAATGTGACATGGGAGATGCCTTTGATACTATCATTACGGAGTTAGGAATGGTTAGGAAATTGGAAAATGTTGGTGTGGGAGGTGATAAACTTGATCAGCTTGCCGAAAACAGCTGAAGAACTTGGTGTAAGACGAATCCAAGACCCCTTGTCGATAAGGAGCAGGTCCTGGAGATTTTACGGGCGGTTGCCGGATGAGCCAGTGGGGTCCTGGCAAGCAGTGTAATATCTGACTGTGGATGCTATGTACAGAAACTAGAAATCGAGATACATAGATCAGTTTATGGCACAGCTGTAGGCTGTCGTAGTAAATACAGCGTTCTGTCCTCTGCGATGGAGTTAGCTGCAGACATGGACTATGCAGAGAAAGTACATACACGAATGGCTCGGTTCCTGCGCCTACAGATGTCAAGTATTGACCCGCGGGAAGACCATTATTTGACCGTAAATAGGTCAAAAACGCGTTCAAATCGCCACTAAAATTGGTGACGGGTCTCTCCGAAACGAAGCTGAAAACCTTCATCTGGTTATTCTGCCCCTGATGAAGCTTCCAGGCCGTCCCCGCAATATTGACGGATTTGGGCTGGCCATTGGAGATGGGCCCGGCACCGCCGTATGATCCTACCCATATCATAATCTCGTACTCAGGATTTCCGGATGCCGTGGAAGAGCTGAATATATCGTAGGCGACATTTGCAACCATCCCAGAACCAGTGTAGGACCATTTCCACGTTGATGGAATCGATTTGACATTCCTCAACTGGGGCTTCGGTCCGTCAACCACCGCATTGGGGTAGGACTTGACATTGTATTGTCTAAAATATATCAGCTCAATCGGCTTCCAGGATATATTCGATAACTTCACCCTCCAGACCAGCTCCAGGTGGTTCGCCATGCAATGGTATTCCCACTCACGGAGTTAAGTGTGGTGCATTGCCTCCCTGTGCCGGCTGACATACCCCACATGTTCTATATGGCGTTAACAACATGGGAAGCATAGTTACTGGGATACATGCATTGTAGAGAGTGTAGCCTGCAGTCTGTACGGAATCCCACTGCCCACACATGTCGGCCCGCTTTTGAACGGTTTTGGTGGGTGTGGCAAGTGACAAGCCAACGAGAGCAAAAGCCATCGAAACAAGGGACAAAAGCTTCATGGCTGCAGAACGATAGATCTTGTCATAGAAGGATGTCTCTGCTTACGCAGGACCGCGGAATGGGCGTCCATTGCCATCGTAAGCTTTATAACGGATTGGCTTTCTCCACGGTAAGCTCTTGCACGTCGTTGCGGACATTAGAATTGGACTTAGTAAATGAATAACGCGGGGAAATAGGCAGATTAGAGACGGAACAATTGGATTTGATAGAATATATTGCAAAGGATGCAATTAGACTGGTCGGCTATCCTCATCCCAGACCTCGAAGTGGTTCACGCTTGGAACCATCTCCGCGTGACCAAAGGAATAACATAGATCGCATTGCCACATTCGGTGCGGACCAAGGCATATATGTCGATCAACTAGGGTAATTTGCTCTTGCCTGGGCTGCCGGTAGATAGCTGATGTCCGAACATCGGATATCGTGGGAGAACAGTATCAAATGACTGGCATTGGCGAGGATGGAGGAAGCCTATCAGCGGGAAGCCCATCAACGTTCGAGATCGGACTGAAACACTCCACAGAAATCAAAGTTGAGAATGAAACGGTTCGAACCATCTGTCCATCCCGCCATCAGCCACCTGTACTACTCAGGTTGTGAGTTATTTGAGTAGGACGTGAAAAAGAAGAAACGTTCCTCGATGATGAACGACGGAAGGGGTTGAGATGCCAAGGCTGTGTCACGATCGGACGATCCAGAATGACTAAACCAGGTTCGTGTCGAAAATCTCTCAACAATCCATCCCCCTTTTCTCCCTCAGAGTATGTCATGGCCCATAACCTTCTCATCGCTGTGATACAACCGTCAACTGTTTCAGTGTTTCATGCTGCGCCCGTTGGCCTGAGGCTCTGCAGCCTTTGACAGGAACTCCACCTGTGCGCCATTTCCCGGTTCGCGGATGTCGGTCCTGTACAAGCGGCTGCAACGCCCGCCGACCGATGTGCGTATCCCCAGGAAATGCCTATGCAACAAGCAAGATGTATCCACCGATACAGCTCGTTTGCGACGTGTTTAAATCTTCTCTGCTAACCTAGATGGATCGCAACATTTCTGCCCGGTCAACTGCTTTAGGCTGCCACTCCGGATCTCATCCCCAGGTGGAGCGCGAAATGCATGAAATAACGGATTCCGATGCCAGGAGATGGGGCTACAAGCCTTGGAGGACGATAGGGAAGGTTGGTTGAGTAACGTTGAAAGTGGATGACCTACAAACACACGTCTCTTTGAAAGATCCCATCTATGGAGTTCCTTCCATCCACTGCGGATGCTCCATTTGTTTGTATTTGATAGATTCAAATTCTCATGGGTACCCTCATTTCCAGTTCTTCATATACTGCTCCTTTTTATCTTAAATGTATCTTCTCCGTTGTCATTCATCATTCGTTTTGTCTTTCGCTGAGCAGTGGCAAGCTATGATTTCATGAATGCACTTTTGCGAGTCATTCATTTCAAATCGGATTCTAGCCCTCTCCTCGATTTCTGAATCTTTGCCTTCGATTGTCAGCTGGTACTGCTTTTGCCTTTGCTGCCTTCTGCCGTATCAAAAGTTCTACGGACCGTCTCCGTTCCGAGCCCCAGCTTGTAACCCTATCAACATATCAATCGGCCTCATGTCTCGCGCCAAGGTCTCGATCTGGCATTTTTCAAGTCTTGACAGCATTCTTGCTCTAAAGAATCAGTCGGAAACAACTTTGAGAGGGAAACCAGAGTTTGTGTCTGGCTCTATACGACCGAGCGATGATCTTGAGAAATGGGTCGAACTCCGAGACGGTAGTATCGGAGCACACGAGAACGAATACGGTTGTTTCAATTCCCGATGGGCTGAATATGCCTTTTGCTTTTCTCTAGCAGCGTCCCAGTTCCTTGCGGTATGTTTGTGGACCATAATAGCAGAGTCCTCACTAACGAATTTCTGAAGGAGTATCTCATTTCTGGTTTTGGAATCATCCTGCCCAATCTACCTGCATCATGGAGTCATGGAGACTCCAGAACTTCTAATCTCTGGCCTTCTTCCATCCTATCGCTGGTGTTATGCTCCATGACTCTTCCACTTTCGCGGGCAACGGATATGTACGGCGGTTATCCACTCTTCATGCTTGGAACCGCGTGGCTATCCATCTGGACCCTAGCCGGAGGTTTTTGCCAATCCCAAGAAATGCTCAACGTTGCACGGGCTATGCAAGGCCTTGCGATTGCCGCGTTCCAGCCAGCCGCCTTTTCTTTGCTTGCCCGAGCCTTCCGACCAGGGAGAAAACGCAATGTGGTTTTTGGAGTGTATGGCGCATGCGCACCACTAGGCTTCTTTGGCGGGATCTTGACCTCTGGGATTTGTCTTCAATTTGGTCGATGGGAGTGGTATTTTTGGGTAGGGTCCGTTTTGGCGCTATTGTCCGCGATCAGTGCCTACTTCGCGGTCCCAGAAACAAAGATCAAGCCTCCGGCAGGTTCAAAGGATCTGAAAATGGATTGGATAGGCGCATGCGCTATTGCTTCGGGACTGATAATGCTCTCCTACGGCCTGGCTGCGAGCGCCGCTTCTGAAGTACCATGGAAAGATCCAGCAGTTCTTGGTCCTCTCTGCGCTGGAGCCCTTTGCCTTGTGGTTTCCCTATACGTCGAGCTAAACGTTGTTGACTCACCGCTTCTACCGACCGACTTCTTCGCCCCTAAAAACGTCAAGGCCATGCTGGTCGCATGCTTGATGTTTTATGGGAGTTTCGGCTCGTATCTATTCTACTCCATGTCTTAGTAAGGCATTCCACCACCCTTGGTTTTCAACCAGCTGACTTTAGAAGCATAAACGATGAACTGCAAGTCAAACCGATAACGATGGCGGTGTGGTACAGGTAAGATGCCCAACGCGAGTGCTTGGCCCACAGAACTAACATGTCTCAGCCCGATGGCAATTGGGGGCTTCATCATATCCATCGTAGGCGGGTTGTTGTGCGATGTTGTCCCCGCCTTCTATCTACTCCTAGTATCAGGGTTGGCGTGGATTGGCGCACCATTGCTCCTTGCGATCGGATCGAATGTGACAACATCATATTGGCCATTCATATTTCCATCTACCATCTGTTCAACGCTTGGAATCGACCTGACCTTCACCGTCAGCGCAATATTCCTTGCTTCAGTCCAGCCAGACAAATTCCAGGGCCTTGCTGGAGCAGTCTCGTCTGTGACGGTTAACCTGGGCATCGCCGTTGCTGTATCGCTGTCGGACATTGCTCGGAGAATAGGAACCGAGAAATTTTATACCAGTGTCGCTTCCTACCAGGTCGTCTTTTGGTTTGCCACTCTTCTGGCAGGTATTGGATTCGCAATCACTCTGCTCTTTGTCCGCATAAAACGGTTGGGCAAAGATCAAATCTAGCGTCCGAGGACGCTCAAAAGTTCTTGCTGCTCTTTGGAGGATATCTATCTCACTTTGTATGTTGTTTGAAACGATTTCCTACAGTTCGATGAGCGATGACTGCATTTTTGGATGAGAGCATCTGGTTCAGGCTCTACATAGTGGCATTTAGGATACCCGGTCTAGCTAAGCCTCGCTCGACAAACTGTACTTAAACAATAATACATCAGAGAGCTCGTGGCCATCCGCCAGAGAAGTCCAACTTGTTCCAGCCGAACAACTTGTCGCCATCTGCGTATCCACGTTTCTTGTTGACTAAAACAAAACTCAGCATTGCAATACGTCTGAGAACTGTGGAGTGTTGACTCACTATAGTGGTAATAAAGGACTGGACCTTGTTGGGGGTCGTTGTAGACTCCCTGGCCTCCAGGAGCGTAGATGTCTCCGTGGGAGGGATAAACAACGGTGCCGCCACCTTGCACGCATGATTTGCCGCTTTTATCGACCTAGATATAATTAGTATCCTGAACTATAAACGTGGCTTATGATAAAGACGAACATATGGACCTGTAGGCGAGCTCGATCTGCAAACCAGGATGCGGTATTCTTGGCCTGACGGTGGTCGGTTCTTATCCAGACCGCAGCATTTTCCGGCCGAGAAGAACGCGTAATACTGATTATTGAATGGGAACACGAAAACGCCTTCGATGGCATGCTCACCCGCCGGCTGGAAAACGATCTGGCGCGATGCCGATCCGTCGGTCTTAACCGGAGGATCCTGCATCCCGACCTGGAAAATGTCCCCCCAGAATGACCTGATCGCCTGATTAATATATATTCTGAATTCGGGATCGACGCAGGGAATTCGCCGAACACACGTACCCGAAGTTCATGTACCACTTGTTTCCGCCGCGGAACAGGTTGGCATCGATGGCATTGTAGTCCTTGCCAGCCTTAGACGAGACTCCGATGGCGCCTCGATCCTGCCAGCTGCCGACATCCATCGTCTTGGACGTGGCGAGACCGAGCGCCGAGTTCTGAGATCCAAACTGGCTTACTGCATAGTAAAGATAATAGGTGTCCCCGATCTTAGTCACATCGGGAGCCTAAATTCATCAAACGTCAACTTAGCGATCTTCATGCATCGTCGTCAGATACACACCCAGAGGTCCGTATTGCCAGCTTGGTTGATCTTCGACCGGTCTTTGACAACAGAGCCTTTATACACCCACGGGCCCGTCAACGCTGGTGCGGTATGGATCGCCACCTTTCCATTTGTCGAGAAGCGGAAGTACATTCCGTCATCACGCCGAATGATGGCTGGATCGTGGGAATTTCCGCACACTCCGGTGCACGCTCCTGGGTTTGGATACTGGCACTGTCCCACGGCAGCAAAGGTCACCGCCGACAGAATGAACTGAGAGATTCGCATCGTGTACGATCGTTCACTTAGGCCTCATTAAAGAATGATCGAGGTGAAAGGAAAGGATCATCGGCAGTAGCAACGAACAGGTGCGACTATGCCTATCTATAGAATACGTCTATAAGACCTCCATGTTCCGACGGCTCCGCTGCCATGTTTCAATCCTGTAGTCATAAAGCGAAATTATCTCATAGTGCAAGCCAAGGTGCCTTAGTGACAGGCGGTGATGGTCTTCTGACCAGGAATTGCCAGCAAGCAACCAGCGCATCGCACCAGAACCAGGATCAGAAATGCAAAATGCATAATGAATAGTGCGGAGCACCACGTTTTTGTCCGTTGTAGCAAAATAGAGGAACGGAGTAGCGGCGAAGGCCTGGAAGGAAATGAGATGGATGTAGTAGATTAGGTGCAAATATAAATGAAACGTGGTGCTGATTGGTGGCCTTTTCGCACACGACAGGCGTTTTATAGTCCCCAGCATTATCGCAGGCGATAATAATATATTCCGGCTTCTTGTCCATTTCCACAATTGGCGGAGCGGACTGAAAACAGAAAGCATAATAACCCGTCTGGACAAGAAGTATGTATCGAAGCTGTATAAAACACCCGCTCTGGACCAAAGTCTAAGTACGCAAAAAGATCCCAGAGCGCTTTCGTGAGAAAAATTACTCCGGTTCGAATCAAGACGAGCAACTAGTTTGCAATGACACGAGAGTAAATGTCCCAGTTCATATCGCCCAGGACAATCGCCCCGGATTAGGAAGTCTTTTATCGAATACGTAGCTCCCTACACCTCTTTCTGCAGAAACCGATGCTCAAGGGCCTCGAAGTGCGTCTCTAGCTGTTAATAACGAGAATTAAAATCCTTAGTGACGATCATCAAAGTAAGTAAGGGAATTCTGTAGAGTAAATAGGTAAAAACATGTCGACTTCGTACGAGGAGCTCCTGTGTGATTGATGCTCCAGGGCTACGCCTCAACGCGATCTATGAGATGAATAGTTTGTGCTTTAATGATTGCTCTACCTTCTATCGCTACGTCTGTGACACGATCTGGGAACCCAAATTTGGCATATTGACTCCTCCTTGCATACAGGCGCTTCCTGTGCCAAGGCCGAGGAAGGCCATCATGGCGGACAGTTGATTAGGAATGAGATATACCGGGAGGCCAGGGCATCCAAACCCAGTAGGGATGTTGCCTTGTATCTCCACCGGCATCCGTACCGGAGTTGTAGTGTCAGGTGTAATGCTCAGTCCTTGGTCAAGCCCGAGATATAAGAAAGAGATGGCCATTTGCTATCGATAATTAGCGATGGTAAGGCGGGCATGTATTGTTTGGACGGAATTTTCTTACCGGCTCGAGCGCATGCTCTCCATGACCGGCCATCTGCGCATATTTCGTAGAATTATAAAGTCCCTCCACGACAAGCTTGTCGCCCTTCTCAAGTCGTCCGATATTAGTGCAAACAGCAGTGTTCGAAATATGCTTCATGCTCGTGCTCGCGCCACCATGAGCATGACCAGAATCATTCAATTGATGCACATTGTCGACGCTTGGCATCTCACCCGCCCCTGGGGCGACAAAAGCTGGTTCAAGGCCATAATACTGAACGGAATTGCAAGCCACTTTGCCGTTTTTGAGCATGTTGACATCGGTGGCACCGTCGTGACCATGGCCAATAACCCAAAGAATCTCACCGCTGTAGGGAGAGACCCATTCTGCGGAATGGTACTCATACACCCCCTCTTTGGCAGGGAGTTCAGAATCGCCGCACTCTGTCGCATCCATTTCGATGATGGTCGCTGCCTTGTACCCTGCTGTCGAGGCGGGTACGTACTCATAAAGCATGGTCAAGTACAGTGATTTTGGCTCGGCGGCTTCATTCATGAGCTCGGTCAGGAGACCGAAGGTGTCTGTCCTGTGTCACAATCAGCATAGTAATGGCGGGAAATGCCATCGATATAGCGCACCCAAGTACGGGAAGACCCCAGTTGCCATTTGCATTCAGTCGGGCCAAAGTACGCTCATTCCCACTTGAGAAGATCCTCTGTGGCCACAGCTTGAGCGCGGACTTTCTGGCACATATGGCGTCTTTCTGACCGGTATTGTAAAGCACCCTGGAGATTGGTTAGTCGATCGAGCAACTGATATCTTTCCATGACAACCTACATGTGATGTAACCACGCGCCAGTGTCAATGTTCGCTTCCGTTCCATCGGCATACTCTAAGCCTGCCTGCATCGCCGTGATATAGCAGTCGGTGCAGGGCAATGCTACCTTAGGTGTCATGGCATTGTTTACCATCCCATTTGCGGGTACTGTATAAGGACCATGCTTGATCTTCACAATTTTGGCCGCAGGATCGGATAGCGGAGACTTGAGCGTCATGCGGCTCACGGCGCCGGGTGGTAAGTCCGCTGCTTTGACGCCATGTGATAACAGCTGGATGGCAACCAGTGCAATGATTGAGGGCGCAATCATTTCGACTTAGTAGCTAGAACTCAGATGCAATAATGAATGTACAATCAAGTGAAAGGAAATGACAGCATGATAAGGATGGAACGCTTGAGGAATGCAACTGAAAAGCCCGACAGGAAACGCATTATGCGAAATGATCGAAGGTACAAAGAGACTAAAGCATCGGCAACTGAAGCCGTATATACCTGTAAACCCCCTTGCGCTCTGCAATAAGCATAAATAAAAACGTTAATGTTATTCGGTAGACAGGGCCAGAGCAGGCAGCCGGCAAATGGCAGAGTCGATCGTTTAGAAGAGGACTGGCACATGCCTCTAATACTGCTTAAACAATGCCTACGGCTGCTCAATCTACATAGATTGGAGCAAGCGGTGAAGAGTGGTGTAGATTCAGACAGATCCATATGAGGTCGGAGAGATATTGAACAAAGTCAGGGGAAAATGGAGTTGGTGCCCTAAGCCCTAACAATGCTCATGATTGGCTAGGCAACACCACAGATCTGAGCAAACACGTTATGTATGGATCACGTGCAAGTTTTTCACTCTATAGCTTACGTAATTATATCCTACAATCCTAACTACATCTTGTAATTATCCTGAATTCCTGAATCCTGAATCCTGAATTCCTGATCCTGCCTTGTGGCTTACCATACCCAAATTGACCCCTTCACCAGCCTCCTCCCCCTTAACCCTGATCGGATACTATCGCAATGGCGGTTTGACCTTTGCCAATTTCATCTGCAGCCATTCCACCGAAAGTTACCTTAGTACTTTGGTTATCTGAGCGATTAGGCAAAATGTGATGCCTAGGCTTTAAAAGATGAGCATTATGTGCAACTATTGTACCACCAGTAGGGATGATGGCGGGGTTGGCCTTCGGCCGATGGCAGCCGAATGAGATAAGTGCCTTGCATGGAGACATCGCAACGCTCCAATCTCTCAACTGTAATGTTCCTTTCACCAGGGCAGAAGTAGAATTGAGTTGAGGACTTCAAGTTCCTCAGTGCTGCCAATATCATGGTCCGTCCATTTGACTATTTCGATCATCGTCGCGACTGGTGAGGCTTTACCTTTATCCCCCTTCGACGGAGCATCCATGTAGTACGGAGATAAGTATCGTGAGTGCTAACCGAGACTCTTGCAGCAAGTACAAGCAAGATGAACGCGCCCGTCGCATCGCTTCCCTCCCTAAAGAATACACTGGCCCTATAACGCCAACCGAACGCGGCATCCTCGCCTACCCCATCTCCGAGCTCGTCAATCACGTCCACAATGGCGTCGTCCAGCCCGTCGACATCCTCCGCGCCTACGGCAAATCTGCGATCGCAGCCCACAAGAAAACCAACTGCCTAACCGAGATCCTCTTCCCCTCGGCCGAGAACCACGCCCACGTCTCCGCCGACGCCAAAGGCCCGCTCGCCGGCGTGCCCGTATCGCTCAAAGACTCCGTCAACGTCGCCGGCTTCGACACCAGCGTCGGATACTCCGGCTATACCCGCCAACCCCTCGCGGACGATGGCCCTATGGTTCGCCTCCTCCGCGACGCCGGCGCCGTGCCGTTCGTCAAGACAAACCTCCCAACCACCCTCCTCTCCTTCGAGTCCTCCAACGACGTCTGGGGCCGGACGCGCAACCCGCACAATCCGGCGTACAGCCCCGGCGGGTCCACGGGCGGCGAGTCGGCGCTACTGGCGGCAGGGGGTTCCCGGATCGGGATCGGCTCGGATGTAGCGGGTAGCGTGCGCATCCCGGCGCATTGGTCAGGGTGCTATTCGCTGCGATGTAGTACAGGGCGGTGGCCGAAGATGGGGAATCGGACGAGTATGCCGGGGCAGGAGGGGGTTCCGAGTGTGTTTAGTCCGATGACGAGGACATTGGGGGATCTGAGGTACTTCACGAAGGCGGTGGTGGGGATGAAGCCGTGGACATATGATCATAGCGCGCATCCGATTGAGTGGAGAGAGGATGTGGTGGAGGAGTTTGCGGCGAAGAAGTTGAGGATTGGAGTGATGAGGTCGGATGGTAAGTCTCGTTGCCTCGCCTATCGGCGCCTTAAGCATCAAATTGCCTACGCGCGAAACTAATATGTTAATCCAGGCGTCGTTGATCCTTCTCCCGCATGTGCCCGCGCCCTCTCCATCGCCGCAACTGCCCTCTCCGATGCAGGTCACTCCGTCATCGACATCCCTCCGCCTCCGTCCCCCATATCCCCTTACGATGGCCTCGTCCTCGCCTCCCAGCTCCTTAACTCCGACGGCTGTGCCACTTTCCTCTCCTTCCTCCGAACCGGCGAGTCATCTGACCCCGGCGCCATACAGCTCTCGTTCTGGGCGAACTTGGCGCGCCCGCTCAAATGGCTGTATTACGCCTACGTTAAGTACGTCAAGAGGGACGCCGTCTGGGCAGAGCTGCTGAAGGGCTTTGGACCGGTATCTGCTACGGAGCAGTGGAAATTGGTGATCAGCAGGGAGTCTTTCCGGCTGGCATGGCATGAGTGGTGGGAGGGCGGAAATGGGCTGGGTGGCATGGAGAAGAAGGTGGATGTGATTTTGACAGCGCCGAACGCGACGCCCGCGCTACCGCATGGCGCGATGAAGGATGCAGTGAGCGCGTGTGGGTATACATTTTTGTTCAATATGGTAGGGCACCTCTTCCTGGAATGATCTCTGTTGCCGATGCAGGACTGACATGGCTCGCAGCTGGATTATTCATGTGGCATCCTCCCTGTCACCCACGTCGATGCGGAACTTGATGCCCTCCCGGTGGACTTCAAGCTGAGGAAGCTGAATGGTGTCGCGCGCGGTGCGTACAAGCATTACGATGCAAAGAAGATGGGGGGACTGCCGGTCGCGGTGCAGGTGGTTGGGCAGAGGTTGGAGGAAGAGAAGGTGTTGACTGTGATGCAACGGCTGGAAGATGCATTGGAGTCGAGAGGGGAGAAGTATCTGCTTCTGGAAATTGACTAGATGCAGTTGAATGGTAAGATAGGGGCTTGCATGGATCAAGATAGTGCATATTTGGTGAGTACGGCCACGGGATGATGGTGTACAGGGATTTCAGCATTCTAAGCCAGTCGTCATGCGTATCAGAGCATTCCATTAATTCTTCAACTAGCACTTTGAAGCTTATGCTATCGTATCTATAACCACGGCATCGGAGTCATTCCACTCGTCATCCATTCGTGAACTTCTCATGAAATTGTCTATCGCACCCGGATATCGTATCGAATGAATACCTGATATCAGGTACCATTACCTATTAGATCCCTACGGCGCCGGCGGCATGACCTCGAAGGTGTGCGCCACCTCCTTTTGCCACTCATACCGGTCCTTGCCGTACACCTCCACGGCCACTGGGAACGACTTGCTGTCGTCGAGCGTCGCGGTACGGAGGACTATGAGCTCGGCCGGTAGAGCTTCCTGGACGTGGTAGATGTGGGTGCCACACGCGCTGCAGAAGAGGCAGTCGACGCCCTTGCCTGAGTTGGAGTGGTTAGTTCTGACCGCTGGCGGTAGCGATGGGTGATATGGAGTCAAAAATCTTCCATATAGTTATTCGGTACTTACCAGAGTCTCCCTTGTAGGTGTAGGTCTTCAAATCGCCCTTGGTGACCTTGAATACCGACTTGGGGATGATCTGGTTCAAGCTAAAAGCGCCAGTGCTCAGGACTTTGCAGGTATTGCAATGGCTAAAGAGCAGTTCAGTATCGGTTCAACATGAATGAATTTAGGCATGTGACTATACCAGAGGACGTGATTCTTCTTGTCATCTGGTAGTTCGGCCTCGTAGGCGACCGCACCACAGTGGCATTTTCCAGTCATAGCCATGATGTCAAATTTGGGGAGGAGTTTCGGATGTTGTGGTACGTGGAAGCAAGGTTACACGGTAACGATTGAAGATGCGGAGAGTGAGGCTTCTGGGATGTGATGTCGAGATGACGGCTTCAAGTGCAGGTATATATCGAAAGGAAATTAACACAAGGAAGGAGCAGATCTCGGAATTTATATTCCCTTCATCACAGCAACCGCTTGGAACCGGCCCTAATAACAGAACTCTAGACCGTCTTGCTGATTCTCCAATTCTCCCATTCCCCATCTTTTTCCCGGTGCAATCGCAAATTCTTACTTCCGCCGGACCTGTTTATCACCCAGAGAGCTGGGAATAAATTCGACTTTCGAGGCCAGAGGCACACCCGCTCTGCCAGTCTCCGCTCCACGACAAGGTCGATTGCCGCGACGGCGTATCACCTCGACGGTTGATCGGTCTGCTAATGTATGACAGGCCAATTGGATGGGCAGAGGGCGCGATTTGGAATTCTTGATTTCCCAATTGGGCGGTCCGTTAGCCTTTTGAGGTTCTAGGGGGGGACTCCGGCGCATTGTACGTCATGGATTTTGGGGGAGGGGGTGCAGGTTTCGTCCTGCTGCAGATGTTTTATGGTAAGCCAGTCGAACTAGAGTGGGGTGGAACTTGGGATGAAGTGAGGAAGCACTAGTTAGGAATTGTTAGCAATGCGGCTGAATAGGATCAGATACTGCAGGATTGCGATCATGACAGATTTGTCCTTCAGGAAGAAATACTTCTACCGACCAAAGTGACGTGGATTTGGACCGTCACAAGGGCGGAGAGACTCGATCACGAAGCTATCGTTGTCCGGCCGAACCGTCACCCACCCAACGAATCAGTATGGGGCTTAGGGTGCAGCGCGATAGTGATGGGTAATCCGATTCCTGACATATTAATAAATCGCTCCATTTTCGACAGGCCCCTAAGTTAAATCCAACATTATTTGCATAGACTTCCAAATGGAATGCTGACATTCCAGGAAGCGACTCGCACGGTTAATCGCACAAACAAACAAGAAGACAATCCCCTTCGACGGTGGCAAGATAGACCGCTTCGCATCAGGATCTGCAGGGTCAAGCAATTCCAAATATTGTGGTACCTGTATCCGCAGGTCTTTTGCATCTTGCACGGCGTTCGAGAAGATGAGCGTTCGGCTGGCGAGTAAAATGGCGATGTACAGTGTTTAGGATGCAGGGGGTGGGTAGTCGCGTCGACCGGCAGTCGACTCACAACAAACTCCGCTAGACGAATGCAGCTACTCGAACTGCATACTGCATAATTGTTAACTAGTTACGGGGGGGTAAGTAATCCGGGTCTAGCTCGGGGACTTATCAGCACGGAAGTCAAAGAATATTCCTGCGCTGCGTTTAGTTCTTCACCACCTGGGGTAGAGGAAATTGATACTCCGCTGTGGTGGACGACTCCCTCCCGCGTATGGAAAAGGAGAATGGTATCTTTAAGTAATATAAGGTGGGTAACGATCATCGCGGGGTTTCGACGCCCATGATACGCTTCAAGGTCGTCATCAATTTCTTCCACTTCGGATGCGGAGATATGATAGCGTCCCTAATGTTCGGAGTCGATAATTGATGACCATTGGCCCTTCATGCCGATTAGATGAGTAGCGGAGTATAAACGATAAGAGGGAATGCTTGCACGGAGGCAAGATTTGCAGGAACGTCAGAAACATCTTTCGAGAGACAAGAGGGAGGAATGGATTGACTTTATTGATTTACCAATGCCCATCAAGGTGGCTGGCTCGGAGCATGTAAGATATCCACCATCGACGTCCATATGAACAGACGCTTCAACCCGAGATGTACACTGAGCGGTCGAATAATAATTGATATTCACTATTAACAGTGAGGAGAATGGGCAGTTATGTACCAGCTCTTCAGAGATTAGGGGTCAAGTATATAGGGCGAAAAGGACTATTAATCATGCCGCCACCACGGCATATCGTCTATCAACTGTCCAATGGCTCAGCACACGCGAGTTGGCCTTGGATAAAGGGGAACACTTCTGTTCATTTAGTCTGAATCAAATTCCCATTCTAACCAGCCAGTTGGTTGCAAGTGTTCTTGTTTGGACCACATATTTCATGACATCATCACGGCATCGTTCATGGCTCCATTTCTAGTCCGTCATGACGAGAGAGGGGGAAACGGACGAAGGAAATGGGATGGGCATTCATAGCCTCCAGGATTCTGCTTCCAGTTAGTATCCTTGTGTGTCCTGCAGAAACGGCGATCAACGCACCTTGTCCAAGTAGAGCTGATGATACGTCTCGGCATCCCACCATTGACCAGCGGGCAGGATTTCCGTGACCACTTTGCCCTTCTTCCACCATTCCTGCTGCACCTTGTCGGTGACCTCCTTTGCGATCTTCTCCTGCTCCTCGTCATGGAAGAAGATACCGCTCCGATATTGGGAGCCGGTGTCCGGTCCCTGCCTGTCCTTCGTGGTGGGATCGTGCATGCGGTAGAGGAACTCGATCAACTCCCGGTATTTGAGCTTCTCGGGGTCGTAGATAACTTGTAGAGCTTCGGCGTCTGGATGCATCATGTCAGCGGCTTTCTGGCTTCTGGACTTCGCCATGCAACTTACGTCCTGTTCGGCCTGTACATACTGCTCGGTAGCTAGGGTTCTGTGTATCGCCTCCAATATATCCAACCCTCGCATCGATCAGGCCCTTTCCATCGAAGGCTTTGCGGTACATGTGCTCAACGCCCCAGAAGCATCCTGCAGCAATGGTTGCCTTCGCCGCGCCCTCCGGCAATGTTGCTGATGACCCCTCGGGACCGAAGGCCATCGTGGTCGAAGAGAACGGACGAAGGAATTTGGAGAATAGACCCGACGGCATGGGAGACATGAAGGGTAGAAGAACCGCAACGATGATTACCAGTATATATGGAAGGGGAATGGAGCGGAGGAGATCCAGTGTTTCTGAGCCGGTTGCTTGGAAATGAAGTTGTCTGGAGTCTGGACCAGCCGAAGTTTTATAGTATCTGTTGAAAGAAGAACTCAAATCATGCCTTAGTTCACTAACCGATTCGCGTCATCGAGCGGAGGAATTGTCAATTGACAAATCGTACGGAGTCTGTCGGCAATGCCCTCGCATTACTGATCACATCAAAGACAGCGGGGCCGGAGAGAGGATGTCATCGTGGCAGGGCAGAGCGATTCAACTGCGCCACTTGATATTGACAAGCTTCACGTGATCTCAAAGTTTTTCTGGCGGGCTGTAAATGCCTAAACTGCAGACAGTCACGTGAAATTGGCTTTCTCCCATCCTTCCAAATTCCAATCCTTCATCTTCCTCCGACAAGCGTTCCCCCTGCAGATATGCCAGCAATGCGGAGTCAAAACCCAGATTCCGGTCTGAGTATGTCGGATTATTGCATGGCGATGCACCGGCCCGCCTACCCTTTATCCTTTTGGCCGCCTCTTACCTGCACGGGACGGTTGTAGGCTTCGTGTTATCTCGCTTGCCACCTGGAATGCTGGATGGAAGAGGAAAAGGGGCATTCGAACGCCTTTATCAAGATGCTGTTACCCACATCTCCATCGTAGATCTTTCGCAAATCTTGATCTTCCTTTTGAACCACGGAGCGCATGAATTTCGCTATACATCTATACTGCCTCGTCTAAACTACATCATCCGGATTCGACCCGACTGCCCGATATTTGCGTGGATTTGATTTCCTTCATATCGTTCCCCGGTTGGGCGTGTCCCGTCCATATTGGGGAGGGCTCTCCGGCTCAAACTTGCGACCGCATCGTTATTGGATGTTCGCGACGTGACAATGTTCGCAATCTTTCCTCTCATTCCTAGATGAGCAAGATTTCGTTTCGTTTTCATTATTGCCATGTTCTTCCGGTTTGCGAATGACTGCCAACTCGGTGCCAAGGGCAGGCATCACTCGCCTGGTCGTTCGGCACTCGTGGTCCACCGTTCGTTGATCGGTTTCAGCACTTGTGCTTCAATTTACCCTATGTCGGTGGCGGCTTCACATTATCCTCCTTGACTTATTATGGATCTGATTAAGGGCCAGCATTGCAAGATACGAGGCGCAACACCAATGCGACATTGCTGCCGCTGAGTGATTGCACGGTGGCTGCCGAACTGGCCGGACCTCACCGTCATTGAGGTGGTATTCATTCATATCCGAGTCGACAAACCTTTCCCGTCTAGGATGATGCCGCGGACAAGCCAGGAAATCAAACGTGATTGTTTGAATCTGTCAGCTGGCACTTTAGCTGGCACTATTTTTGGGCTGATGTCGTTGAGTTCCCGGTGAGGCTGTCGTTGCTGCTTCGCGGAGCTTTAGCCGAGAACCAAGTTCTCACGATGTCAACAATCACAATGCCTGCCTTCGTCCATCAATAGGATCTTTTCAGTCTTCATTACGCAAATTCTGTATTTCCTTAGAGTTGTTGCAATAACAGAAGCACGCCACAGGCCGATCTCTTGGTCGAGACCAGAAAAATGTGGTCATGTTCCTGACAGGGTTTCCCTGTCTTCTGTATATCATTTTCCATTTACATATATTGACAGTACCTGCGTCTCGACCAACCTCACCAGCGTTTCGTTCTCATAAGTTGCTTTCTCATCTATGTTTTAATATCTTCTTGATTATTTCACCACTGTTCACAAATGAGGACCACCCTTCATATGGAGAATCTTGATGCTATTGCAACCCTCTCCGTGACTCCACTGGATGTCGTCGCCCGGTTTTCCGTCGTCAATCCCCGCTTTCGGTCTATTTTCAACTCACTACGCGCAAATAACTCTAGTGTTCCATTTGTATATTCCCATGCAACTGGTCATGGAGCGCCGTGATGCCAAATTTTACTCACGTTGTCTCTCCAGCCTGATCGAAACCCGGGGATCCGTGGACGCCATGCTCCACACTCATTTGTTTCGACCGAGACCGAACGCTTCAGCCGTGGTGCTCCAGTCTCCTCGGCAGCTATGTTTAGCATCGTGAACAGGCTGTTTCCCACACTTCACTCTCGCCGATATTGAGGCAACAAGAAGCCGACTAGACCCGGAATTGTATTGCTGGGCATCTGACATGGGAACGAATTTCCTCTGGTTGAGAACGCCGGTCGAGAATGCCGGTCGTTGAGCTCACGACGTTCCTCAAACTTGTTGCATCGCCACTGGTCGACAAAGAAATTCCCCGAAGCCGCGGCTCCACGGTCGGATCGTGAACGGAAGCAAAGTTTATCGTGTTCTAGGCCGGTGGCGCATCAGGCATTCGTGCTGTCGCGAGATCTCCGTCATGGTTTGACAGATACGGTCATGCAGGGGTGTTCGCCCGTTCCTCGCACACCATCAATCTCTACGGTCCGCAAACCATATCATTATTGCATATTGCATGGCCTGGGGTCCGTGGCATCAATTTAGACCTCTCGACATGGCCGCTCAATCCAGGCCAGGTTTGCGGAAATTGACATTGACCACGGGATAGTCTTGCAAATTGCGTCGACTGACTATATAAACGCCGCTCACGAACGTTCTGTTGCTGAATCTTTATCCTCTCCTTCTGACAGCCTCCAAGAGAACACACTCATTCGGACTAACTAAGTCTTTTCAACTCAACCTTCACCATGAAGACCTCTGCCTTGCTCGCTATCCTTCCCGCCTTCGTGGCCGCCAGCCCCGTCGTCGTTCCTACCAATGCCGCTGGTCCCGACCCAGGCACCGTCCGCATCCGGGGTGTCACCTATGGCGGGTCCGGCTGCCCTCAGGGCAGCATGAGCGCCCAGCTCTCGTCCGATCAGACTCTCGTCACGTTGATCTTCGATGAGTACCAAGCCTCCATCGGCCCCGACGTTGCCGTCAACGATCAGCGCAAGAACTGCCAGCTGAACTTCGCCCTCACTTACCCCGGCGGCTTCCAGTACTCCGTCTTCAGCGCCGATTATCGCGGATACGCTGATCTCGATGCCGGTGTCAGCGGCACCCTGAAGTCCACCTACTACTTCTCCGGCCAGCCGACTCAGGTACACTTAAACTCGGCTAAATCCGTCTCATCTTATGCAGTACTAACGATCCCCAGACTTCCACTGAGACCATCTTCACCGGCCCCCTCAACGGAGACTACCTGAAGAGCGACGAGGTCGATCAGGTCTCCCTGGTCTGGTCTCCTTGCGGAGCCGAGGGCCTGCTCAACATCAACTCCCAAGTCCGCCTTACCTCCAGCAACCGCAACGCCAAGGGTCTGCTCACCACCGATTCCATCGATGCCAAGTTTGAACAGAAGGTTCGCGTCCGATGGCGAACTTGCAAGTAAGCGCTCCCGGGGGCGCCTTCACCGGGCCCTGTGCCTCTTTTCTTTCTTTCTGTGGGTTCCCCATCCCCTGGGGTTGATGGTGCCGATCCCACCTCCTCTTGCGCCTTGATCGTCTCCTGATCTTTACAGAGTAGATGGCTGACTCTTTGTCTATAGCGGTGGTGGCAATGACGGCGGCAACAATGGCGGCAATAATGGCGGCAACAACGGCGGCAACAACGGCGGCAACAACGGCGGCAACAACGG